AAAACCCATAAATACACAGACACAAACATGTGCACATACACCAAACCCATAAATACTCAGACACAAACATGTGCACATACACCAAACCCATAAATACACAGACACAAACATGTGCACATACACCAAACCCATAAATACACAGACACAAACATGTGCACATACACAAAACCCATAAATACACAGACACAAACATGTGCACATACACAAAACCCATAAATACACAGACACAAACATGTGCACATACACCAAACCCATAAATACACAGACACAAACATGTGCACATACACCAAACCCATAAATACTCAGCAGAAACATGTGCACATACACAAAACCCATAAATACTCAGCAGAAACATGTGCACATACACCAAACCCATAAATACACAGACACAAACATGTGCACATACACAAAACCCATAAATACTCAGACACAAACATGTGCACATACACAAAACCCATAAATACACAGACACAAACATGTGCACATACACCAAACCCATAAATACTCAGACACAAACATGTGCACATACACAAAACCCATAAATACACAGACACAAACATGTGCACATACACCAAACCCATAAATACTCAGCAGAAACATGTGCACATACACAAAACCCATAAATACACAGACACAAACATGTGCACATACACAAAACCCATAAATACACAGACACAAACATGTGCACATACACCAAACCCATAAATACACAGACACAAACATGTGCACATACACAAAACCCATAAATACACAGACACAAACATGTGCACATACACCAAACCCATAAATACACAGACACAAACATGTGCACATACACAAAACCCATAAATACACAGACACAAACATGTGCACATACACAAAACCCATAAATACACAGACACAAACATGTGCACATACACCAAACCCATAAATACACAGACACAAACATGTGCACATACACAAAACCCATAAATACACAGACACAAACATGTGCACATACACCAAACCCATAAATACACAGACACAAACATGTGCACATACACCAAACCCATAAATACTCAGACACAAACATGTGCACATACACCAAACCCATAAATACTCAGCAGAAACATGTGCACATACACAAAACCCATAAATACACAGACACAAACATGTGCACATACACAAAACCCATAAATACACAGACACAAACATGTGCACATACACCAAACCGATAAATACACAGACACAAACATGTGCACATACACAAAACCCATAAATACACAGACACAAACATGTGCACATACACCAAACCCATAAATACACAGACACAAACGTGCACATACACCAAACCCATAAATACTCAGACACAAACATGTGCACATACACAAAACCCATAAATACACAGACACAAACATGTGCACATACACCAAACCCATAAATACACAGACACAAACATGTGCACATACACCAAACCCATAAATACACAGACACAAACATGTGCACATACACAAAACCCATAAATACTCAGCAGAAACATGTGCACATACACAAAACCCATAAATACTCAGCAGAAACATGTGCACATACACAAAACCCATAAATACACAGACACAAACATGTGCACATACACCAAACCCATAAATACTCAGACACAAACATGTGCACATACACAAAACCCATAAATACACAGACACAAACATGTGCACATACACCAAACCCATAAATACTCAGACACAAACATGTGCACATACACAAAACCCATAAATACACAGACACAAACATGTGCACATACACCAAACCCATAAATACTCAGACACAAACATGTGCACATACACCAAACCCATAAATACTCAGACACAAACATGTGCACATACACAAAACCCATAAATACACAGACACAAACATGTGCACATACACCAAACCCATAAATACTCAGACACAAACATGTGCACATACACCAAACCCATAAATACACAGACACAAACATGTGCACATACACAAAACCCATAAATACACAGACACAAACATGTGCACATACACCAAACCCATAAATACACAGACACAAACGTGCACATACACCAAACCCATAAATACACAGACACAAACATGTGCACATACACAAAACCCATAAATACACAGACACAAACATGTGCACATACACCAAACCCATAAATACACAGACACAAACATGTGCACATACACAAAACCCATAAATACACAGACACAAACATGTGCACATACACAAAACCCATAAATACTCAGACACAAACATGTGCACATACACCAAACCCATAAATACACAGACACAAACATGTGCACGTACACCAAACCCATAAATACACAGACACAAACATGTGCACATACACCAAACCCATAAATACACAGACACAAACATGTGCACATATACAAAACCCATAAATACTCAGCAGAAGCCAAAGTGTTTGCAGAGACCGGCAAGGTCAAAAGCACCCGGGAGGAGGTAGTAGCAGAACACTCCTTTAGTTCCAGCATGCAGGAGGCAGACACAGTTGGATTTCTGTGAGTTCAAGGCCAGCCTGATCTATAGAGTTCCAGGACAGCCAGGGCTACACAGAGAAACACTGCCTCAACAAACAAACAAATAAAAACAAAAGCAAAAACAGACAAAGCATTATGAGACAAAAAGAAATCTTCAGAAATACCATTGAGTTTCTTTTGGGTTGGCCTCATACTGCTGGACGCGGGGCCTGCCCGTAAGTGTGGATTTTATGCCCAGGGAACCCCCACTGGAGAAAAGTAAGTGTCCCTTTGTGAGCTGCTGACACTTGGGGAGAGCATCTCTGGGTTAGGGTGGGGCCTTATGCTGACCTCCCCCACTCAGCAGAGAGACCACTTCTGTCTCGATGTGTGTGGTGCCAAGGTCTCTGTGACTTCCTGTCAGCGCTGTCGTGTCCTGTGTGCCTCCTTCCGTCTGCCCTGCTGCCTCTTCATACTCCCTGAGGCCTGCGCGGGCTTGATGAAGATATGCCGCTTAGGATGAGAGAGTAAAGGTCTGTCACTCAGCACACTGTCCAGTTGTGGGTCCCCGTCTGCTTCAGGAGGGAGCTTCTCTTACAGTGACAAAGCGAAACACTGACACTTCCTTTTTCTCAACTAAAAGCTCGCCACTGTTGGCTTTTCATCAATCTCTAAGATATGTGGCATGAAATGCTGGTTTTCTTTTGACCCCCACAATGTTCAAGTGCACTTGACATTGTGAATGTCACCTGGCTTTTCCACATGCGGTTAGGGTTAGGTTAGGACTTGTTACTTCTCAGAATGAATGTGTCACTCAGCAGCTAATGCAGAATTACCCAGTTTGACTTGGTTCACCTTGCTTCTTGTACTTAGAGAAGTCTGGAATAGATTTTAAAAGTATTTTATCTTACAGTTAAAATAATAAAATTGCTTATGACTAGCTATCATGGCCTATGCACGGCTCAAAATTGATTTGGAAATGAGGTGCAGTTGATAATCCTGTGCTGACACAGATGGAATAATATATATTCCCGTTGGTGCCAAGTGCAGGAAGGATTGATGCATAGGTCCCGGATGTGACTATCTCCAGCTTTGTAACCTTCCCTAGAAGTGCGAAATGATATATTTTAGAACCTCCTGTGTTCGTTCTATTTATAGTGCTATAGCTAAAGCTTAAGATTTTCCTATCTGAAATATGAGGATCTCTACCTAGCCGGGGATCTGTTTTCCAATGAAACCCAAAGTTATCCCAAGTAAGATACTGGAAACAAATTGATAACCACTTTCAAATGAAAATTTAGTTTCCTCCTAGGGAGTCTCATTAAGGAAACAAACCATTCTTAAAAGTGTTCAGCATTGCCTGGCAGTAGACAGGTGACAGACAGTGAGCTCAATGGCATCTTTGGAGGTTGCTTGTCTCATAATATCATGTCAAGGCACTTGCTTTTTTTATTAATTTTGCCTTATTTATTTTATATCATATATGTATACACATATTTCTTCTCTCATTTACCCTACAGGTCCTTTGCATACGTATTATGGCTTGCATACAAACAAGTGGATCTCTGTTTCTTGTGCCTTCTCTTGGGTTCTTTTCCTTCTGTTTGTTTTGTCCAATTCCAATGTGTTTAGTTTTGCTTTATAATACTTTATCTATTATTATCCCATAGAAGCTTGATTTCTAATGAGAGACAGAAAGGGGGGAGATAGGGTGGAGCTGGAAGGAGTAGAGGGAAGAGAAACTAACTATATTCAGGATATAGTATATGAGGAAAAAAACCCATTTTCAATAAAAGGGAAGAAAATGTTGGAAACAGAGACTGTAGATGTCAAGTTGTGAGCTGTATTTTTCTGATGTAACCCCAGTGCCAGAGATGTGTATATATAATAATAATATATATTATCATTGTTGCAATAAATATGTTGCAAAAAATCATAAGATAATATCTCAAAATGTGGACAGAGCAAATACTTTTTACTGAAAATGTCTATATGCAGCTATTCTAATTGGTTTAAGTCTCTTTCTTTTTTAACATGTGGGTTATGTCATGGCTTTTCTGCTCTTTTCGTTTGTTCCCAGTTGTAGTTAGATGGGGTGTTTGGCTACAGATGTTTCTTCTGGACCTGTGCTCACTGGGCCCATATGGCTGTGAATGTTGAGACATTGTATGAAAGAGAACTGTTGAATTTTGGTGTGGCTTCGTGTTTTGAGATAGGGCTTCACTCACTATTTAGCTCTGGCTGGCCCGACACTCATGATGTAGAACCATGTTGGCCTTGAACTCATAGAGATGCTCCTGGGGTTAAAGGTAGCATGAGGGGCATTCTTTCTGTTGGAAACAAATTACCGGTGAATTTAGAACACCCTATTTGAAAGATTATATGCTTAGCTCTTGTGTCACTAAGTCCTTAAACATTAGAATTCAACCTTAATGTTACTTGGGAATAAAGCAAAATGTGTTCTTAACATTTTTAATATTTCTGTTTACCCTTCAGCACTAAAATTCGAGTTGTGGTGCTGGACTGTTTTATTTCTCTTTCAGTCGCCTAGGCCCTCCTTCTTCCCCCTCTGCAGCCGACAAAGAAGAGAACCCTGCAGTGCTGGCTGAGAGCTGTTTCAGAGAGCTGCTGGGCCGAGCAACTTTTGGGAATATGAACAATGCTGTTAGGCCAGTTTTTGCGTGAGTACTTGCTGTTTTCCTAGTTATCTGTGGCTTTGCTGCGTACTAGTTGTGTAACTTTCTTATGGAGGGTACATACTTTCTAATTAAGGTTTCTTACTTACTGTACAAGATAATGGCTTTCACTGCTGTTTTACTCGTACAAGTAACTTTGTGAAGGTAGCACTAGGCATATTTTTATTTTTCCCTGTGAGTATGAAGGATAGTATTAAACTTAATACTGTGTGTGTGTGTGCACTGAGAGATTGGACAGTGTCACCATGTGACACATTGTTTCTCTCCCTCCCTCCCTTCTTTTTCTTTTCCAGTTCTAGGAATTGAACCTTGCACCCTCCCAGGAGCTATATCCCTGTCCCCCAACTTTATCTGTTTATTTATTTTTACCTTGGCTGGGGGCTTAAGATTCTGTTCACTTTTCTGAATGAGTCTCATCTTTTACTCAGAGTCTAATCAAGATAAGAGTATGGAAGGCCCCACTGGTCCTTACACACTGTCTTCCAGGCTCTCATGAGCAGTAAGTCTCTCAAGGCAGGGCCTTCAAGTCTTCTGCTCCTAACTTCATCATCAGATGATCGTTCAGTCTGCTACACTATCCTACGCGATTGCTGGGCATTTCTTACTGATCTTTCCTTTGTTAAAGTTCACCACCAGCATCTTTTCATTCCATAACTACAATAATAAACATAGCACGTGAAGAGTATTTTGCCTGTAACATCCATAATTCTTTTCTTGGGGCGGTGTTTAAATACATGAATCATTAAGTCACAAAACTATGTTGAAAATCAAGTGTATCACCAGGTTTCCACAAAACTTGTGGACCTCTCTGTCACAGTGGCCTTGTGGAAATGCTACTAAAAAGAAACCAAATTATGTTAAATACATTAAAGGCAAATTATTTTTATTTATTTTTAAATATTTAAATTTAATAGAATTTGAGCTAAGCTAGCCTGTAAGGCAGACTTTACCACATTAGCCATACTTTAGTTGAACAATTTAAAGTGGGCTTGTGTGCTCCCCACTTTTAAAGTAAAAACTATTTTTCATATAATGTATTTTAAGCTTGCTTTTCCCTCTCTCAACTCCTTCTATGTCCTCTCCATAATCATGCCCACCCAATTTTACGTTCTTTTTCTTTCTTTCAATACAAAGCAAAATTTAAAAAGAAAAGGGGACATGGAAGGAACAAAACTGCCACAAGAATCAAAAACAAACAAAAGATGAGTAAGACCAAAAAAAAAAAAAGTTCAAACAAAGCTAACAGTCTACAAAAATAGCCACTGTTTGTTTTGTGCAGCCGACTGCCTGGGTTCTGTCCTAGAGTGTGGTTTGATCTCCCAGTGAGATTCCACCGGAGAGAACTGCACACAGCCTGGACCTTGACAGGTCCTGTTCACGCGCTGCTGCGGTCTCTGAGCTCATAGGTGCATCTATCCTGCTGTATCTGGAAGACAAGGTTTCCATCACTTGTAGCGCTCAGCAGCCTTTGTGGCTCCCTCCTTCATAGGTGTCTGAGCCTTGTGGACAGTAGTTGACAAAGATGGAGTCATTCATCACTTCTGGCTTTCTTAATAGCCCTTCTGCCTCCTCCTCTGCATAGGTCCCCCAAGTCTTGAGGGGAGTAGTTTGATGAAGACGTCTCATTCAGGACTAGATGCTCTAAAGTCTCTCGTTTTCTGCACATTTTTCCAGTTTGTGTCTCTGTGTTCATCCCATGTAGTGTAAGAAGTCTCTCTGGTGTGGATTGAGTGAGGCACTGATCTCTAAGTTGAGCAGGATGTTATTAATAGTCATCTTATTGCTATGTTCCTTTAGCAGAGTAATAGTCTTAGGTTTCTCCTGGGCACATGAACTGTCTAGTGCTGTGTTGTTTAGCAGAGCAATAGTTGTAGGTTTTCCCTGGCACATGCACTATCTGGTGCTGTATTCCTGTAGCAGAGCAATAGTGGTAGGTTTCCCCTGGGCACATGAACTGTCTGGTGCTGTGTTCCCTTAGCAGAGCAATAGTGGTAGGTTTCCCCTGGGCACATGAACTGTCTGGTGCTGTGTTCCCTTAGCAGAGCAATAGTGGTAGGTTTCCCCTGGGCACATGAACTGTCTGGTGCTATGTTCCCTTAGCAGAGCAATAGTGGTAGGTTTCCCCTGGGCACATGAACTGTCTGGTGCTGTGTTCCCTTAGCAGAGCAATAGTGGTAGGTTTCCCCTGGGCACATGCACTATCTGGTGCTGTATTCCTGTAGCAGAGCAATAGTGGCAGGTTTCCCCTGGGCACATGCACTATCTGGTGCTATATTCCCTTAGCAGAGCAATAGTGGTAGGTTTCCCCTGGGCACATGAACTGTCTGGTGCTGTGTTCCCTTAGCAGAGCAATAGTGGTAGGTTTCCCCTGGGCACATGAACTGTCTGGTGCTGTGTTCCCTTAGCAGAGCAATAGTGGTAGGTTTCCCCTGGGCACATGAACTGTCTGGTACTGTATTCCTGTAGCAGAGCAATAGTGGTAGGTTTCCCCTGGGCACATGAACTGTCTGGTGCTGTGTTCCCTTAGCAGAGCAATAGTGGTAGGTTTCCCCTGGGCACATGCACTATCTGGTGCTGTATTCCTGTAGCAGAGCAATAGTGGTAGGTTTCCCTGGGCACATGCACTATCTGGTGCTATATTCCCTTAGCAGAGCAATAGTGGTAGGTTTCCCCTGGGCACATGAACTGTCTGGTGCTGTGTTCCCTTAGCAGAGCAATAGTGGTAGGTTTCCCCTGGGCACATGCACCATCTGGTGCTGTATTCCTGTAGCAGAGCAATAGTGGTAGGTTTCCCCTGGGCACATGAACTGTCTGGTGCTGTGTTCCCTTAGCAGAGCAATAGTGGTAGGTTTCCCCTGGGCACATGAACTGTCTGGTGCTGTGTTCCCTTAGCAGAGCAATAGTGGTAGGTTTCCCCTGGGCACATGAACTGTCTGGTACTGTATTCCTGTAGCAGAGCAATAGTGGTAGGTTTCCCCTGGGCACATGAACTGTCTGGTGCTGTGTTCCCTTAGCAGAGCAATAGTGGTAGGTTTCTCCTGGGCACATGCACTATCTGGCTTCAGGTTCCTGGCCACCTTAGCAGTGTCAGGTGTGGCTTCCATCTCGTAGAGTGGTCCTGAAACCCAGTCAGAAGTTGTTGGTTGCTTCCACACTGTGTGTGCCTCCATTGCTCCAGTATGGTTTGCAGGCCGCTCTCTATTGCAGGTCTCAGGGTTTGTAGCCGGGTGGTGATAGCGATTATCTTTCTTCTTTGGTAACGCACAGAGGACCTTGAATGCTAGCCAGTAGTAATGAAGCTTCTAGGTAGACACCATCTTGACGTCTCCATGTTTGATGACCTAAGTAAGTCTTGCCTTCATCAATAGGGCCTTACCCTGTGTAGTAGCCATCTAATTAATTAACTGGATCCTGCCTACAAGTAAGGTCCTGTGTAATTTGGGAATATATAAAGAGTAACACCGGATAGATGAGGGCTATACACACTAATTACAGATTATGAGAAAAGACCAAAAAGTTGTCTGTCATTTAAAAACAGGGAATTAATAACTAACTTGAGAATTTGAAATAGTATTTCTTAGGCTAGATGTGGGTAAATATAAAAAAACTTGCTTTGGTGGTATTTGTAAAGTGTATTTTATTTCATCATTGAAGTAGACTTTCTATTTCAATTGTTACTTGGTCTATAAAGAAACTAAGAGATTCCCTAAGAATTTGAATACCACATTTTCTTTCAACAGTGAGTGAGTACAAGACAGCTGGCGTTCTGGGTGCCGTGGAAGGGTTAGTGTGAAACAAGAAGAGAAAGACTAGATTACACTAGAGAAACCCCAACACCTTATCTTTAAGGTTTGAGGTGATTGTTGGCAATCTTAGCTAAAAGTTAAGTCAAGAATTGCCATTTGAACATGTTAATGGTCTTGTGTTGGTTGATTATAGGAATAAAGTTCTATACCAGAAGGTTTCAGGCCTGAGCCTTGAATACCATGGAATTATTAAAATAGACACTTAAAACTAAGTCTACCGTGTAATCACCTTTGTTTTGGATTGTTTAGGTTGACATGTCCAGGAACCTCTGAATGCCCTTGTGGAGTTTGGACAGAGGGATTTTTTTCTTTTTACATTAACCATAGAGTTTATTATGGGGAAGACAGAGAGACACCAAGAGGGAAAGAGACAAGGGAGAAGAGAGTGAAAGGGGGCATTTTTTTTTCTTACTGCTTCATTTAGTCTAGTATTTGTTACCCCTGTAACAAATACTTAACAGTTAGAAATGCATGCCATAGTTATAAAAGTGGAGCCCTGAATTTTCTTTTAGATAGTTTTCTGACTTTTTATATTGTTGAAGGTCTTAAAAGAAGGTATAATTCAAAACCAAGCGTTCCTAATTTCTAATTGTTGCTTGCAGGCATTTAGACCATCACAAGCTGTGGGATCCTAATGAATTTGCAGTTCACTGCTTTAAGATTATCATGTATTCTATTCAGGTAAAGTTAATGAACTGTTTGTTAAATAAGTAATAGTTATCCTGCATAGATGTGCATGTCACTAAACAGGTGGGAGATTTGCATGTGACGCTCTGTATTGGTTTTCTGAGACAGGGTCCCAGTCTGCAGCTCGGACTGACCTGGAATTCGCTATGTAGGTCAGGATGGCCGAACTCTCAGGAGATCCGCCTGCCTCTGCCTCCCGAGTGTGGGATTAAAGGCGTGCGCCACCAACGCTGACACACGGCATGCTCTTATTTGTATTTTTTTTCTCATTCACTGCTTGTTTTCTTACTGACCAAGATAAACATACCTAGTAAGAGGACTAGGTAATTGACTAAGTAACTTTTTGTGCCACTTTTAATATACTATTTAACTCATACATTGTGTGCTTCTTTTTTCCAGGTGAACTGGTATTGATTTTTATTTGTTATAGTTTCTATTCTTTATACAATCTTATGAGTGCTGTCTTCTACAAAGGACTGCCTTTGGGGATTTTCCCCCTCAAAATCTGAAAAGATTTGATTAGATCTTAATTCAAATGTGATGTTGTATCTTTAGTTTTGGTTCTTTCCCTATGCATTCTTTTAAATATATTATGCTATTTTTAGCTAATCCCTTGTAAGTCGTATGAAGATGGGTCCTAATTTGCCTAGGATAGTCTTAATGTGTATAGTTGTTAAGATTATCCTCACCCTCCATTACAGAAGTGTCCTGGTCAGACAGTAAATTAGATACATTTAAACAAGGCAGGCTTAGATGTGTGAGCTTCATGAGGAACACCCAGTTTACAAGTTAAGAAGTTCACTTTGAGATTGTTGTTGGTAGTAATATTAGTAGTAGTGATGGCGGGGTGTGTGTGTGTGTGCGTGCGTGTGTTGAGCATGGGCACACATGTGTCATATGCACATAGAGGTCAGAGAACAACTCTCAAGAATCAGTTCTCATCTTCAACTCGTTGAGGCAGAATAGCTCTGTCTGTCTGCCTGTCTGTCTGTCTGTCTCCTCTCTCTTCTCCCTCCCTATTTTTAAAATTATTTTTACTTTATGCACATGTGTATTTTCCCTGAATGCACATATTTGCACCACACGCATGCCCAGTGTCACAGAATGCAGAGGTCGGCATTGGACCCATTACAGACAGTTGTGAGCGGCCATGTGGGTGCTGGGAGCCACACTGGGTCCTCCAGAAGAGCAGCTGACGCTCTTAACCCCCGAGCCATGTCTTAAGCCACCCCGGCCTGTCCCACACCAAGTTAAAGACAGTACTTGGTTGTTGGCTTTCTTTACACAGGCGGTCATAAACAGATTCCAGTGCCGACGTTTATTCTTTAAAGGGACGGTTCTTGTGGCAGCTGCGTGTCGTAAATGCCAGTCCTTTATATGGGCTGCCAGGCACCTTTTCTCACAGACCTGCAGTTCTTGCTCAAACATCTTCCTGCTGTTGGCTTCCTTAGGCCCAGTATTCTCACCATGTGATCCAGGAAATTCTGGGACACCTTGATGCTCGGAAGAAGGATTCCCCTCGGGTTCGAGCAGGCATCGTCCAGGTTCTGTTAGAGGCTGTTGCTATTGCTGCTAAAGGTTCCATAGGTGAGTATCAGTAAAACAAAAAAGAACGCATCAGTAATACCAAGTGCTTCCCCGTAGCTGTCTGTGAAGTACCCTAAGATCTCTCCTATTTTCAAATGTTCTAGAATCTGAGTGTGTGTGGTCAGTTTTTCCTTCCTTTTTCTCCCCTCTTTCATGTCCTTTCTCTTGTAATTCTTTTAAAAAGGGTTAAGGATACGATTTATATACTGAACAATTGGGTGGATACAGATGTTAAAAGGCATATAAGTTGAACAGTTGAATTGTTTGAACTGTTTTTCTCTTTTCTTTCTTTTTAAATGTCACTAAGTATTCAGCTCAGGGCTGTGCCCATCCTACATAAGTGTTCTGCTTGTGAGTCACATCCCAGCTGTTTTATAGTTACTGAGATGACATCTTAGTGAACATTGCAGGATGGCCTTGAACTCACCATGTTGCCTATGCAGGCCTTCAACTGAAACCCTCCTGCCTCGGGCTCTGGAGTGAAATTCTTCAGTGTTGAAATCTTCTTAGTGCTGACAAGATGCTTGAAAATGGACTGCACTTGTTTTAGTATAGGACCCCTAAAAATCCTGTACTGTGTGTACGCAGTATAGGAAACACTGATGATTTGGTGTTTGTATTTGGGTGCTGTCTCTAAACTCTGTTTGCACGCATACTATGCATATATTACTACTAAATACCAAACATTTGTGACCCCCAGCCATTCTGGTGAAGGGCTTCTTCCACTTGTCATTCATGAAGACAGTCCTGCCCAATTATGAATTACAAAGAGACTTGGACCACGTGTAGCCCCGGGAGACCAAGGATCAGAAAACTGCAGGAATGTGTGTTAGCACAAGCAGGATATTAAGTGGCCCCTTTTGCTAGAATGGGTGGAGGAAATGAAGGAAGCATCTTTACAGTCGCAGTGCAGGCAAGTTATTGTGCAGCTCATGAGAGCTTCGCGGACTGACTAGGGATAGTCTGCCAAGTGGGGGGCAGGAGAGCAGGAAGTGCTGTCGCTGTCTCAAGAGTGAGGGAAGAGCTCTGTCTTGGGCAGCGTGCCGGGGAAGCTGGCAGATTGTAGGGAAACAAAGGGAAGAGAACAAGCCAAAGAACTTGCTGTTTCATACACGTGTGATTCGGGAAATGAGCGGATATGATAGAGATACAAGGCCAAAAGGAGAATCTAGCTGTGGTCTTGTTCAAAATGAAAGCGGAAGTCTTAGCTAGTCAGATATTCTAATATTCATTCCGTGCTGAATGAGAGTGGACCTTGTAGGCTATGGACCTTTTGTTATTCATCTTGTAGTTTGCCTTTAGAAGATGCAGACAATCAAGTTTAGTGATGCACACCTTTAGTCCCAGCACTTGGGAGACAGACCAGGCTGATCTCTGTGAGTTCAAGGCCTGGTCTACAGAGACTTTCAGGGCTAAACAGTGAGAACGTCAGAAAGAAAGAAAGAAAGAAAGAAAGAAAGAAAGAAAGAAAGAAAGAAAGAAAGAAAGAAAGAAAGAAAGAAAGAAAGATTGGGAGAGTGTATGAAACTAGGAAATGAAACACAGGTGGTCTATTCAGTCACCACATTTACTGGTGTCTGCTGTGTTAGCTGTGCTGTGCTAAGATCTGTGTAATGGGTGGGATGGACATTTAACCACATATTCCTTTCTGGATAAGTTTGTAATTGTGTGTGGACATAGCTATAGAACCTTTAGTTAATATGCAATATGACTAAGAGAAAAAAGCAAAGAAAAATCAGTTCACCAGAACCTGACAGACTGGAGAGTTTCTCATAATTGGAAATTCTTCCATTTTTAATCTGAGAAGACACAAAATAATTTTTCTGTTACAGTGAGCTGTATAAGTTTATGGATTCAGCCATCAGTCAAGTTAAATATCATCTCTGTAAATATTACTTTGGATAGACAAAATTAGGTATTGAATGAAAGAAAAGAAGCAAAAGGAAAGAAAGGGACATGACTGCTCCTAGGTGTAATTGGAGGATTTTCTCCTGCCTGCCAGTTGCAGAATAAACTCTCACACGCGTAATATTAGTTATAATTGCTTGACCAGTGGCTCAGGCATATTACTGACTAGCTCTCCCAATTAAAGTAACCCATTTAATTTATATTTTACCATGATGCTTTGGCTTGATACTTCATATCTTGCTTCTCCGGCGGCTACATGGCCTGACTCCGCCTTCTTTCTCTTCCCATATCTGTTTGGATTTCCCACTTGGCTCTATCTGCCTGGCAATTGGCCAGTTCCTCATAGATGGCCAGAATATGCGTCTAGTATGACTGTGAGACTTGGTTGTTTAGTTATACAACTTAAAAATTAACTGGAAAGCTCATAAATTATTATGTACCGAGTCTGCTGTGAAGTTTGAGAGTTGCTCTTGAGGGGACAAGCTCACAAAGATGGTCTTTCACAGGACCAACAGTGCTGGAAGTCTTCAACACCCTGCTGAAACACCTGCGGCTCAGTGTGGAGTTGGAAGCCAATGACTCCCAGCGGGGGTCTGTGGGCAGCATCCCCTTGAGTTCCAAAGACAACGATGAGAAGATTGTGCAGAACGCTATCATCCAGACCATAGGTCAGTGCGCCACTCTGCGGGTCACTGTGGGGTGACCTGCAAACACTCCCCCGTAAGCTATTGGGAAGTACACTTGTCAGAGTTGAGTGACGGCTTTAGACTTCGCTGTTACACACTTTTTAATCAACCTTCCATAGTTCAGTTTTGTTAACTGAACCAGTAATGTCTTCTGCAGCTTTGATTTGGCAGTTGGAGCTTGGGCGATGCTAGCTATGATACTTGCTTTGTGAGTGCTTAGCTTTTTATCTCATTTCCCTGAGAGGAAGCCAGAACAAGTACAGAGACACAGGAGGTTGCTGTGAAGTTCCGTTCCCTAGGTGCTGCCTGGAGTGATACACCGATGGATATTACTCTGCATATGGAGAACACAGAGGTCCTTAGATGCTGAGTGTTTGTGGTATATGGTTTGGGGAAATGAGTATTTCTGATATTTACCAGACAAAATGGGATAGTTACTGATTTAGCGGCACAGGGATTTAGGTTCACAATGTGCAAATAAAAGTTTCCTAAAAACTGTCTGCAGAAGTTTACTTAAATATTTATGTTTTACACAGTGTTAGATAGAGGAAATTATAATTTATTTACATTACATGTAGCTTGAACAGTCATTGTTTTGTTTTAATGTATTGAAAGCACCGTTTAAAATTACAACACTGAGTCAGGTGGTGGTGGCACACGCCTTTAATCCCAGTGAACAGGAAGATCTTTGTGAGTTGGAGGCCAGCCTGGTCTACAAAGTGAGTTCCAGGACGGCCAAGACTGTTACAGAGAGAAACCCTGTCTCAAAAAAAACAAAAAAGCAAAACACAACAAAAAACAGACAAACGAAAAATACAAATTTTGGGCTGAAGAAATGTCTCAGGTTAAGAACACTGACTAGTCTTCCAGAGGTCCCAAGTTCAATTCCCAGCACCCACATGGAGGCTAACAACCATATGTAACTTCAGAGGCCCTCCTCTGGCCTCCTGGGGGACCCACCAAACATGCACATGGTACCCAAACATGCGTGTAGACAAAATGCCTATACACAGAAAATAATTTAAAAATGGTTTTGAGTTATATGGAAAATTTACCACTTTTCAGTTTGTGAAATTTGTCTTCATATATTCATAGGGTTTTTTGGAAGCAACCTGCCAGACTATCAGCGATCAGAGATCATGATGTTCATCATGGGGAAAGTGCCTGTGTTTGGAACATCCACTCATGCTTTGGATGTCAGTCAACTGGGGTATGTCCTCAGGTGTAAATGAGCTCGCTGTGGATTGCCTGTTTTAACTCAAAACTGTTAGTGTTTTAAAACTTGAGCAATGAAAAGCAACAGTGTTTTATTTGGTACTAGATCATTGGGACATTAAGTCAGTGCTTACGTTCATTTCAGATCATTTTTAACTTATAGATTCCAATTTTTTTTAACTCTTGTATTGGTGAAATGGAAGATTTATTTGCCCTATTCATTCTGTGTCTGCACATATATAGGGTGAAATTTCAAGCTTTCTGAAAACTTTTAAAACACTGTTATTGAATCAGGAATACTGACTTGGGGTGGTAATGTTTCCCTATAGATTTGATTTGGTAATATGCTAAAGCATTAGATAATGTGCTAAAATGATCTCATTATGCCTTATAATTATATGACTATTGGGTTTTCATCAAAAATGCCTTTAAACTTTTAAGGAGATGGAAATGCTGACTACCAGTTGGATCCCTGCATATATATGCGTGTATAGCATACCATAGCCATCGGTCTGTATAGTCAGACATGCGCTAACAAGGCACTGGCGGCTGGGGAAGTAGACTAGCACGTAAGTGGGTGAGCACGCTTCCTTAATAAGAAGTGGGTAAGAGTGGTGTCCGGAAGAACAGTAAATAGAGGGAGGTCATCAATGGCGGAGTCAACTAAAGGACAGTCTATTCTTAAGTAGTTCCTACAGTTCTCTCTCTTTATGAGGAATACTGTGAGCATTTGATGTGTGCTGATCAGATAGATGAAAGTAGCATTTCCATCTCAGATGTCATCCCTGTGACTGTTGTGTACACGGAGGATGGTTGGCATCCCTGTAACTGTTGTGTTCACAGAGAACACAAGGCATTTCTGCACTTTCTTGGGTCACTTTGTCCTGTACTTGAAGGATTTAATCTTCATATCAGCACTTGAATTTGTGTTCTTAAAGACCCAGTAACTTGAATTTTCTTGTTTAAATTTTTTAAACATTTATCTGTTTTAATTAATATGAAATGTATTTTAGTTTATAAAATGAGTCCTGGCATAAGCGATTATAAAAATAAATAAAATCTATTTATCCAGTAAGAATAAAGTTTTTAAATGAGAAAAAGGTACTTTAAATAGATGAAGTTAATATAAATGTAAATTGGTAATGCCATGCTTTGTATGTTTCAGGGATTTGGGAACCAGGAGAATTCAGATAATGTTGCTGAGGTCTTTGCTTATGGTAAGGAGTGTAATATAAGTGGGGGAATGGTCTTTAAATGACTGAGGAGTGGTGTCACCGCCAGCTTCACGCTCTGTCCCGAGGATCTCCCCTTTATCTTCTCATCGCTACTCTTCTGGCTCTTCAGTGCTGCCTGTCCTGTCGCTCTGTCTGACCTTCCCTGTGATCAAGCTTACAGAAGGCAGACGCAACGCCCATTTGTAGATAGAGTCCTGTGCTCAGAGGCGTTAGGTGGACAGAGTTAAAGAGGCCCAGGGTCACTGAGCTAGACACTGGGACTCAGATACGAAAATCTATAGTGCCATCCTCATTCCATCCAGGCAGTGGCTTCTTGTTAAGAGTGCTTATTGTTTTAAATTTAGAGTGGCAATAGATAGCAGAAAAACAAAACCAAAAACCCAGAGGTCCTCTGGTGTACAGTATGCTAAATACGCTCATTTTTTCCTTTTTAAATTTTAATTTAATCACAGTTTTCCCCTCTGTCCAACCCCTCCTTCCCTCCTTGCTTTGAAATTCATGAGCTCTTATTCTTTATTATATATGTATGCAAATAAATGCTGACTCCATTGATTGTTGCTTGTATGTATATGTTTTAGGGTGACAATGGAAGATGAGTTCTCCCCTCTCAACAGTCTTTAATTCCCGTAGCTCTTCTAGGGCGGGTGGCTTTGTGAGATTACCCCATCCACGTTGGCATGTCAACTGGTGTTGCCAGTGTTCAGGTCTTGATTAAGATAGGCCGTTTTTGTTTACCTGGCATCGTGTCAAGGACAGAGTAGGGCCTGGTTCCTTGAATGTGTGTCCTTGCAACCAGTACCTTCGGGGTTCACCTGAGAGACCTTTGTCATAAGTGTGTTTCCTGCATAGGTACAAAAGAATGGCTTTCAGGTTTAATTCCCTGCCTGGTGCTTGTCATACAGGATTTTAAATTCAGCTGCAGCGATATTTCCGTCTTTTTATTTGTTATCTTACTTAAAGACATCTTCATATTTCCAATGACATAAGTACTGTTGCTGCAGTTTCCTAATAAAGTCATGTAAGATTTGAGTCTGATTCTTTATAGACAACAAATTCTTTATAGACAACAAATTAATATACCACCTTGGTTTTCATTCTAAGCCAGCTTTGTAAATTTTGCCATAGTGTCGTTTTTAGATGATTAATAACACTTAAGCATATTCTCATTCAGAGTTTGAAAAAATATTGTCATGAATGTCGAATCGAGTTACAAAATAGTTTTTCAAACTGAAAATGTGTTCCTGTTCGCAGTGGTTTCTTTTAAAACAACAGATGCAGGGTCAGACTTTGCTGCTGTCCCCGTCTGCCCCATGATCCTTGTGTGATTCACCCAGGCTCTCTCTGGGTAAGGGGCTGTTAGCCTGCCGCACAGAGTTGGCAGGCGTGCGGTGCTTGCTGTTAAGCCTGCACTTGGACCACACAGCCCATGTGTGACGATCACCTTGTTCTTGTTTTATACAATGCTCCTGAAATACCAACATCGTGACTACCTTACAGATTTCCTTTATGTATTTCTTCAGGCTTGTGCCCATAGCTTCTGATGCCCTAAATGTATGATTTAAAAATGTGAGAACTTTGCCTAAGAAGGACTCAGGAGAACATTGTTAATTTTCTCCTCGTAATCAGGTGACTTCTGGATACAAAGCCAAGACAATTGTTACTGCTCTGCCCGGGTCATTTCTGGACCCTCTCTTATCGCCATCCCTCATGGAAGATTATGAGCTGAGGCAGCTGGTCTTGGAAGTAATGCACAACCTCATGGATCGCCATGACAACAGGGCAAAGCTCCGCGGCATCAGGTGATTCTGTGCTGCAAGAGAGCTTGTGGTTTCCTCAGTCTCTGTGTGTGTGTGTGTGTGTGTGTGTGTGTGTGTGTAGGGGGTCAGTGTGTTGTAATCTGTGTATGTGTGTAGAGGGTCAGTGTGTTGTAATCTGTGTATGTGGGGTCAGTGTGTTGTAATCTGTGTGTATGTGTGTGTGGGGGTCAGTGTGTTGTAATCTGTGTATGTGTGTAGAGGGTCAGTGTGTTGTAATCTGTGTATGTGGGGTCAGTGTGTTGTAATCTGTGTGTATGTGTGTGTGGGGGTCAGTGTGTTGTAATCTGTGTGTGTGGGGTCAGTGTGTTGTAATCTGTGTATGTGTGTGTAGGGGGTCAGTGTGTTGTAATCTCTGTGTTTGGGGTCAGTGTGTTGTAATCTGTGGGAGAGTCAGTGTTGTAATCTGTGTGGGGGGGTCAGTGTGTTATCTACTGTTTGTGTGGGGACCAGGGGTAGTTTAATTGGTATCAAAATGATTTACTAATGTTTTAAAATAATGTGTTGGAGTATCATTCATTGTGTTCTGCAAAGTGCTAATCTAGTAATTACTACTTCCATTGATTGCAAATTGTTTTGTTTTAGTTTTGCTTTAAGCCTAAGAATAGCACTATGAATGAAGATGATGTAATTCTTAGTTAAGCATGGTAAGCCAGTAATATCATTTCTTATAAAAGTTTATAATGTAGATGTGTCACCATTCAAACTCCTGAGCTCACGTATAATCCCCCACAAAATACAAGGTATTACAGTCAAATGTGCCAGGCATAACAAATTATTGCTACATTGTTTCTAGAATAATACCAGATGTGGCTGACTTGAAGATAAAAAGAGAAAAGATTTGTAGACAAGATACAAGCTTCATGAAAAAGGTAGGGTCATTGTGTAATGAGTGTTTGGATTGTAACTTACTTACAACCCTTTAATCTGTCTGATGGTTTCACATTGATCAGCGGTCTTTAAATGGAGCCATAGAATGGGGAGTGACCGACGGCTCACTGCCACCTGCAGCCTGCCTTATGCCCACGGTCCCAACTGTGACTCCTAGAGCCTGTGCTTAGGTGTAATAGAGGCCGCTCTTCATTTGAGGGGATAGGAGTATCCCCATCATTCCTGCCTGCCTCCTGGTAAACCAAATACACATAGTGGTTTTACTCTAGCTGCTCTTGTGTAGACAGCTCCAATCCACTCACTGCCTAGTGCATGCACAAGGGCACTGCTGTTTGTTGCTCATTACGTGTTGTTCTGTCCACTGGGAAGTGAGTGAGGCGTGATGTCTGCCTTTCCACACGGGTCACTTTAGGAAACCGTGATGTCTTGTAAGTTGACCGTGCTTCTTGTGTAGTTTACCAGTCGTCCAAAGCTTAAATGGGACATTTGGTTCTATCACCATCTTCAATGTTTCTGCTGCAATCCACCCTCTGTGTACTGTTGACATTACAATATGTGTGTGTTCTAAGATAGTGCAAGCTATTTGCTAGCAGACATTTGGTCTGGCTCCTGTCGGGATGCCGTAAATAGCGCTGCTGCAGCCGTGCTCCATGTCCATTATGCTGTGCAATGCTCATGTTACCATGGCCGCCCACTCCAGGGACTCCGGAGCAATAACTTTAGATGATACAAGCACACCAGAGAACACCAATTGTTTATGCTACATTGTTAACATACAAAAGTGTCTTTCTCTGTGTCTTTCAGAACGGGCAGCAGCTATACAGGCACATATATCTGGGCTGCAAAGAGGAAGACAATGTTCAGAAAAACTATGAGCTCCTTTATACATCTCTGGCTCTCATAACTATTGAACTAGCCAATGAAGAGGTGGTTATTGACCTCATTCGATTGGCCATTGCTTTACAGGTATGTTTTTATAACTTCCCACTGAAGGAACATTTCTTTTTAGTGAAGCACAAATGTCACTCGTGGTTTGGTATGATTATTCAAGAATATGAATTTTGATTAGCAAGTTTTTTGGTTATATATTCAATTACAGTGAGCAACTGTGTGCTAAAAGTCATTCAAGATTTCTCAGAACATGATGAAAAAGACAGTCCTTTACCTATATTTCCAATCTACTGGAAAAGGAGGTCATTAAATAATTATTATATATGTAGCATTGTGTAGTTGGAGTTGAGTATTCCATAATAAATGCACAACATGTAGTGTGCATGAATGTGTATGTGCGTGTACATACGCCCCCCAACACACACACACCATGTGTTTTTGTCAGCTCTCTGAACTATCTTCAGTTTTCCAGTGTAATCATGGAGAATATGCTGAGAACTTGATCTTTCAAATGTGTTTATATTCTACTGAAGGACAGTGCAATTGTCAATGAAGATAACTTGCCAATGTTTCATCGCTGTGGAATCATGGCACTAGTTGCAGCATATCTGAACTTTGTGAGTCAGATGATAGCCGTTCCTGCATTCTGCCAGCATGTAAGCAAGGTGAGAAGCTTGGGAAAGTTCTTAAACCTGAGTGCTGTGTAAAACCTGCTGATTTCTGAGTAGTCACTTTTTCCTAACTTTATATGTGTGTGTGTGCATGTCTTTATGTGTATGTCTATATATACATATATAATCTTAGTATATAATTGAGGTAATTATATAATTAAGATAATTCTGCAAAAATAATGGGGTTCTAAATCAAAAGTACAGTTAATATTGTCTGTTAAATATTTTTTTGTTTATTTTTCAAGACAGGGTTTATTTGTGTTATAGTCCTGGCTGTCCTAGAACTCCCTTTGTAGACCAGGCTGACCTGTAACCCACCTGCCTCTGCCACCCAAGTGCTGGGATTAAAGGCTTGGGCCACTTGTTACAATTTTTAAGGTCCTTGAATTGAATATAGTTTTCTTCTCCCTTTTCCATTGAGCCTTTCAGTTAAGAAAGTTTGTTTGTACAATCTAAGGAAGAACCAGAGTTGAATTATTAATGCACCTTTTTGAATTTTGTCATCTTTCAACAATGTTAACTTTCGTCAGTGGCCATCCCAGTTACTGATGTGATTTCATGTATATTTCAGAGTCCTTAACTAATGTGGCAGAAACGCGCCACCTTTGAAAGCCGTTGTCAGAGAACCTCATTTTTATGAGAACTGGAAGCACCTCTTGCTAAGAGCAAAACTCTTCCATTCACTTAGAACTCACTTCTGCGTTTGAGGCTTGCATATTGTCAAAGTGGAGCCGACCCTTTGTGGAGTCCCCCCCCCCCCAGGGCCCTGGCTCTGACTGGCTCTGAGCACACAGTGTGTGTGTAGGGGGGTAGCTTGTGAAGCAATTTCTAAAATAGGTCTGTGTTGTTTTGCTGTTTTGAGAAAATAAGTGCTGTTCCTTCATAGTATGACTCAGCAAATGTAACACACCGTTTTTTTACTTCTTATGTATATTTTATTATTAGGCTTTTAACAGCTGTTGAATCTTTAGTATCATGTGAAAACAAAAGGAACTTAGTTTGAATTCAAAGATAGACTCCTGGTGTTTAATGTAAATGCTTTAAGGTATTTGGGGGCGGCTTTGTTCTTAGTTGTTTTGTAAATGTTCACTGCAAGGTCCTAAGAAGTGTTTGTTTGGCGTTTGCTTTGATTTCAGGTTATTGAAACTCGAACTATGGAAGCCCCTTATTTTCTACCGGAGCATATTTTCAGAGATAAGTGCATGTATGTGGATTCTTTATATTTGAAGGAAAAGCTCACTAATGAGAGAGCTGTTGATAATGTTTAAAAAGGAATAACTATTGTTCCAGGTTTATTATTATCATAATTGTGTTATTTCTGTCATTTAATTCATGAAACCTTTCCCTTTGCATAATAGTTATAGATAAGGATATAGTCCTGGAAATACAAATTTTCCCCCTTTTTAAAATGTGATAATATATTTATTAACTATGGCATTGTTTTGCTGTATGTCCTCATAGTCCTGTCACAGTACAATTTTCTTGTTGAAGATTTTTGATAACACATAAAAATGTGGGCCAGAAACAAATTCATATGCTATACCTTCTTCCTGGCATTGCACACTGAGAACACTTGGCTCCCACTTGGGCTGTGGGGCAGGCGGCTCAGTATTGGAAGCCCCAGCACAAGATGGTAACCAGTGGGAAGCGGGCAGGGCGGCTGTTGTGACTGGGCGTGGGCTTTCTGTCACGTCCTGGCCCTGGGCTTCATGTCATTCTCCGCTGTGCTCTCTCATTACATTTTACTTAGTGAAAACTGAAAACTGAGTCCAGTTTTCTTCATCCTCTAATGCCCAGGAGTCTTCAGACATTAGCAGGGTGGAAGGCTGAGTTTACAGTAAAGTGTGACCGGGAAGAGTCCCAGCATACATGGACTTTTCTGTCACCCCAGTAACTTGTACTTCTGCCTGAAACACTGCGACCTTTGCTGCAGAAGTCCTTGCTCAGGCATCAGTATTGAATGATCGCTGTTTTTCCCAACTTGACAGGCTTCCAAAGTCACTAGAGAAGCATGACAAAAGTTTATACTTTCTGACCAACAAGATCGCAGAGTCCCTTGGTGGCAGCGGGTACAGTGTGGAAAGGCTGTCGGCTCCTTACGTGCCACAGGTGACAGGTACGTTCAGCAAGCCTCTGCTGCCGTGCAGCGGGGAGTGAAGGCAGTTTTGTAGGCATACTCCATAGTGGGGTTTGCTTTTCAGGTTCCTTTTACTTTATGTGTATAAGTGTTTTGCATGCTTGTGGACCATGCTTGTACAGTGCTGCTCATCTGGCCACAAGAAGGCTATGGGCTCTCTGGAGTTGGAACTGGAGTTAAGTATGGGTGTGAGCCACCATGTGGGTGCTGGGAACTGAGCTTGGGTCCCCTGCAGAGTGGTTAGTGCTTTTAACCATGAGACATCTCTCCAGCCCCTCACTGGTTGTTTCGGTTCTGTTTGTTTGTTTTTTCGTTTTTAAAAGCTATTTTTAATGTTTTCTATTTTTAAATGCTGCTTTAGAAACCTTTGTCTAAGGTTGTAGTAGGAAATAGGTAAGATTATGGATAGGAATTTACCATAGGGCAAGCAAGTGCTTGGGTTTACTGTTATTTTTAATCTATTATTCATCCATATGTTTTATGAAATTTATTATCATTAAACAATACTGTTACACATTTGTCATTTAAAAACCTGCAAACCATTTCTGAAAAAAACCTGCCAACTTTTTATGTGTATTTTTTTGTTCTTTAAAATGATGCCGCTGCATTTGAAGATAAGTTACACGATATCTTGCATTTAATTAACACTAGTTTATTGTACTCTCATATCCAATTAATGTATAAATGAAAGTTACATTGGTGAAAGAACTAGTTTCTTTTTAAGATAGACATCTGTTAAATAAAGGAACTATTTGATTTCAGTCAGATAATTTTATGTATAAATTACCGAAAGTAGTATAATCTTTATACATAGCTGTCACCAGTCTGAAGCTAGCATGGGTTACATAGCAAGTTTTGGTCAGTCTGAGCTACATAGTAAGAACTTTGTCTTTAAAAAAAAAATGAACAAAACAACAGGAACAAAGCAAACAAAACCATGGTAGAACTCTGTAATTTATTAAGTTTGTTTGTTTTGGGGCATGTTAAGCATTTCAAATATTAAACAGTTTTGCTTTGGATTTAGCTGTCTTTCCTTCAGACCCAAAGCCTCATAAACCCAGGCAGAAATGCAAAGGTAACTGCACCTGGTAGCCTGCCCTGCCCAAAGCCTGCCTTTCCTGTGGGAAGCCACCCCCTGGATGTGTGGTTTAGAAAGTGCCACTGTGGGCAGTGTCTTTGCGTGCCTGTCACTAGCTGTGGCCTTGCTCTGTGTCCTTATCCTATAGGCACTGTGTCCCTGTCCCTCCTCCCCGTGGCCTTCACTGCAGCTTTCAGTGAGAATTCTGGTGGTCATTCCCACGTGTGACTTTGCCTTCTCCTCAGACAAGTGACAGTCTCTTTCCCAGTGTCTCTATCACAAGCTAAGAGACGTCTGAATACTTCCGTGCATAGTTAATTATATTCTCTGGATAGAAATTCCTAAGAACAAGTAGACTTTTTTGACTTAGTAAGACTGATGTTTTTAAATTGGTGTATTGTGTGGGCTTTGTCTCGTGCAGGAGTCCTAAGAGTGATGTTTTATGGGATACTCAGTTATAATCATTTATTATTCTTTATTTTCTGTGTAGTAGCTGTATAATCATTTATTATTATTTTTTTCTGTGTAGTAGCTGTCTACTATTGATTTTGAAAATTATGGGCAGTTAAGAACAGTAAAACATAAATGTGTATGATATATATACACCCACCCCACAGTAATGCTGGCTCCATTTATCATATTTTGTGCCTGGCATTGAGAACAGCACTGTGTTCGTGTCCCTACTTAGTCCTTATACTAGCTTAGTGAAGAGCATAACATTTTCTTCTTACCATGAGGACAGTGGGGCTGAAATAAGTAATTTGATTAAATGGCACACTAAATTTAGCTGCCTCTGTGCTCTTTTAAATGCTTAATAATTTATTTGATTTCACAAGTTTTAATGAGAACAGAGGTTTTGCATGCATTCAGAATGATCCATCCATGTCAGTCAGCAGTGAGCAGAAATCACCATCTTCCCTTGCTTCTCATGCCTGTGAGACCCAACCACTGCACCACTCCAGGGACCGACAGCCAGGGATGGAGCTCAGTGGTCGAGCGCTTGACTGCAAAGTGGTGGAGATTGCATGTTTGTCTGTTCATTTCTTGGGAGAATGAAAATACACAGACCTTAGCTGGAGGCCAGGTGTGGTGGCATAAGTCAGTGACCCCACCCCCAGAAGGCTGAGGTAGGAGGATTGCTGGGTTGGAGTGCTCCTTAACTGATGAGGCCTACTGCGTGTTAGGCATTGAGGAGGTGATAATGGCAAGATGCTAAGGTGTGGTCGCTGTCTTCAAGGATTGCAGTCTCACAGTGAAGCCAGATGAACAAATGCAGCGGCTAGCTCTAGAGAAGGCACAGTGATGTGCCTGCAATTGCTGAACCACTGGTGTCTGAGCCACGGTGTGACAGTGCCCGGCAGCTCGCCCGGTCCGTCCCAGCAGGGATTGACCCAGCCTCTGATTGAGTGCAGTGGGCTGCACGGTGCACTTTCTTTCCTTACATCACCGTGGGTATTAGCCCTTCTCACATCCTGTACTTTCCTACCAGTGTTTGAAAAAACTTTGGACCTTAGACCTGTAACATAATGAAGAACCAACACCAGAACAAGACGCTAGCCCTTCACCTCTTAGGTTTGCCTCTGCCACCAAAGGAAAGGATGACAAGTGTCAGGAGCGCCCAGAAAGGAGCCTCGCACACTGACGGCTCGCATGATCTGTGAGACGGAATTATTACAGCCACTTCGGATAACATGATTGGCTTTTGTTCATAATGCTGAAGTGACTACCGTATGCTCCCTCAGTCCCTCTTGTGATCACACCCAGAGTAACTGATGTCAGGGTTTGAGAAGTCTGCACACAATGTTCCCTGCCGCATTCAGTCCTCACAGAGGCCAACAGACAAACAGCTGAGGTGCCCTCAGCCGACAGTGATGCCCGTACACACTGCAGTGCTCTTCTGAAAAACAAGCAGTTTTCACATCCGCATCAACATGGGTGATTCTAGAGGGACATGACAAACACCATATGACCACCCCCAGTCACACAGGAAGACTTCAGTTCTTAAATCCTGATGTCTTACTGCACAGCACGGTGACCTTCGTTAGTGTGTTTCAAATTGGTAAGAGAACTTAAGGTTGGCAGGAAGGCTCAGCAGAGAATTGCTCTTATTGCTAACCTGATGACCTGAGCTCAGTATCCCGAGTGTGCGTGGTAGAAAGTCAGAACTTCTTCCTCTAAGTTGTTGACCTGAGCTCAGTACCCAGAGTGTGCATGGTAGAAAGTCAGCTGCTTCCTCTAAGTTGTGCTCTGACCTCCGTATGTGCAACCAGAATACAGGTGCTGGCACTTAGGCGCATGCTTGCGCATGGATCAGCTTCTGAGCGTTCCATGTTGTGTACAGGGCCAACGTTATGCTGACCCTAGGGACGAGCAAAAGCACTTACTTTGCCATTTGAGTAAAATAGGTTGAAAGGTAAGCACACATTGCTTCAAATGTTTAGAAAAAGCAAGAACCTCAAACTCAGCTTTCTGTATTTTCTTGCATTCTAATAGTTATGTGATTAATGTGCAACATAACATTTCTGACTAACAAATAATAGAAGAAAATAAATTTCATTTCAGATGAAGACCGTCTTTCTAGAAGAAAAAGTGTTGTGGATACTGTGTCTATTCAGGTGGATATTTTATCCAACAGTGTGCCTTCTGATGACGTGGTAAGTTGCTGGACTTTTGTGATGGAGAACTGTCTTACTGTAGTCATTATTTATAAAACGTTTTCCTCCTCACCTATAAATGGGAAAAATTACAAATCTAGATTATTCCCAAGTCAACTAAAGTGATAGTAGAAATTAATGAAATTTAATTTTTGTAAACTCATTTCAACATCTATCAAGATGCATAAAATCAGCATAATTATTATATTTTTGCATTGGGGTCCTGTGTGACAGAAAGAACTAAGACAGAAGCAAAGCTGTGTTCTTTTACTTTAAGTATGATATGGTAATGCGTGAGCCCTTAAGTTCCCTAAGTCCTATTACTTTGTAAAAGTTATGAAGGGTAAAGTATAGAAGTAGATGGGTCTGAACACCTCCACGAGGCCAGTCCTCACCTCAGAAGCTGCTGTGTAAGGAAAGCTCCATTGTCATTTTGGATATTAGCTATTATGAGAACGACCTAAGCCATCTCAGTGCGCTGCCCCAGGACAGTGACTGCCTGCACTGTCACCCCTTGATGCTGCCGGGTTACAGAACTAAAAGTCAGCCAGTACTGTCAGCACTCAATCCACACAGAGAATTTCTGGTAGCCAACTAAAAGTGACAAATGCAAGCTAACCAACTCAGCTTCCTCTTCATGATTTACAAACTGTTTTCCTGCCTGGCTGTTTCATTATTCTCATTGACACAATCTAAACAATTAAATATCAAAACAAGAAAGTTGGAAACTGAGTTGTCTGAATTAATGCTTTCTCATTCCCTTAGCTTCTAACCAATATAACTAGGGAACAAACAAATTAGATCTTTGCTGTTCAGCTCTCCATTATCCAGAATTCTTTTGTCCTAATAGCCACTTGTTAGAGGGGCTCCAGAGCGCTGAAGTGGGCTCCGGAGATAGCTTAGTGGGGAAAATACTCGTGCAGGCAGGAGGACTTACTTTCCGGGTCCCCAGCACCCACATAGAAAGCTAGTCTATGAGATACGGAGATCCTGGAGGCTCACTGACAGCCAGGCTAGCCCACGTGGCAGACTTCAAGTTCAGTGAGGAGACCTTGTTTCAAACAACGAAGAGGGACACGGGAGATGGCTGAGTGGATAAAGCGCTTGCCAGGTAGGCGTGACGACCAAAGCTGGGTTCTCTGGTCCCTCACAAAGGAGTGGACATGGCACCCACCTGTGATCCCAGCGCTCATGGGCAGAGCCAGAATCTCTAGGGCAGTAGCTAACTGGAAGCGGTGTCTGACGTCACCTTTGGGCTTGGACAGCTGCGCACATAAGGGTCTCTGCAAACACTTGTGCACACACAAATATGAGGGAAACAGGTAGAGCTGTTCTGATGGGAGCCTGACTGGGACGCTGAGGTAATGGAGAGAGGAGGATGGTGTTCAGAGAAAAACCGGGACTGACTGTTGGAGCAGGACCAATACCGACTCGGCAACAACCCCGAACCCCAGCCGTTAGCTAGGGAGCAGTTTCAGGTTGTGGTCTTCTAGAAGGAAGAAACTGCAGTTGCTGGGTTTTACACACACACTGCCAGTTTCCTGAGCCTGACCCAAGGGGTCTGAGGCATTGGTCCTTGTTGGTAGTGCACATTCACTCAGGACTTCATCTGTTCCTTCCATACTCACTCAAGACTCGCTCTGCTCCCCACACTGAAGGTGGGGGAGGAGCAATTGGGGAAGACACCCCAGTCCCAGCTTTCCTCCCCAAGACCACCTCATTATCAAAGCCACTTTAATATGTACACTTCTTATTTGTAAAGAGTCTTTCAATGCGAACTCTTTCAATGAATGTGAGTTTGCTCTTACTGCCCTTTCAGTAAAAAAAAAAATTGCTTCGAGTGCCGTCTTCTGGGCTTAATTTTAATCAGGAAGACCATGCATTTAATGGTTGTGTTTTTATTATCTCTTTTTGTTTATTTTTTGTTTTAAACTAAATGTTTTTGACTCTTAAGACTGCAGTAAAGAATCTGTCTGTTGTGGTAAAATAAACTGAAAAACATTTACATGAAGACACTATAGGGGTAAGATTCTCTGATTTTTACATTAGAAGTTCATTAATGCGTTAGCTTTTCAAAGGCAGTGTCACAGTCCTCGGTCACATACATCGCACACTAGGTATTTGACAAGTACAATTTAGTGCCGTATTGACTTGAGCACGCTTGAGTTTCAAAGTGTCTGGAATATGCTTTTGCACATTAGTTGTTCAGATGCCAGAAGACAGAACAGAATGCCTTATAAACTAAGTAGTTTATAGCAAGGGCAGGAGAAATCCACATAAGTCAGCCATTTTCCAGTTACTGATAAGTACTGTATTTCTGCATTATTAGTAAAAGTTAATAAAAACAACAAGAATGCTGCCTTTAGTTTTAACTTTCCCCATGTTCTTTGTCCTGTACTGTATATAGTTTGTTGCTGTTGTTTTAGTCTGAAACTGTCTTAGCCCAGTCTAAGACAGTGAGTTTTGTTTACTTCATTAAGCTGCTAGCGCTAGACTGCTCATGGGTGAAATGACTAGCCAGAGTCTAATCTTGTGTATCTGCTCCAAATGTCTAGAATGCAGCTGAAGATTCCAAAGTTTAATCTGACTTCAACTAGAATTGTGACCTCGATAGCAAAGCTGAGGTAGCGGAACTCTTGCTGCTTGACTTCCAGCTAAAGCCTTTGTTAAAAGACGCTAAGGTGCAGAACACAGTCTTGCTTTCGTTAGTCTTGCTGCCTTAGACTTAGCGAAGGACGCTCATGAGCTAAACTTAGGGGTGACGGAAGTGCCAGGCAAGTACTCATGTATCGTATCATTGCTTAACTTATGTTCAGAGATGCTACAGTGACCGTTTATTACTCTGTGTGAAATTGTCTGGGTACCTCATAAAGTACCACTGCCGAAGCCGGGCATTGATGGCGCACGCCTTTAATCCCAGCACTCGGGAGGCAGAGACAGAGGCAGGTGGATCTCTGTGAGTTCCAGGCCAGCCTGGTCTGCAAGAGCTAGTTCCAGGACAGGCTCCAAAGTTATACAGAGAAACCCTGTCTTGAAAAACTGGGGGAAAAAAATTACCACTGCCCAATTATCACAAAATACTACCTTTTAAAAATCATAATAAGACATAGTTTTATAGCTTTGTGCATATTTCAAAGGAAAAGATCTGAGAGCCCAAGATAAAGGTATTTATAAGAAATAAAAAACTGGTGGTTGATGTTAGAAAATCCAGAATATGCTTGTTTTCAGTGAAAACTTTTCAATATAGTATTTCCTTGAAAGCTTCATTTATTTGTGGTGTGTGTGTGTGTGTGTGTGTGTGTGTGTTTTACCTCGTGTATGTCTGGTGCTAGAGAAGGCCAGAGAAAGTGTTGGGTCCCCTGGAACGAGAGTTAAGGAGAAATGTGAGCCACCATGTGGCGACTGGAATCCTGACTCTGGTCCTCTGTGAGAGCAACAAATGCCCTTAAGCACCCAGCCATCTCTGCAGCCTGTTCTTTTAACCAGCTAAATCTTAGATTATCTCATGCTTGATTGGACTGCTGTCTGTGGTGCTAAAGTTCTAAAGGCTCTTCCGTGGTGAATTCTTTGTACCACATAGCTAAACAACACCATGTGTTTGTCTTCTCAGCTTTGAGTGCTTCCAAGTGCCTTCCCCTTACCAAGCACAGTCACCGGGTGCCGTTGGCCCATCAGACCCCAGGCCGTGACTCATGCAGGGGTGCGGAGGTGCTGCCTGATCTGCCAGGCTAGCACCCACCTGTCTGTGTGCCAGGCAGGAAGCCACTGTGGTCGGCCATGGTTACGGCCAGGGAAGAGGGCCACAGCACCTGCTGTGTGCAAGTCAGAAGGACAAACACGAATTGTGAAAATGCTTGGGTGGCTTGTACGTTAGTAAGAAATTAATTAGACTCACACGTCCTGACTCTTTGTTCTCCTTACACTCCCTTTAGGTCAGCAACACTGAAGAAATCACCTTTGAAGCCCTAAAGAAAGCAATTGGTGAGTTGTGCAGCACGCTTTAGCACTCCTAAACTCTCTCTCTGCTTCGGTACTTTTTAGATGACAGCGTGATCATCTACAACATGAAAAGGGAAAATACTGTAGGTCTCTATAAATGGATCATGTATTCAAATACATTGTTTAAGCTTTTCAAGTTGTCTGACATGTATGCACACATAAGCAGACACGGTGGTATAAACAAGGTAGGGATTTGGTTTTAACTGTCTAACAAACTGTCCAGACCATGGTGACCTCAAGACAAGTGAGACTCAGACACATTGGCTCTGAACAACCCAGCTGCATTTTAGTTTTCTATTTATTGAGATCAAGACACACTTTAACCAAAAGTACCTCTGTGTGTACAAGGGCAGCTTAATTAGACATAAAGAATTACTCAGAAAAGTCCCGGTAGTCCTTTGATTTCTAGTAAGTTACTGTTCTCTCTTGTGTCAGTATGTGTGTGTGTTTGTAGGTTTGTGTGTGAGTATATCTTGATCTAAGTGTGTTTATTGTGTGTGCGTATGTATGTAGTAAGAGGCGGGAATTCTATGAAAGTAGGCATTGTGTTGTGGAGCTTTATTTAGATTTAACTTTTTCTGCAATATTTGTGTATTCTAGTATTAAGTGGAACATTGAAGGAACGCTAATGTACTTTGTTTTTTCACCTCGAATCACTCTTATGTTGAGGTTTATCATCGATCATTGGCTCCCATGGTCTTTGGCATGATCTTATGACACTCTGTCCTTAACCGGTTCTTACATAGACACCAACGGAATGGAGGAACAGGAAAAGGAAAAGAGACGTCTTGTGATCGAAAAGTTCCAGAAAGCCCCTTTTGAAGAAATAGCTGCACAGTGTGAATCCAAAGTGAGTGAGCCGATGGGCGGGGAGTGAGCTGATGGTGATGGGTGGGGCGTGAGTCTTTGGCGGCCCCAGCCTCAGAAGGCATTGCTCTTAAACCTAAAGGATTTCTTTGTGTGATGTTGACGGAAATGGCAGGCCCTAAGCTGGCTGAATGACAGTTGTTGCTTTGGTGCTCTGTTCGGTTGTTTCCAGTGGTTTTTTGATGTTGCTTTCTCTCTCTCATATGTGTCAATGTGTGTGTGTGTGTGTGTGTTTCAACTTGTGGCTATAGAACTTGAAAGGGGTGGTGTGGGGAGAAAACCTACATTAAAGTCCAGTAGATATTGCAGATCAGAGCATTAAAACAATCTGTATGTCAGCCTCAGCCTCATAGTTACAGTTGTGCTTTGTCTGCTGTGTGGCTGGAGAACAAGAAATCTTTACCATTCTTTTTTCTCCTTTGCAGGCAAATTTGCTTCATGATAGACTTGCTCAAATATTGGAGCTCACCATACGGTAAGGGGCTTGTTAGCACAGCAGTAACAGAGAGCAGTAGATGCTGGTGTGATGGCTGCTTTGCACTGAGCATAACCTAGATCTGCCTGGCAACCCTTGGTGTCCGTTCTCACTGTGTTCACAGGGGGAGCTGAACATGTTCTTGTGCGGTCATCTCCTGGCGTTTCTAGCTTTCCCTTAGACGATCTTTTCCTTCATGATGGTCTCCACTAACATCTGAGTGATTTGGGGTTCTAACTTCATATTTAGCTAGGGAATCATTTGTATTTACCCATTTTTCATGCACTCCACCTGTAGTTTAATATGCTTCCACTCAGAACAGTAATGCTGCTACAGACTGGATGGGTGATTTTGATCATTGGCTTTCCTTGAGCTTTCCTAAGTCCTCCCAAGTTATTATAAGAGTCACACTCCAAAGTACACAGAATCTCACTGCTGTTGGTCATTCTGAGTCTGTCGCTTAAGTAATTCAGACTGGGCAGAAGGAAAGGCTGTCTCTAGGCCCTCTGCACAGGAGGAGCGGCCATAGGCTCTCACATTGACATCGTTGTGGAAATGGCCCAGGAGAGGTCACACACAGCTTCTGATATCATGTTTTCTACATCAGCTGAATCCTTTACCTTTTAATTTGACTAGCTCTCTCTTTTTCTTCAAGTCTGCATCTTATGATTAGAAGAGCCTGGTAAACATTCAGTACTTGGCTTGTATTTATTCTGCTTTGTCTTCTGTTTTCATATGTAAGACACTTCTTATCAGTTTCACTTATTATTGTGGACATTGTCTCATATCTTACTGTGGCTGAGGATAGAATTACTCAGTTTTAAACGTTTACCAAGCATTTGGACTCAAGTTTAAAATGTGCTACAGACTTTCTTTTCAGAGAAAACCACCAAATACAGGACATTTAACTCTGTTAGTTACAATTCCAGACACTCACTGTATGCTTGGATTCCGGCTGTATACTTTGTGGCAGTTATTTCTGCTCTCAACCCTGCAAAGTCTGCATGCTGTCTCTTTAAGTTTCCAGGTGAAGACACCAGAGCCTAGAGAAGTGACATAACTTGCTGAAGGTTACTGGTTAATAGACAATTAAAACACACAACCTCTGTTGTTATGTAGAAATTGCACAAACAAGGTCTGTTTTGGACTTAAAACAGCCAGAGTCCCTCTTGCCTATGCAGTGTCAGAGATGGCCGGCGCCACCACTGCACTGAGCCCTTTATAATTAAGTAATCTGGCTTTGCTGTCTGCAGGCCATGGGTGGATGCTGTAAGGCAACTGCTGATAGCACCATGTTCTTCCTTTACAGCCCTCCTCCCAGTCCATCCGGAACACTGACCATGACTTCCGGGCATGCCCAGTACCAGTCCGTCCCAGTCTATGAGATGAAGTTTCCAGACCTGTGTGTGTACTGACTGGCTCATGAAGACTATAGCATCTAAAAGAAACTTAGAGCCTGAAACACAAGGCCGAGATGAGTTTTCAGGATTTGCGTAACATTTGCTGAAGTGTCCTGAAACGCGATGGGATTTATCTCTAACCAAACACTTGTCATGCTGTGTTAGAAGTTAGGAACTCTGCTCTAGAGTACTTCTAAAGGCAGACTTACGCCACGTTCATTTGTTTTGAGGTTCCTGTTAGCTTTTAAGATTGAACATGTATTGCTTTCACATTATGCTGTTGTTAATAGTATATTTTAAACTTTGCACAAACATGATTTTTTTAAAAAAAGATTGAAAATGTGTGAAGTGTCTGCTGATTTCTTAAGCGTCTCCACAACTGTTTAGAAATGGATTGCTTTTGTTTTGTTCTCTTCAAAAGCAAATGTATTCCTAATCCTAGGGCTGCAAATTCTTTGATGCTTTCTGAATCCATGCGTTAGACAGACTGCGTTGACCTTCCTTTAGTCCTCAGTGGTGACACGTGGCAGGCTTTCCTACAGTATCGATGATAGAAAAATCTACTGAGTAGTATTTGCACATAGGTTCCCATCAGGAAACTGGCCAGGCCTTACTGGTCTTGTGATAATGTGTTTTCTGCTTCAAGCTGAGCCCTTGAGCCCCTTAGAGCTTACTCTTGGAGCACCAGAAGGTGCAGTGTTTTCCACATATGATGTGTTAGTTTACAAACTGCGCTTTGAAACTATAGTTGTATTTTGCTGTAACTCCATTAATTAAATGAAATATATATTTACTATAGAGAAGATATTTAAAATAGCTACATGTTCACCTGTGCAAAGCCTATACATTTCAGTTTCTTTTAAATGAATGAATTTTCAGTTTTATATTCTACCTTGTTTTTAGGCCTTCATAGTAAAAGCAGTTTCCCCAGTGAACCTTTTAATTTGTAGGATTTGAACCAAAACTTGTATGCATCTCTATTGAAAGATTAGTTACATACATTCAGAGTGGTACGTGTGTTCTTGTTAGGTTTTGTGAGTGTCAGCTGCCTTTATTCCAGTGTGTGAGACAGCATTAGAAAATTCTCTTAGCACAGTTTGGTGAACTCACCTTATAAAACTCTATTCTTTCAAATTCAGTTTCTTTTTGCATAAAATAGTATTCCTATCAAAAATTATAACTCAAAAATAATTTGGTCTTAGTTTAGTTTCGTTTTGTTTTTTAAAAGAAATTAATAAATGGGATGCTTTAAATATGCATTTATGGTTATTTGAGCACCATTCATACAAAAAGGAAAAGACAAAAAGGAAGTGAACATCTTGCCCAGAATTTTGAATATACACAACAGAGACGGGTCCATTTGCGAAAACCTCTGACAGGGCAACCAGGCTGCTGATCAGGGCAGACCCGCCAGACCTTGTCCTCAGAGGGACAGCGCAGCTGCCACTGGAAACCAGCAGCCTACTCCAGCTGTCACTGTAGCTTCCCTGCATGCCAGGGAACATGTCACTGGTGAATGTCAAGCCTCATGCATTTTTGTTTCCCTTCTTCCGCATTTTCAAAGAAGGCTATTATATGTTGACTACATTTAAAATCTAAACAGGGGGACATGCAAAAACAATCATCATCCACTTGGATGCCATTTTATAAATGAACACTGTGTGCTTTTGTATGGAAAATATATAATTTAATAGTATAAGAAAGATATATATATTCACTTGCATTCATGGAAAGCAAGCTTTGCTGTACAGAATTTTGCTTTTCTTAGTGATTTAAAAAGGCATGCTTTGCATGTAAAGTAATAACTTTGCAACTAATTTTTTTAATCATACCTTTCTCTTGGTTTTTGTAAACTGTTGGTTTGAGTATTGTTATTCTTAAACCACAGGACACTTCTGGATATATTAGGTCCAGTAGCCTGAACTGGTCTTCTTGACAAGGGTTCCCAAGGGATGGCTATTTCTCTGTGTCTTCTACGTTTGCGGGGAATGCCCTTGGGCAGGTGAGCAAGCTGTAGCCAGCTCAGGTACTGACTTTGGGGCTTGGTGTGTCTTGGCAGGTATGTGATACTCGAATTGTTTCTCGTTCTATTTGGTTGTGTTCTTTCATGTGACACGGAACAATTCACTTAAATGTTCCTCCTATGCTTATAGTTTCACTGAACTTTACCCAATCTTTCAGATTCTTTCTCATGTTCTTTTCTCCTCTCCCTTCCCTCCACCCTCCTCTTGAACTCGTTATCCTTTAGAGTAACGCCACCCTCAGCCAGCAGTTCAACTCCCCATTCCGTCAAACGGAACTCATTTGTCTCACTAATGCTGATACATGTATTGATGTGGTAAAGTAAGTTTTTTAAATGTAAAGTTTCATTGTGCAATCAAATGTAAGCAATAAAACAAAAATTACATCTCCTGTGTACAAGTACATTTTTATTATAGCATTACATACATGGAATTCAGCTTCTTCAACATTGGACTTAGCAAAAGTCCAGTTGCTAGGTGGATTCTTCTCAACGTTTATGAGAATCATCAGAACAGAACCACAGCCTATGAGCATGAAGAGAGCCTAGGCCTAGTGGGCGCTTCACATAGTTACTGTCTCCTTGTTAGCCGTGGTGTCTCTCCACTACACCTCCTTGCTCTCTGGATTATACAAAGCCACTCGTAACGAATGCAGCTGTTCTGTAGCTGGGCTTGGTCTACACCTGCAGAGCCGTGTGTCCCAGCCAGCTGTAGTTCACGGGCCTCTTGGACTAGCGACTATGACACGGTGACTAGGAGCTTGGGTTCTGGTTCAAGCTCCTGGCCAAGAAGTCCTAGATAAGTGATTGGTCACTCGTCTGTGGGATGAAAACTGTGATCTACCCTCAGAGCATAGCTGAGGGGTGAGTGAACCACTATGTCATCCCTGAGTTATAGAATAAACCTCTGGGAAATATTAATGGCAGTCGTCCTTAGGGCCTAGAGTTCCCTGAAACCTCTTAATGCCTCAGAGAAGCCCTGTCACAGGCTTGTCTTGGGGCAGCCTAGACCACCACTGTCTCAGCTGGGTGTGACCCTGTTCCCACTGGTACACTGAGAGCTCGGTACAAATGCTGCCCCAGGCTTTGCGCTATGACCATGGTCCAGCCCTCTGCCATTTCATACGAACTGGTGAAAAGAAAGGTCGGTGTGGGGATAACCATCTTTGTTGGGCTGTATTCCGCCGTTAGCTCACACTTGTGTGTCTAGGCTTCCTCATGACTCCTTGTGGCAAGGCTTATGTTGTGAGAGGGGACCGCAGAGCACCTGCAAGGGGATGATCACAGTGAAACGGAAGGACAGAGCTGAGTCTCCTTTTAGGTTGGTCATCACTAGAGAGGTCTACCCTTGACATTCTTAGTCTCAATCTCAGAGCTCGCTCCTTACAACACGAAAATGGGGAGAGCATTTGCTCTTGGATGTCTGCCATGAACAAGGGTGGACCTCTCGAGTCTCCCAACACCTGGATACCACGTGCTGCGGGTGAAAAGTCATGTAGATCTCAGCAACTACAGAAAGCAGGCACGCACGCTCCCCTTCCGTGGTTGCTCCATGGAAGGAAGTATAGGGAGGGACTGGAGAATAAGAAGTCAGGCAAGGGCCTCAGTGATCTTACGGCCTAGGGTCAAGGGTAGTGATGGGCAGTTTCTCGTGGCTGTGCTGTATGGCTGCTCTCCTAACAATGGTAACAAGTGTATCTGACCTGTACGGAAGTACCAAGTCTTCATTAGTCATTGACTGCCGTAGGCAGTTACAAGTCTTCACTAAGAGTAGCGACAGTCTAGGCAGTTACAACTCTTACTAAGAGTAGCTTTTAGATCTTTCCTACATTGTCCCTGTCATCTCACCTTTGCAAGCTACCCACGCACCCATATACCCACAGAGCCCATTCTTAAACACGACACGGGCCATGTGGCTTGCAGAATTTATTGAGCTTCCACAGTCAATAAGAGAAAGGAAAGTGCGCCATCCGCATTCATTCTCCAGCCATGCTTGTGAGCTGATGCGTTTCAGGAGGCTCACGGGTGAGGTGCTGGCTGTCTGCTCCTTTGGAGCTTCTGCCAAGGCTCCAGTGGACTGAGGACTGAGGGCTAGGGAGCTCACGCAGCTCGGAACTACAAGCATGCAGCATCTTATCTTCCACCGAGTGGCCTTGTCACTGAGGGACCAGGAGGCTTCTCCAGAAATCTGCCTATGCGCTCCATTGGGGTGTGGCCTACTCGCTGTCCTCCTCAGAACTGGAGGCCGCAGAGGAGGCCATGCTTCCCCCGAGCACGCCATCCTCACAGGACACCGGCTTGCCCTGGCACTCTCGTAGGGGTGACGCAAGGCTCTGATTAAAGGAGGCGGAGGCCATACACTCGGCTGCCGTCTGGTCACAGGCACACAGGAGCTTCTCACACAGGCTCTGCCCCACACCTGAGCCAGAACAGAGGAGCAGATGTGAGGCACCAGGAGACGCGCTTGGTCACGTGTCCACCCCAGGCTTTCCCTTTGCCAGCCCCATCTTGCACGCCCCTCTGGTACCTGGCTTGCACTGTTGCTAACGGTCTAGCCTGTTTCTCCCGGTAGAAATTTAGCCCTTCCTGTTTCTCATTTGAGTCCAGTCTCCAAACTCGTCTTCACCCCAATCGCACTTTCTGTGTTTAACGCTCCTGGGTACTCCATAGTACCATGGAACACCCATGTCATCTCAAAACCTGAGGTATCTTTCAATCAGTCTTACCTCACCTCCTCTCCTGGTGTCCCCTCCCCCAATTCTCTGGTCTTCACTGCAGTCCCTAGAGTAAAAACCCTTATCTAACAACCCAAGACTACTTGTTGGCAGTATTACATATCATCGGAGTGTAGCCCTTGCCTGCTCTGCTTCCTGTCTGTGACAATGTGAAGCAAGGATCACACATTGGTTACTGTCATAGCTGGGATCTTAAGCCCCGACCCCTCCCCAAAGGCTTGTTGTAAAGGCCTGGTTTCCAGCTATGGGATTTAGGGCGACTAGATACTGACGGCTCTAGCCTCATCAGTGACTTACAAATCTACATTGATAGATTTGTAATCTCATGGCATTAGGAGGTGCTAAATATAAGACATGGGACAGGCTGGAGGAAACGGGTCACGGTGTGTGAGCACGCATGCGCAATCCGTAAGGGAATAGCATACCTGGCCTACCGGCCTTTTATCCACCCGTCCATCTCCCCACCCTCTTCCTTTCAACCTCCATGAAGTGAGCAGCTCTACCAAGATATTCTGCCTCCTCACAAGCTGTTAGCAATAGGGACAAAGAGACCATAAACTGAACCCAGGAGTCAAAGGAGATCTGATTGATTATTCTCCGGTGTTTGTCTCAATCATTTCTGTAGTCTGCAATGAAGGTTTGTTGGCTAGGTGGAAAACTGAATCGGGGAGTGAGTGACATGTAAATACTGCCGTAAACGATGACACCAGAAGGGTGTCACGGAGGTCCGTGGGCTGTGCATGACATACAGCATCAGTAAGGAGGACAATAGGTGAATCCAGGTGCTTCCCCAGTTAAAAGATGAGGAGAAAAGCCTCTCAGAGCACCAGAAATCTCCATGGGGAGTATTTCTTTCTGAGCTACAGAGCAGCCCTGGGGGGAAATGCATCCACTGCTAAGTCGGGCATCCCCAGGATCCAGTTTTTAAGGATGCTCTGCCATGAGCTCGGGGCTGATACTCACATGGATGGGACTTTTATACACCGTCTCTATGAGATATGTCAGCCATGGGGAACTTTGGGTTTCTCTTATGGGGAGGAGTGGAGCTGCGGGCTAGGCTTACCCCTTCAGCTAGAGCCATTGCTCTCCTTCGTGAAGCGCTTTGGGTGATGAAACCCTGCTTATGACAAGAAGGCAGACTACTGTAAAGCCCACTGGGTAGCTAAGAGGAGATTCTGGCTCTGAGGCCATGCTGTTTTCCAGTCTAGAACCCAACTCTCCCATTTCCCTGTCTGTCTAATTGTGGGCATCATTTGTTCCTTCTATGGAATAGAAAAAGTGATGCCGCTGCCTCCTAGGATCAGGATGAGGACTAAGTGTGCCGTTCAAGGACTTAGAGCAGCCCACAGCATGGGCTCAGTAAGCCCAGGCTCCTGAGATCATGAATCAACTATGGTGCTTAAGGCAGCTGACTCTGGCTCTTGACCATGAGCCCCTCCTCCACGGAAAGGAATGTAAAGGCATGTCTTAAGTAAAGAACACGGCACTGTCTAAGGTTAGCAGCTACAGCCCAGATGCGGCCAGGACACAGACACGAAAGCAGAAGGACGCTAGGCAGCCTCCACACTTACACTTGGCTGTGTGGTCCTCACATACCACAGATGACCGAGAATGACTCCTGTGCAGACAGCCCAGTGCTCTCACCTGCTCCAAACAGCAGTGATGGGACAAGCAGCACCTAAGACCAAGGAAACCTTTATTTCCCAGGGTTCCACCACGAAACCAGGACCCTCCATCAAGTCTTTCTGATGTGGAAGTCCTGTGTCAATAAAGCACTGTTGGGCCAATAGGAATCTAGATAGGTGGGACTAGGAGTCCAGGAGGACTCTGGGAAGGAGAAACACAGAGAGTCAAGATGTAACGCCATGGGGTAGGAAGCCTGGAACTATTCTCCGGTAAGAGAAATACTTAGTTTAACAATTATGGGGGTAATTACTTAAGTCAGAGCTAGCCAGTAAGAAACAAGCAAGGCCAACAGCTTCATAATTAATATAGCCTCCTGTGTGTTTATTTGGGACTGATGCGGCTCTAGAACCAGGCTGGCGGGAAGGCTTCTCTCAAGGAAAAGGCTTCCCTTAACATCTTTCTCCATGCTACGCGGGGCACTAAGCTTTCCAAGGGCTGTTTTCCAGAGTAAGGGTGGCTGCTACACATGCCAAAGGCTTCTTAGGCTGTGCACAGTGCCAATAGGATGCCTCCAACAGAGCATGAATCCCACTGTGTCTACCTAAATTTCTACATTGTCTTTTATTTTTGTTAGGACTCTTGATAGCAAATGCATTTATCATTGCTCCTTTCCAGCAGATGGGAGTGAAGCCCTTTTCAGGAAGGGTGCCTCTTTAGCTTGCACAAGTGGTCCAAGTCAGTACAGTGACCCTACTCCATCCAACCTTCTATTAATAGAATGCTTAGCTTCACACCCATAGGTCACCCCTGTAACCCTCAGCCTGAAAGAGTATGGGAACCATGAAGACTTGCACCCAACACAGGGCCTAGGACAGGGTAGGGTTCCAGCAAACACAGCAAACACACTGTGCTCAGATCCACCTGCCTGACAAACCAGGGTCTCCTTGACCGGATGATATCCACAGAACACTTGTGAAGGCGACAGCCAGTAGAGATCTACAGTTCTTCCCTAGGTGCTCCATATTTAGCTGTCCACAGACTTCAAAATGCACTCGATAGCTAACGGGAAGTCTGAGTCTAAGACAACTCTCCTACTTCCTTTCTGATTGTGGGCATAGCTTGTTTCCTCTGTGAATGCAGATGCCTCCTAGGACTGGTATGACAATTAACCACATCTCTCATGCTCTCCCTCCTGGAGACCACAACCCAACCAAGGGTGATCATACTTGTAATCTGTCCTTACTCACACAGCTGCTTTGCCAATTTTGTTGCCAGGCAGGATGAATAACCCTGCCTCACACACTCGCATTATCCAGCAGCTGAGGTCAACGTCTGCCCCAGGTTCAGCTGCCACCCCAGGGGAGCCTGGCTCTCTTATGTGTGTATTTCCATGGTTACAGGGGTTGGGTGGGAAATGAGCACTATAGTTGCAATTTAAAGCCGGTGTCATTGGGAATCTTAAGTGATCGTGCAAACCACCTGCTCGTGACTAACAGAACACATGGGAGTGACATTGCGTGCTTGCTGAATGTGATGCCAGTGACACTGTCATTTGGAGTGTCCATCTGTAGCTTCGAGCTTTAATTCCTTCCTGCAGATGCCGGAAAGCCATCCCTACTCATGTTCCTAACCACTCACATTTGTATTTTGGTAAAATAAGGTCAGTGATCAGGAGGGACCTCCAAAATTGCCTCCGTTTTCCCCCACGAGAATTAATGGAACATAGAAGCTTCTGTTGGTTATGTGCCAGTCTTTGTTACCTCAATGAAGAGTGCTATGTACTCTGGAACTTGACATTTTCCAAGCTCTCTCGCTAATGGAGGACAGAGGGCATGTAATGGAGCCTCATTATATAGACATACCCTTGATTTCACTGCAGCTTTAACTGCTACAACTGAAATTTCAGTAAGGTCACCTGGTGCAGGGTTCTTTTGGGGGGCTGCCCTTGAGTCCCTTCACTGACAACCTGGGTGACTGTTCAGTGGAAACAGAGCAAAGCACAAAAATGGAGATGGCTGTGTAGATGGGTGGATGGGTGGGTGGATGGGTGGGTGGATGGGTGGATGGGTGGGTGGGTGGATGGGTGGGTGGGTGGATGGGTGGATGGGTGGATGGGTGGATGGGTGGATGGGTGGGTGGATGGGTGGGTGGGTGGATGGGTGGATGGGTGGATGGGTGGGTGGATGGGTGGATGGATGGGTGGGTGAGTGGATGGGTGGATGGGTGGGTGGATGGGTGGGTGGATGGGTGGATGGGTGGGTGGGTGGGTGGGTGGATGGGTGGATGGGTGGGTGGGTGGATGGGTGGGTGGGTGGATGGGTGGGTGGATGGGTGGGTGGGTGGGTGGGTGGATGGGTGGATGGCTGGGTGGGTGGGTGGGTGGGTGGGTGGGTGGATGGGTGGGTGGGTGGGTGGGTGGGTGGATGGATGGGTGGGTGGATGGATGGGTGGGTGGGTGGGTGGGTGGGTGGCTGGATGGGGTAACAACCTAATAATCAATCTTCCAGAGTCTATCAACCACGCTCTTAGAATATTCTTTCAACTCATGGTGAATCCCATGTCATTACCTATTTTGTCTGTGCACTTTTGTCTAATAGTGAATCTGTCCCTTTCACTGTGTAATCTTCTATTGGGCATAAGAGGAATTTTTATTCCTGCTTTGCTTAGTTATAGTCGTTTTTGTATCTCTGCTACCTTGCTTGATGCCTGGTGCATGGCAAAGCCCCCAGAGATGTGGGCTGAATGTATATGTAAGTGAACGGATGTGTCTACAAAGACAAGGAAATTCCCCCAAAGAGTGGTGATTACAAAATTTACAAAAAGTAATTAAAAGTTGTTAAGAAGATAGCTTAATTTTTGCCTTCTTCAGGGCTAATCAAATTCAGAGCCCTATTCTCTGTGTGGGCTATTTGCACAAGAGGTCAGTCTAGAGTCATCCGTGTGTGTTTGTAAGCCAGTCCTGGGATGGAGGGTAGTCCGTGGTTGCATTAAACATCAAGAAATCTGACTCAGAGAGTCAAGGACACACTACAGAACCAACTAACCTGAGCCCACTGAGGCTCACAGAGACTGAACCGACAACCATGAGCCTGCATGGGACTAACCCTGTGCATATATGTGGCATGTTTGGTCTTCTTGTGGGAACAGTGGGAGCAGGGGCTATCTCTGACTCTTTGACTGGTATTTGGGACTCTACACCTCATACTGGGTCACCTGACCCAGACTTAGTACATGGAGGGGGCGGGTATTTAGTGTTACTGCAACTTGACATGCCATGTTTTGTTGATACTCATGGGAGACCTGCCCTTTCCTAAACAGAAAAGGGGGAGTAAATGAAGGGTAGAAACAGAGGAGGGTGGTTTGGGGAAGGAACTGAGAGGAGAGGAGAGGAGAGGAGAGGAGAGGAGAGTAGAGGAGAGGGGAGGGGAGGGGAGGGGAGGAGAGGAGAGGAGAGGGGAGGAGAGAAGAGAGGGGAGGAGAGGAGAGGAGAGGGGAGGAGAGAAGAGGAGAGGAGAAGAGAGGAGAGGAGAGGAGAGGAGAAGAGAGGACAGGAGAGGAGAGGGGAGGGGAGGGAAGGGGAGGGGAGGGGAGGGAAGGGGAGGGGAGGGGAGGGAAGGGGAGGGGAGGGGAGGGGAGGAGAGTGGAAGAAAGGAGAGGAGTGGGGTAGAGAGGAGAGGGGAGGACAGGAGAGGAGAGAAGAGGAGAGGAGAGGAGAGGAAAGGAGAGGAGGGGAGAGGAGAGGAGAGGAGAGGGGAGGGGAGGGGAGGAGGGGAGAGGAGAGGAGAGGAGAAGAGAGGAGAGGAGAAGAGAGGAGAGGAGAGGGGAGAGGAGGGGAGGGAAGGGGAGGGGAGGGGAGGGAAGGGGAGGGGAGGGAAGGGGAGGAGAGTGGAAGAAAGGAGAGGAGTGGGGTAGAGAGGAGAGGGGAGGAGAGGACAGGAGAGGAGAGAAGAGGAGGGGAGAGGAGAGGAGAGGGGAGGGGAGGGGAGGGGAGAGGGAGGAAACTGTGGCTGTAAACTGTGAGATGTAAAGAAACATTATTATATTATACATTATATATAATATATATTACATTATAAATATTACAGAATGGGGAAAAAAGAGGTCTAGCTCAGTTTGGCTTGCCCCTTTTCTAGATGAACGGCTAACTTCAGGAGCTCATCAGGAAAGAGAGTCTGTCATGTTATCGTGTCACTCTCATTGAAAACCCATGTCCAGACCCACGGTGTCCAGAGTCAGCTCTTTGGGAAACTCGAAGGAAAGCCCAATGCAGACAAGGGGCCCTACAGATGCTTGCAACCTCCTTGCCATTTGTGGACCACGCCTCCCCATCCATACCTGTCCAGGGTATCCCTTGGCTCGCCTCTTCCTTCTCTTCCACAGTAGCAGCCATAAGATTCAAACTCCTCTGGGCAGCGGGATGTTAGACAGAAGAGCATCTCTCCAAGCTGCAGCAGGGCCTGCATGCTACCCCCATCACCCCGATGCAGGAAGGCCAGTCGTTCACAGGCTAGGTACGAACACAAGCATTCAGGAGAGCTAGGGCAGTGTCCCAATTGTATGAGAACTACTTTGGGAGGATCCTGTACCCCCACTCTTCTGTGCCTTGTTCTCTTGTTTCAGAGAACAAGCCTTCTTCAGTTTGGCTTCTGGTGCTCCACTGAATTCCTTATTCAATCATCGTCAACAATAGGACTTGTCAGGACCAAAGATACCCTGTGGGCCACACCCTATTGTTTAGAAGAGCCTAGAAGCCTGAAGGGTCTGAGCTGTCTTCTTGGGCTTTCAGGACATATCATGTTAGCACACACGGTGGCCTTGCCTTTCTGGTTTTTCTCACTCTGCTCTAGTCTCTCTGACTCTCCTCACACCCTCCTTCATCTGCCTGCAACCTTCTCCTCTGCTCTTCACTGGACACCACAGGAGGTTTGCCCAGGTGAGTCCTACTGCCCGGGCCTCTTCCCAGGTGCAGGTCCTTTGGGAAGGCATCCAAGGGAGGAGAGACAGGGTAATCGGTACCCAAGTGCTTCATCTGTCTAGTTAGCCACCCACACACAACACAATGTGGGTTACAGTCAAGCTTCTGCTTCTAGGCCAGTAGAAGCAGGGCGACACCAGGACAGAGCCAGGTGGCAGAAACCCCTGGTTCTGCCCAGGCTCAGCCTCACAGCTGCTGAGGGGCAAAGGTAAGTTTTGAACCCTTGAGCCCCAAGGAGCTTGCGTAGTAAAGGGGGGTAGGGGTGATGCCTTCCAGATGCACCAACAAGAAAGGTCACAGCCTACAAGGTACCCTACAAAGCTTGCAGATCACAATCTCTAAGCTTTGTTAACAGCTAGATGTCAGATTCCAAGGGCAGGAAGGCCAAATCCTCCTGGATGCTGGCTGCCTCTCCCCTACCTCTTCCAGCTGTCTCCTGAGAGCCATTGCCAACAGATGAAACCTCCAACCTCGACGTTCTAATGCCCGCAGGGACGTGCGTTGCACCTTCAGCTCTGGCAGCAATCTCCGCAGACCCTGAAAGTACACAGCTTGGTGGTCCAGACGTAAAGTGTCGCCCGGGGACATTTGCAGAGGCACATGTGACCAAATGCAAGCAGAGACTCTGAGAACAGACATTTAAGGGGAGTGCACCTCACACCGAAAGCGGCAGGCTTTCAGGGACTGGTGTATTCTACATGAATGTCTCTGAGTGTCCAGACTTAACACTTCCAGGGGCCTGGGCTAGACCACCTGCGTGTCAGCTAACGGTAATCTTTGGGGCCTGAGACTGTGTTATGTTTTCACTTACACAGCTGCCACAGGACCCGGTTAGATGCTCACGGCAAGAGGCAAAGAGAAGGGTGGGAAAGTAGGGCTCCACACGGCAAGCAGAACTCCCACTTAAGTCCTTGAACCTCGATCTTCCTGTCCAAACCCTGCAGCTGCTTCTCATCATACTCAAGATTACGTCAAGGTCTTCCCTGCAACTCTCAGGCTGCTGATTGCATCCCTTGTCCAGTAAGACTGCTTGGGGCAAGGTGTGGTGGTTGGAATGAGGATGGTCCCCACAGCCCCATGTTTCAATACTTGGAATGATTTGGGGAAGGATTAGGAGGTGTGGCCTTTTAGAGGAGGCGTGTCACTGGTGGCAGGCTTTGAGGTACCAATAGGTTGGTACCATTCCCAGTTACCTCTGTTTCCTGCTTGCTGTTTGATGTGTGAGCTCTCAGCTGTTGCTGCAGCAAAATCTTTGCCCTACCTCCTCGATGCTCTCTGCCACCTCAGGGGGCTTCTTCTGAGCCACAGTCCTTTCCCTTTAATTGGTCACATCTGAACATGTAACCACGCCCAAAAGGCGTGGTCACTGCTACTGCTGTGGAGGGGAATATATGACCACATGTTGCTCTGGCCTCCTGCCACCTACTGCTTCCTCTCTGCCATCATGGACTCCAGCCATCTGAAGTAACAAGTCCAAAATAAACTCTGCCTTCTACAAATTTTCTTCTTTGTGGTGTTTTGTCACAGCAATGGAAAAGTAACTAATACACGAGGCTGCTAGAAAATACCTTAAATATTCCAAGTATCTGTTTTTACACAATGGGATGATAAGGAATTTAAAATGGGAAACTAAATGCAATTTCACATTCACATCTTTGCCTGGGAACCTCACATTGCTTCCTGCTGTGTTTTTTAATTCTACACGTGCACTCACTTTATGCAGGGATATAGAGACACGTTATGTTCAGTTCTTCCGTTTGGGGCTTGATCTGAGGCCCATATGCAAAGGTAGGGAGAGAGAAATGTGCTTACCTGGACTTGATGTGGTCCTAGTAGCTTCCACGCCTTGAAGATCTTGGACAGATTCTGCCCCTAAGAGAAGACAGACAGGATGAGTGTCAAGCCCAGCCTATGTGCCTTGGTCTCCAGAGGCATAGCACTCGGCGCAGGCTGACATGACCCTCCCCACTCTGAGATTTCCTAGGACAGCTGATGATATCAGGGCTACTAGGGGGACCAAACATGCTTATTGGCAAATGCAGTCACGGTTTGCGAGGCAGGGGAATTTGCAGAAAAGCCACTGGTGAGACTGTGGATTCTATAGAATTTGGAAGGGAAAAATACTGAAAGGCAAAGAAGAATTATGTGTTTAACCAGAGCAGCAGGCAGTCCAGGGAAATGGAATTGCATGCCGTTTTTGGCTCCAGGAGAGCGGTCGAGCTGCGGGTTTTTGTGAGGCCAGTCCTTCTTAACTCTTACAAAGCTCCTACTGTGCTCCAAATGATATAGCATCAACTCTTATAAAACTCCTACTGTGTTCCAAATGATATGACAATAACTCTTATAAAGCTCCTACTGTGTTCCAAACGATATGACAATAACTCTTATAAAGCACCTACTGTGTCCCAAATGATATGGCAATAAGGATTTTGTTCTTCTGACTCACTTAATGGCAGCTCACAAGTCAGGGGTGGCCTGCTCACCCTCTCGAAGAGAGGAGATAGACACACAGGAGAGTTAAGACATACCTCAAACGTTATGACGCTGGGTAGGGGTAGGATGAAAAGCCAGGCCAGGGTGGGACTCGGGCGCTATGTTAAGCTCACATTTCACTTCCCACTGTACCATTAAGAAGAGAGATGGGGACTAAACGAAAGGGAGCTCTGACTTCAACTTAACGTACTCGTGGGCCAAGACAGAGATAGTGTTGTATAAAACCGAAGCTTTGAGGCTGACTGCTGTGAACACAGTCACCACATTAAAGGAGCAGCCGGCGTATCCTCTACTGCGGCTGCCTGGTCTTCTCCAAGCAAAACCCACCAGCTCAGACCCACCCAGTTTCCTGAACTGACACATCCTGGGTGAGTGACCCACCCTCAGAACTTCTCCTTCATGGGATAATAACAGGACCCCCGGGACAAGGGAGAATCTGGAGTGTGTATCTCATGCCTGCACACTGGAGACCTTCCACGATGGTACTGCCCATCAATTGGGATCCACTTACTTAACCATCCTTAGTAACTAACAAGTGATTACTGTCCATTGCTTACACTGGTTAATAAAGAAATGATGCTAATCACCACAAGCATGCCTGGTCAATCAGGTTCACTAACTAAAATCTGACCTGCATATTTTTAGGTGTGGTGGTCATGTTTGCATTGAATTCAGAAAATGTAAGATTCTTGTGCCCCAGTGCCCTTTAGACTCTGTAAATGAGCACTGCACTTCCCCAGTAGCCACTGGACAAGAGCACTTGTATTTAGGCAGCATCTCAACTCTGCCCAGCACTGTCCTCTCGGATGTTTCTTCTGCTTACCTGTCCTGGGTAGTGTTGTCAGTCTGTCTGCTCTCATCTCACTGGCCACTGTCGAAGGAGACAACACGGTATTATGGGTCAGGTTAAGCACCTGAGTCAGTCCTACGGTCAGGGACACACTAGAAATAAGGACTGAGGAAAGGGGTAATAGCAGTTTCTTGGAAGGAGGGCTCTGTAGGGTGAGCACATCGAGAGAGAGGTATGTATTTAGTATACCTACTAAATCTGGGTTTCAGATGAGTGGCATGCAAATTCCGGGCATATGTCCCAAGCAAGACTTGGAGGGCTCATTGAAACATATGTGTTGTTCATCTGGACAAGCCTGCAGTGCCGTGACTCTGCTCCCCCAGAGGTGAAGACAGAGGGGCAAGAGAAAGCTGAGGGCGTAGACATGGGTGCCTTTCGTGGGAAGGACCAGGGCCTCTGGAACTACTCAGTTCCAAAGCACGGCAGACAGAGAACATCTTGGGGAGCTAATGCCACCAAACTACTATGGAGTGGCACAGAAGAGACAAGGGTGCTTGGGTGACATGTTCCTTTGCACTTACCTTCCCCTGAGAGGGCTATCTGACGGGTGTCTGTGAGCGTTTCAGGAACCCCTGGAGAAAGAGAGCCTCCAACAGCAATGGCACCTCAACACACTGTCAAAATAAAACCTCAGGGGCTCTAAGATGAGCAGGCTGAACACTGCAGGGCCACGGAAGGGAGGCTCCATGAAAGGTGTCACCGGGAAGAGCTCTCCTTTCTAGCTGAGGGCTCCTTTGATGTCTTACTCATCCAGGAGAATAGCCTGCTCAGCATTGCCCAACTCAGGAAGAAGCACAGCCATTGTTGGGTTCTGCTGGAGGAGGAGGGCTACTAGTAACACAAGGTGAAGGCAGGAAGGGAGGTATGGACCCTGAAGGTGCCCCAAGGTATAAAACACCCTGGCCAAGAAGGCAAAGCTGAAAGAATAGATCCATTAAGAGTACTGAGTGTAGAGGATGCACAGAGGTACATGTGTATACACACATCCTTACACACACACACACACATTCATACAAGTGTGCCCACATACCCATGCACACGCTTATACTCACACCTGTTCACGCACCATCTATGATATGCGTACGATGCACTGCCCCCCCCCACATATACACCCATACAATCACACTTCGGTTTCCTCCTTAGCAAAATTACAGTTAATTCTAGGGAGGAGACCTAAGCCCAAGGGAAAGCACAGATGACATGCTTAGAGGGGCATCCCAGGTGCCTAAAGGTATTAGCAAAGAGACAGCATAGAAACTGATGAACAAGGAACGGAGCCATAAACTTGACTCTTAATTTTTTCCCTAAGAACCACATTTTAGAGTAAGAATTATGAGTTATTAATAGTCCACCCAAGATTCACAGGGTAAACAACCTCTCCTCCTTAAAGAGTCACCTCAGCCAGGCTGTGCCTTCTGCTCAGGCTATGGGGGACAAAGAGAAGCATGGCGCATACCAGGGAGGCTTCGGTAGCCAGGAACACACAGAGTGGGAACCCTATTCACCTGAGTTGGAGATGCTGCCCGAGTCCCATTGTATACCGGGCCTCTGACTATATACACAGAGAGAAAGAACTTGGGATATGTAGGGGTGAGCCCACAAAACAAAAGGCTGTGGATAGTTTTGTGGGCTCACCCCTACAGGGATATATACCCTCAACTGATTAAATTCACATCCACCCACCAGCAGGGGTAGAGTTGGCACTGGGACCTTTTGATACTGGATATTTGTACTGGTCTCCTAGCAAATGGAGGCAGAGTCGATGTCAGCAGTGGCTTTGGCCTCTGCGAACCAGGCCACTGGCGGGGTCCTGTGCCAGCTGCTACCATTGTAGGTCCTCGACAGTCCAGAAAGACCCAGCTAGGTTGGGAACTTTACCTCTAGGCCGCAGTGTCACTGGGGCTTTGACGCTGGTTGTCTCTGTAAGGAAACACATGGGGGTGCATGTACAGCAGTTGGCTGGGAAGTTGACAGGGCTGTACTTGGCATTTGAAGACACCCAACCACACTGGGTCCCACTGCAGCCTCTGCTCATGGCTCAGCCCATCGTGGGGTTCAGGCCCACTGTCCCACCTGGAGTTTGAGCCAGGCAGAAGGAAGCATCCAGAAAATTCAGTGAAGAGTTGATGCCAGACTGAGCCAAGCACTCAACAGCAACCTTGTCACAGGTACACAGTAGGCGCTCACAAGGATCCTCAGATTCTGTACATACGGCAAGGGCAGAGCAAGGTAGAAAGATCAAACTTAGAATCCTAGCAGGCAATGATAGCTCCAACAATGGGGCTCCTGACCTGCCCTGTCCAAACTTGCTCCACCCGTAATGTTCTAACGATGGTGTCACTTCTGTGGTTTAGTGGAAGCAACTTGGGAGTCTGCTCACACTATGTATCTTACATGTGCAACCCAACAGGCTGTTGTCCTGACTCCACCTGTATCCACTTTGGGGGCTGCCCACATCCCTACATTCTCTCTGTCACCATCTCCTGTCCATCCACGCGCACAACCTACACTCTCTCTGTCACCATCTCCTGTCCATCCACATGCACAACCTACACTCTCTCTGTCACCATCTCCTGTCCATCCACACCCACATCCCTACACACTTCCTGTCACCATGTCCTGTCCATCCACACCCACATCCTACACACTTCCTGTCACCATCTCCTGTCCATCCACACTCACATCCCTACACTCTCTCTGTCACCATCTCCTGTCCATCCACGGCCACATCCTACACTCTCTGTCACCATCTCCTGTCCATCCATGCCAGCCCTGCTCCAGATTAGTCTTCCCATTTCTGTCAGGAAAGATCCAGAATAGGCCAGTGGCAAGGGTGGGATGAGGAGGGAATCTCAGTGGCAGACAGCACTTATCTGGCACACAAGAGGCTCTGGGTTCCATCCTTAGGGGTACAGCATATAAAAACAAAACACTATTGGTTGAGAAGCCCTCACTGGCTTCCCAGAGTCACCTAGAAGTTCTGTGTGATGGCCCTTGCCCACCGCCTCCGTTTCTCCTTGGATGCCATCTTTTCCCACACTTCTTACCACTCCTTCTGCTCCCAACTCCACACAGGACGTCTCAAGCCCAACCACGTTCTGCTTGGTTACTCTTCTCCCACACAGCCATTAGGACTGTCTACTTCTGTTTTTGCACCAAGAAGCTTCTAGTATCTTTCCCATTTAGACAGAGTGCTACCCAGTCCACCCCGTACCTTCTCCCTGACCTTGTTTCCTCCAGGACTCCTGTCAGCATCTAAAATATTTTCCATCTTTGAGTACCATGGTTTGACTGTGACGTGAACCCCCACAACCACATGTGTTACGGCTTGGTCCCCAGCCGATGGCATCACTGGGGGAGACTGTGGTACATTTAGAATGTGGAGTCTCCCACCTCTACCCCCACTCCCGTTAATGCAATAAGGAAGTGTCCTGGATCCAGCTTCTAGCCTGAGTGCTCTGCCTGCAGACTGATGTCATATAACCAAGTGCTTTGCTCTCCCGATGTCCTGGCAAAGATCTTCCACTACTATACCTTCCCCACCACCAGGAACCAACTTAAACCTTTCTAAATTGCTCCTATAAGATACTCTATCAAGGGCATGAGAAAAGTAACTAACGCATTGACCGTCCAGGGACACATCCAGGAGGTCAGGAGATATCCCCCCACATGGATGCATCAGTCTCATACGGGGAGATACGAAGTATCTGTTTGCTGGATGCATGGATGAATGGCCTTTGGCCTTTTCCACGTTCACTGGCTTCTCCCTGGCTATTTCCTCAGTGCCTCCTTCCACCTTCTGTTAATGCTCCAGGCTCTACCAGGCTCAGTGCATGGACCTGGGATTTACTGAGGGCTTGGTTCAAATCCTGGCTCTGCAGTTGAGCACCTCGGTGACTTTAGCTAGGTTGTTTAACTTCTCAGAGCTTTCTGCCTCATGTTTGGAAACTGAGAACAGTGGAACTTGGCTAGCAGGTTGTTGGGACAGAAGGTCAGAGCTGCTGTGCATGAAGACCAAGGTCGACCACCTCACCATGCTATATGCACTCCTCTATGACTTTGTCTTTCCAGCTTCTTCCAGGGCTACCCAGACATGGGAATACTATTCCTTGAGTCACATGGCAAACATGTGCTTACACAGAACATACGCTGTCTACCTGGCTCTTACAAAGAGCAGCCACCCCCAGCTTGGCCACTCACTTCTACTTCAATATCCACAGGTGACAATGAGTTCTTACCATACATCAGTCACTGTAGCAACCATTTCTCAAGCAGGATTAACTTAGTTTCCATAACCTCTCTTTTAATGGAGGTTATGTCCTCCCCATTCTGTGATTAAGAAGTTAAGGAATTATTCCATTGTTACATGATGCATAAATAACTAATCATTTGCCACTTAAAAGCTTCTGCAGTCACCACAAGAATAAATTATAAATCAGATGATATTCCAATAAACTATTGCTCCTGTCATACAAATGCGTTCACTGCACATTAACTTTATGTAAACCACAAATGCCTCAATCAACTAAGTACCAACCATGACTCTGCTGATGGCATTGACAGTGTTGGGCCACACAATGGTCCCTCATGCCTCTGCTCAAGGAGGCCTGAAAATGCTCACCACACGTGATCTGTTTGTTGATGCAATCCACATCTGCACTGAGCTTGGCAGGGTCCTGGAGACAGTCCATCTCAGCAGCCTCCTCATAGCACCTACGATGCTGGAAGCAGCAGCTGGGGCAGGTCAGGCAGGATCAAGGGAGACAATGGTTAGGGCAGAGACAGGCAGGAAGCCCAGGATCATCCTGATGTCTGGATGGTACCTGGTAGTGATCTTTACACACACACACACACACACACACACACACACACACCATGTCACCTGCTGTCTTACATGCTTCAGATGGAGGTGTGTATCATCCTGCCTAACATGCAGACTTCTATGGCCAGCCACATGGCCCTGGATCTAAGATATCCTGCCTAACATGCAGACTTCTGTGGCCAGCCACATGGCCCTGGATCTAAGATAGAGGACATGGTGTGAAAATGGCTCATGGAAGGTAAAGATAGGTTTGTACTGGTCCTTGTCTGGGCACTGTCTTTGAATGTTGCTTTTGCTGTTGTCACCGCATTTTACATCTTCTGAGTCAACGTTAAGAGCAGCAGTTAGTTGCCGTTCCCCTTCTGCCAGGGTCATTCTGCTTGGCCACACACAGGAGCTGACATCTCTAAGGGAACCCCGCTTGCAAGAGGTGTCAGGGGCAACTCTGTTACTTGCTGAAAATAAGCAGTGATGACAAAGCCAAGGCCATTTTGTCAGGTCATCTCATACAACTAAGTAAAAGCACCAACACTGGGAGTCTGGTTTGGTAGCGCCTGCACTGGAGATGCAAGGAGATCACAAGCTCAAGACCAGGCTTGGCTGTATAAGAAAATCTGGCCCAAGAAAGAGGAAGAGGATAAGAGAGAAGAGAAGAATATGAGGAAGGATATGTTGATGATGGGGAGGAGGGGACAGCAGAGGATTAACCATCACATGATCAGGATTAAGGTGAGAGGGACCCCACTCTTTGTATGTGGGTCTGTAAGAGAGCACAGGTGGTTTCTAAATCACGGGGTGACACCGTCAATAGAAGGTCTCTAGGAGGCTCTCACAATGCAAACAGTTGGTGGAGAACAGTGCAACAAAGAAAGCAAGGAGAAGTTAGGTGACCTTGCATGCACTTTTTTTTTTCATCCTGCCTGAGGAATATTCCTTGGATTTAAGAAAAACATCTATTTCAATAAACAACAGCAGATGTTTTGGGACTCTAGTGTGCAAGTTCAAGGAGGAAACAATCTATCTTCCAGGATATTTGGAAACACCCACCGCACTGACCAAAACATACAAAGTAACTGAAATTAGATTCAGCTCACCATCCCACCAGCATGGGGACCATAAGTCCTTTGCTAATTCCTTCTGGTAGGAGACAGTGATGAATGACTCCTTTAATTATTTGACTTCTAGATTCCTTGTGTGTTCAAAGAATTAAAGGAAAAGGCATGGGCGACTTGACAGGAAAACGTGTTCCCAGGAATGACCTTGACCTCACATACACTGAAGGACCAGGCTTTTTCTATCTCAGTGTTGATCCTGGTCTCTAAAATGGAAAACTAGCTCTGTCTTTCAAAGGCAACTTGTATCCTTTCCTGAAGGTTTGAAGGTGGGGATAATTTGTTGCTCAATTGTAAAGGTATCATTCTTTGCCAACCAAGAATGTATCATTTTCAATTAATCTGTTTTTAACCTCTGAAAAGGAGTTGGAGGCATATCGCTTCCTCAGCCAGTGGAGTCACTAGTTCCGGGAGCACAAAGAAAGGGCACCATGCACTCTCTCCTTAGGGGACAATGAGTGGAGTCCAGAGACAGAGGCCATTCTCACACTTGTCTGTTTAATAGGTGCAAGAAAGAGAAGCTCAGAGGTTTGGAGAGCAAAAAAGATGAAGACAACAGAAGAGGATGCCCTTTAGGGAGAAATGCCAGGGCAGGCATGAGCTGCCTAATATGGGAATTCCATAGAGATTCCTTCCTACCTTCTCTGAGCCCACATAGACAAAAGAATGCGCATGTCTCATGGCATTGGGTTTGGGGCACAGGATAAGGTCCATGGGATAGGATATTATTCCTGGAGTAAGTGGAGATCCGGGTTCAATTTTCTGTCTCAGTACTGTCTGTTGCTGATGCTGTTGTTATGGTTACAGCCACTGTTACTGTTGTACCAGCTTGGTTCCTCCTGTGTTATGGCTGCTGCTATTGCTATTATTACTTTGATATCATTACTGTTAGTACTGGTACTACTGCAGCTACCTTGCTACAGCCATTGCTACTACTAATCCCTACTGTTAGAGCTTCTATGAGCCCCGTCTTGCTTCCATGGTTACTGATGCTCTTGAGATTCATAACCCGGTACACTCACAATGCCTTCAGCTTATATTTTTGGTAATTGTATCTGAAATAGTGACTCCAAAGTAGGCTGTGCAATTACCTCCATTTTTAAGGTAAAGAAAGTGGAATACAGATAAGTCAATAAGGAGCAGAGAATAGCAAGTGCTGAGTCATAAGTAATGGCCCTTGCATTCGAATGCATAGCAACAGACTGCCGAAATCATTCAATGGCTCAGCTGGCCCTCCTATTCCCATGCCCCTTGACCACACCCTTGATTAAGCTTGCTTAATGTTTCTAGGTTTCCAATGTCACTGCCAATCTTTGCACTTTGTTTCCGTGTGCACTCTCCTTGCCCGTGGGGATGGAACACACCTTCAGTGGCCATGTACATTTTCTTGTGCTCCATGCTAAGCAGGAATGTTATGGTTACTTCAAGCACAGCACCCATGGGTTGTTATTGTCTATGCTTATTGAAGACTGACATGCAACCTCTGTGGTTGCTTTTCATCTAGTAGGCAGAAATTCGCTGGATAAAGCTGGCCTCTAACTACATGTATTCTGGGTTGAACCCCAAGAATCTGCATTATAACAAGGATCTTAGTGGTTTTATTGCAGGGAACCCCACCTTGGAGTAAGCCTGTGTAGGGAGAGATCTACGTACCCGAAGCGCTGACCACACCTCTTTGGGTGTGTTCACAGGTACATAGAACATTCGGGGATAAAAGAGCTAGGGGGAGGAGACTCTTTCTCTTTGGGTTCTAGTTGCGGCATGGAGAGCAGCATGTGGACCTTTGGCTCTCGACTTTCTAGGCGTCACTAGGCTGTAGTGAGCTCACCTGTGTTATCCACCCACCTGTCAGACTCATCTGTGGGCAGACCTTCCATCTCAAACCTGCAGGCGCAGCCATAGTCTTCGAAGTCCCTGGGGCAGAGGCCAGCCACGCACCTCATACTGTTCACAAACTGGAGCAGCAGAGGGAAGTTGGTGAAGACGGCCTGCAGCCAGGTGAAGTGGGAGCCCAGGCAGTCTGTGGGTGGGGAAAGCAGGTCCTGGTGGACACTGGGAACTCAAGAGCAGGAGGAGCTCTGTCCCCTGGCCTTCCTGCATCGCTGGCTGATGGGATGTCATGAGCATGGTCACTTCCTGCTGTGCAGCCGGTCAAAAGCAGGTGGACAGTCCCAGCCACATTGGTTACACCCACCTGCTAGATGCTGGCCTCTTCCTTATTAATAAGACTGAAATGTTCTCAGGGAGGCCAGCCTGGGTCTTAAGTTTCTGAATGAATCTCACTACTATGCTCAGCTGGTGACTGTAACCCGGTATGTATTTCCATGGGCTCTGAGGACATCCTCCAGAGCTGAGAAAGACTTAAAAGGATGTCTGTCAAAGACCCATAGAAGATATTTGGTCCACCTGGGCTGGGGCGATAGCCCAGCTTTCAATGTTTGCATCCTCAGAATCCACAGAAACATCAGGTAGGTGAGGCAGTTCCCAGCAATTCTTGCCTCAGAGGGCAGAGCCCGTAGCTCCCTAGAGCAAACTGAGGAGCGAGAGTGGCCCTATTGGTGCTCTCTGGGTTTAAGTAAACTTCCCTAAGTCAAAGAGCAAGACAGAGAGCAATTGAGGATGAACTCATGCATGGACATTGGGCCTCCACAGACATGCACTCACATACATGCATGAAGAAAAGAAAACCCTTTTGAGCTATACTTTTCTCCTTCCTTGAATGTAGATTTGCTGGCTAGAACCACAGCAGCTATCCTGCAGCCATGAGGCCCCAAGCCCAAAGCTGAAAAGCGGGTAGGTCCAGAGAGAGCAGCAATGGAGCAAGATAGAGAAAACCTGCTTGTACACAGCTACTTCACCCATCCTGGTACCCTCAGACTACCTGCTGTGTGAGATAAACACACACACACACACACACACACATATATATATACAATGTATGTATGTATATATATATTTATATAATGCCTTTATCGCCTGTGAAATTATTAGTTTGCTGATCGAATCTCCAGTGACATGGTGATGATACTGTAATTATTATTAGCCTGTGTAGAAAAGTCAGGCATGCAGACACACAGTAGTTGAGCATCTAGTCTGCACCAGAAACTGCACTTCACATTTCCAATAGCACAATAGTTCAGATTGGTCCTGTGCATGCGATACGTTACAAAGATTTTTGTCTTCACTGCTATGAACTTCACAGGAATCCTGTCAGCTAGGCACTGTTCGGTTGCCCCCACTTTACAGGCAAATACACCAGTGGTCAGAGACATGCCCAAGGCAGCATCTGATGGTCTACCCTCGAGCATACAGCACATAAGGCAGTAAGACAAACACTGCTTGCTTCTACTCTAAACCTCAAGCTTTGCGTCCCCATCTTTGCTCTGGAGGAGGTGACTGTCACTCAGATGAGATAGAGGTGTGGTCTGTGAGCACCAAGCCCATTTGCCCATTCTGGTTTCTTCCTTCCTCATTCGAACTTCCTTTCCTTTCTCAAGTTTTCTTTCCATGAATTCTCACAAGCAGGTGAAGAATGATTCCGTATTGTTGGAAAGTCTTTCTAAAGCTTATGTGTGCATCTATGTTTACACACATGTGCATTTTTATTCAAAGACCTCTAGGGTAGCCATACTGAGTCATAGGCTCTTCTAAACAAATAGTTTCCAGCGACTTTGCTTGGTCCAACAACAGTATAGCATTATTTGATTGGCGCTGTTCATATTTGATAGTGGCAATCCTCATGGTGTCCCAATAGTTATATACTTGATATGAAACATGCATGGATTGTTTACCAGTCTTTCAAATGTTTAAGATTCATTTGTGCTTGCTAGTTGGGGAGACAAAAGCAAAATAAGGACCTGAGGTCTAGGTGTGAAGGATGTTTCACTCATGGCCTTAAAGTCTTAACTTCCATGGGTTCACCATCTCATATATAACAACAGGGACACCATTCTCTTTCCAGACATTTTGTATTTAGAACATGGAGCTGAGGAAGATGAAGGCATAGAATGACTCTCTGATGCACCTTAAATGGCATCACTACCCTTTTAGGAGTCCAACTACATGCTGGCAGTTGGCTAAGGAGGACAGGGAGTTCAGAAACATAGAACAAGACCCTGGTGATTGCTAACAGCTTCCTACACCTGCTCCATCCTGACATCCAACAGATAAATGCAATTCCGCGTTATGGAATATCTGTTTAATCGTGCAAAGGTGTGTTGCATTCATTTAACTAACTATGTAAAGATGTGTTGCTGTTTTACCTTACCTGCCTAAGGCACCTGATTGGTCCAATAAAAAGCCAATAGTGAGGGAGGAGGTGCAGGTGGGACTTCCAGGCAAGGAGAATAAATAATGGGAAGGTTTTAGGCTCATGGAAGAAAGAAAAGGAGGCATCAGGGAGACACGAGGGGTTAACCAACCAGTCACTGAGGAGGCAGGGGAGTAGGACATACAGAATGAAAGAAAGGCAAAAAACCCCAAGGCTAACAAAATGTAGATGAACAGAAACTGGTTATATTAAGTTCAAAGAGCTAGGGGACACACCTAGGATAGGGCCAAGTATTCATAATTAGCAGTAAGTCTCCATGTCTGTTTGGGAGCTGGTTGGAGGCCCAAAGAATCATATTTTACTTACCAAAAATTTCAGCCACACTCTCCACATTGTTAAACACCCCATTGAAGAATGTGGTATCTGGTGGAAGGAAGACAAGTGTGAATTGAAGAGTCTTGGTTTGGCCTCTCTTCCTCTTTCTATCCAGAGATGTCAGCCCTTTTACCTTTTCCTGAGAACAATTTTGACCTTAACCTGACTGTTTGGTAACGTGGGCTACCATGGAAACCGACACAGATGAAATTGGAGCAATATTGCTAGGGAACATTGTTCAGTCATTAAGAACGAGAACAATGACTTCTGGGTGGCATAGCATGTTTAAGCTTAGAGAAGCGCGTGGAGGGTAAATGATCCGCACCGTGCCATTGTGCCTATGGACACACTATTTAGAGTATCCAGCAGGGAGAGGTGCAGTTACGAGAGTTATCACAATGAGAGGGACCCCGTGTTCCCTTCCTCACAGAACAACCAACCACTGGACCAGAACTCTGCAGTGTGTCATCCTTTTCTCTTTCCAGGGAGCCGAGAGCGCATTTTGAAATTCTTTTTCTTCTTTGAGATAATATAATTGCATAATTGCTCTCTTCCCTCTCCTCCTTCCTTGTTCTCTTTCAAATTCAAGGCCACTTTTTTCCATTAATTGTCACATGCAAGCATTGTGTTTCAACGCTAAGACCTAGCCCCGCATTAGTCCTCAGCGTCAGTGCACTTACTTTCTGTCCAGTCTCCCTGTTTCTGCTGAAATCAGGCACTAGGGCATGAGCCCCAGAGAAGGGGCTGGAGAGATGCCTTTGAGGACCTCTGGGTGACTACCTGCAGACTCCAAAGCAGTTAGGGTCCTAGAGTCTGTTCAGAACGGGTTGCTGCCTCTGCCACTAGCCTAGGAAACATTTTACTTAGCTTCTAGGCAAAGGTCAAAGGGTTCTTACTGATATTTTTTGACAGTCCTGGAGGCAATCCTTGTGGATTTGGGGTGTCAAGTGCGTGGCCCCCTGGAAGTAAGTCAGAGACAGAGAGCAAGGTCAGCACAAACATTTCACTGCCTCTCGCTGGCCTGAGGCTGAGAGGCATCAGTCAGGAAGGCAATAAGGGTACCCCCAGATTCAAACCCACACAGGTTTCTACAATATAGGTGCCGTGCCCAATTCAATCTAGGTGGATCTCAGGAAATAAAGAGGCGTCATGATATCCTGGTGTTTCTTAGCAGTTGACCTTAACGGTGGCATTCTGAGTGTGGAGGAAGAGACCTGGGAAGGGGTTGATTGTTCTTACTCGAGAAGCTACAGTGCTATTTAAACTGACAGTTGTTTGGAGGATTCTTGAGATAAAGCACCAGCAGAAAAAAAGTGTGGGCATGGAAGAGAGCTCAGCTCCCAAGGAGCTCATAATTAGCATAAGGCTACCCCCCCGGACAATTAGTATCCAGATTTCTTTGACACAGAGTTGGCAAACATTTTGACCAAACCAATCGGATGTAGAACTGGCCCAGTTTTCATAAATTCTTCAGGCGATTTTGAAGGAAATCACCTAGAAGCCTTGCCTTCAACCATGCTACCTAGAGCAGTCTAACAGAATAGAGCCGGGGCCGTACTATCCATCCCAACACGGAAGAAACACAGAAGAACCTGGAACAGCAAGATGGAATGGGATTGGCCACAGGCCACACTCTGAGTACTCCTGCTCCATTTTGCCTCAAAGACAGAAAGCATGAGCTGTCTGAAACTATCGTGAGATTAAAAGCGCGCGCGCGCGTTTGTGTGTGTGTGTGTGTGTGTGTGTGTGTGTGTGTCAATGTACTACCAGCAAAAGAACAGAAAGGCTCTGTCATTCTCTCTCTCTCTCTCTCTCTCTCTCTCTCTCTCTCTCTCTCTCTCTCTCTCTCTCTCTCTCTCTCTCTCTCTCTGGCCTGGCAGCACTGAGAATCAAACTCAAGGGCTCACACAGCTGAGGAAGTCTGGCATCACTGAGCTACATCCCTGGTCCTGACCCGCTCACCCCTTTTGTCACAAGCTTGCCTAAACTGCATTACGCTTACAACGCCTCCATCTCAGCCTCCTGCGCTCCTGCGTGGCTGGGGTCTCGGGTGTGAGCACCATGTCTAGACCATCACCTAAAGGCCTTCTTCTCCTCATCACCCCTTGCCTATGGTTTCAGGGCTGCTGCTTCCAGAATCTTCTCGTTTAGAGTCTCAAAAGCCTGGCCGAGGGAGTGCCTAGTCATTGTTCTGAGTCAGCTGCCCTGTGGCTTTGAGCACTTTTTTTTTTCCCCTCCCTAGCCTGCCTGTTTTCCACCTCCAAGGACAGAACAGGGACTTCTCCAGGCCAAAGGTCATTGCCCTGGATTTCCTGTCTGTTCCATTGACGACACCTGCTGATGGAATGAGGCATGCTGCTGGATAGGGAAGCCAGGGGGCCAGCCTGACTTATGGCCAGCAGATGAGCAGCCCTGAGTCCATAGGGGGCCTTCTGAAGATGACCTGGAAGAGCAAAGAGTTCTTCAGGTGGGAAAGTGACAAAGGGAGTAAGATCAGCTGTCAACAAGTGCTGCACTAGGGGACCACAGCAGCTTGGTAGAAGAAGACTCTGCTCCTCTACATCCCATCTGTAGGATCCCTTTCCATTCTCCCCATCATTTCTGAATTGTTGCATCCTGTGTGGTCTCCGACGGAAACCCCTGACTTGACTCCCGGTCTGGCTGAGCCTGCTCGCCACAGGAGCACTCATTCTGTCCCGGGGGGGGGGGGGCTGCGTTCTTTGCCTGATGTCTGCTCTTCTGTCCTCCCAGCCCCCATTTTTAGCAGCCATAGTCTCTCCGTGGCAATTCTTGAGGCTTCTTTCTGCATGTGTCCTGACAATGCTACTTACTGTGGGTCTCTTGAGGACAGGCCCTTTCCCGTGGCTGCTGTCCCATGGTCTAGTGCTCCCTGAACACACTTAGATACTCCTCATGTTTTCATATGGATGAGAGGAGACTGTGAAAGTCGGCTTGGAGGGGGATGAGTTAGGAAGCCCAGAAACCAGTCTGCGTCTGTGTGTGTGTGTGTGTGTGTGTGTGTGTGTGTGTGTGTGTGTGTGTGTGTGTGTCTACTCATCCTAGACAGCAAAGAGGTGCAGACCCTCACGACTGCCCAAGGCTGTAATACCTCTCTCCAGGGCTAGGCAAAGACGGAAGTAAGAGGAGGAGTCAGCTTGAGGCTGGTCACCAGGAAAGGAGCACTGTGGAGAAAGGGAGACCTGGGTCACAGTGAGAGGTGTGACTCTGCCTCGGGCTCTTAGAAATGAGACCCCTCTCCTCCACCCCCCACTCGAATCTTTTAAAATATAGCTGCCCATCTGAATTCTTTGCCTAAGAGAACATCTCAGTTTTAGACTGCTGGCTCAAATGTAAAATAATTACGTGTTGCCAGCTCCAGAAAACAAGCTTGTAAAACATCATTAGTTCGGGAAAGAAAGGGGCTTTGCCTTGAGTGAGTACGGGGCGGATCTCTGGGGCTGTGAGTGCGCTGAGTGCCCGGGAGCTGCCGGTACCACCTGATCATCTGTCTTCTAGGCTATAGGAGTGGTTTCCATGGAGAGCAGATTTCTTCCTCTCTGCGGCTGATAGCCTTTGGGGGTTGGCAGTGCTCTGCAAAGCTTGGACTTGTGGGGCAAGAGAGATGCTCAAGGCTCCCTTTCCATTTACGTCCTCGTCTTGGACCCTGAGCAAATTTCCTCGGCACAAAAGCATTTGGCACAATCGCCAAACCTGCTGCTTCCTCCCGCACAGACCGTGGGATGCTGACGCCAATGGATGACATCTTTCCTGTGTCTCCTGCTCACGCACACAGAGTTCCTTCCTCTCCGGGAAGCAGGAAATAGCTTACTGCCCAGACAGGTTAGGCAGGTATGGGACCCTCCTCCAACCCACCCACACTGCTTTGAGGAGCTTGACGCCCACACGATTGTGCCAGCAACTTAAAAAGCTCTGCTCCGTGTTAGTTTATTTGTCCTACACACTGTTTTAGTCCGTGAAGGAAGCGCAGCCAGAGGTGGGGCAGGCCTGGGGTCAGAAGGGAGGACAAGGGTAGCAAGTCAGGGACAGAACAAAGTCGATATCGACTCAGGTGCACTGGTCAGGAGCAGCTCTGGAAGGAGCAGAGACATGTTGTAGTTTGTCTTGTCCAGTTTCCCCAGAGGTGCAGGCTGGTGTCCTCATTACCACTCTAGAGACAGTACACACGAAACTCCACCATGAGGTGACACAGTAGCGATATATTATTTATGATCTATTAAAGCCCTGCCTGAGGATTCAGAAAGCAAAGTCAGCTGCAAGCCATAGAAGTCAGGCCCACACCTTTAACCCTAGAACTCAGGATTAAGAGGTAGACGGATCCCTTTTGAGTCCAAGGTCAACCCAGATCTACACAAGACTGATCCAGTCCTAAAGAGAAACAGCTCACACAAAAGATGGTCTCAGCGCTTGGGTCACACTCCTTTAATGACCCAGCACACAAAGACAGTCTTGACCTGGCCCCTGTCCCATCATCCCCTGTGGTAACTTATTCCCCTGTGGAGCTGAGGCACCAAAGGTCACATTTTCTTACCTTACCTTAGTATGCAGTATCCGGACCTGAGCTCCCTGCTCTGGATGGGCTGCACTTGTCTTGTTTGGTACTTAAACTTGAAGTTCACAGCGCCTGACTTGATCCCTAACCTGGACTGGGTAACAGCTACACAGACAGCCTTCCCTCAGTTGCCATAATCTACTTATGCCACTATTTCTACAGTATACCAGGGACTTACTGAAAGCAAGCACTATCGTACGTCATGCAAATGTATTCAAATTTTGCTGCCAGTTTGAATTCTTTGTATAAGAAAACATTCTAATCTTAGGCTACTGGTTCAAATTGCAAAAATAATTTTGCAATTCCAGAATACAAGCTTGTGAAGTGTCATTGCTTTAGGGAATGGAAAAAACACATATGTATATGCTATATGTATATCTTTTTAAAAAAGTTCTCTACTCCCTAAAATAGATATACACCAAATATACATATATATGTATATATATATAAACATATCTATATAAACATACACATATACATAAACACACGTGTATATATGATGGATATTATATATATGAGGAGAGCACACAGGCCCAAGCATATTTATTGTTAAATGAATGAATGAATATATATGGCAATTAAACCACACATTGAATGGATTTCTTTAAACAGTTTTTCTGAGTAGCCCTGGCTGTCCTGGAACTTGCTCTGTAGACCAGACTGACTTTGAACTCAGAGATCCACCTGAGAGCTGGGATTAAAAGTGTGTGCCACCACCGCCCAGCCAGCAGCTTTTAACATTTTTTTTGGGGGGGTGGGGAATTAGAGAACTTTTTTTTAAAAAAGAAAGATTTATTTTTATTTTATGATGTGAATATTTGTCTTTACATGCCCTGCATATATGCAGAGCCCACGAAAGTCTGGATCTGGAGTTACAGATGGCTCTGAGCCACCACCTCAGCACTGGGAGCTGAACCCAGGTCCTCTGCAAGAGCAACCTGTGCTCTAAACCACTGAGCCATCTCTCCAGCCCCCAAATCTGTACCTTACATTGGTTTTCCTCAGCTACCTTCACACAGTAATGGAAAGCGAGCATGGTCAAATAAGCTGTTTTGAAATCTTACTTCAGTGACGTCAGGCGTGGTAGACACGGATGGAATCTCTTGCAGGGTGGCAGCTCAGTTTGTTGAGGGCCCACAGCAGCCTCATTCTCCTCGTCTGTCACATTCCCTATAGCACCTTCCAGACTAAGACAGTGAAGGCAGGAATACCAGAGCAGGCCAGATTCCCTGGGTCACAGCACTCCTCAGGTGCGCTTGGCCTAAATGGCCTTGCCAGAGTGTCTTCAGCCCAGACCCTGTTTCCTACTCCCCTCTGCTGCAGGGCTCGCCCTGCTTCCCACTCCCTTCCTGCTCCGTGCTCCACTCCTTCTGAAGAAACTTTTGGGCCCTTGGCAAGGCCTTGACCTCTTTTCTCAGACTAATAACATATCTCTATTGTCCAGGCAGGAACCTCTGAAATTCCCTTCCCACTCTAGGATCCCGCAAGTTGGTCGGACAGGCAACCCTATCTTGGTGATGGCCAGACCGTGTAAAACTGGGATTGTGGACAGAACACATTCAAACACACACGCACACACACACACACACACACACACACACACACACACACACTTGGCACTTCAAGTTTCTATGATCGTGATGTTTTCAAAGCCAAGTGTTTGTGTTTGAGAATAAAAATCTCCCAGGGAAAAATAAAAATGTTAGTCAAACGATTCCTCATAATAGAAGATATCAGTTTTCACTTTATGATCGAAAGGCAGCATTCAAAGAACAAAGAAGGCAAAGGAAAGCAAGAATAACAGAAGAAAATATTTGTTGGTTATTATTTTATAAGAAAATATATAAATGGTGCACACTAAAAGAGACAACTTTGGGCAAAGGGAAATCTACTCTCTGGAGAGAAGAAAGTGTTAGCTGGTAAGCAGAATAAGCTTTTAAAAATATGAGGGGAGCCGGGCGGTGGTGGCGCACGCCTTTAATTCAAGCACTCGGGAGGCAGAGGCAGGTGGATGTCTGTGAGTTCCAGGCCGGGCTGGACCGACAGCCTCCAAAACAATACAGAGAAACCCTGTCTCATAAAACCTATATATATATATATGAGGGGAAAGACAGAAGAGGTGACGGAGAGGCAGGAAGACAGAGGAGCAGAGTGGTTTTGCTTATTATTTTGTTGTTGGTTGCTTGTTTTTGCTTTTTGTTTGTTTACTTAGTATTCTTATTTGATTTTTTATCATTTCTTTTTAATTTTTCCCTTGGAGAGTGCTACAAGGATGAAGGGCAGATATGGAGGGGCTGGGAAATGAGTGGGACTGTGGTACCGGATGTGAGATTCCCAAAGAACCAATAAGAAGATTAAAAATGTGAGGGGACTCAAGTCCTGATGAGAATGTCTAATCTGGAAAAGGCATTTGGATGGAGGCCAGGGAACAAGCCACTGGCCAGTTCTGTTTTGGAGGAGCCGAGTCTCCTCTCACATGTCAGATTGCCATTCTCAACTTGCGTGCTTCTGGTCCAGGGGAAAGCTTCATTGTTCTGCCTGCCAGCTTGGGTCTTGGTCAACACAAATGACACATGTGATTAACAAATGGTACCACTTTCCTGCTGTGTGGAGAGATGCCTGGTGCACCTCTAAGAGCCAGGGTGTGGGGTGAGCACGCCTCTGAACACGAGAAGACGAGGAACAAAGACCAATGGGCCCAGGTGAGTGAGTGATGGGAGCTACCACGGAGGAAGGGAAGCAGTGGACCTTCGTGTTTGGATGAACAAAACGTTTGGTGTCTTCCGTTTAGATGGTGTGTAAGACTGGAGATGTCTGCGCCTCGGTGGGCGTGTACGCCACCAAGGCTAAAAGAATGCTGTCTGTGTCGGGAAGGCCAATGTGCTCCAAGGAATTGGCAAATTGGAGGAGGGTGTGGGTGTGCAGTAACTCATAACCTGAGGAGGAAAAATCCCTACACTTCCGGAGGAGGGAGCTTGCCCATGAGACTCTGCTTTTGGCCCACCTTTCTTTCTCAATTTCAAACCCCATCCTAAACTTTTAAGTCCTGGGCAAGGTTTTATTTTTTAATTAAATTTTTGTGTATAATATTTTTGATTGTACTTTTCTTCCCCGTATCCCTGCCCACCAACTCCAAGCTTGTGCTCTCTCTCTCTCTCTCCTCTCTCTCTCCCTCTCTCTCTCTCTCTCCTTCTTTCTCCCTCTCTCTCCCTCCTACCCTCCTACCCTCTCTCTCTCTCTCTCTCCCTCTCTCTCTCCCCCTCCCTCCCTCTCTCCTCTCTCTCTTTCTTTCTCTTTCTCTCTCTCTCTGTTTAAAAGAGCATAAAACAAAATAATCATGCAAAAAACCGTGTAAGACACAAAATATGAAAAGCAAACAAAACAAAAAGCACACAGGAGAACATGCAGCCTGCTTTGCACTGGCTAGCTACTCATGGGCACGGACCCTGCCCTGAAGTGACACTAAATTGGAGAAAACTGATTTTTCCTTTCCCACCAAGAATCACTTGCAAACAGCTTCTTGGTTAAGGGTGGGACTTAGTGTCTGCCCTCCCTCCTCTGTGCTGGGATTTTAAGAGCAGGGTTTTTTAACTGTGAACATTAATTCTGCAACTTAATACGGATGTCCAACTCCCGTCATTCATTAGGCAGAGGGATGAAGAGGAACCAACATGCCGCCTGCCGAGAAAGCTTTCATGAATCTGTGTGAAGTTACCAAATGCTACACGGGAAATACTGTACCAATAACTTTACTCACCAACACAGGGGGCCATCAGCACGCCGGCCATGAGCAGCGTGATCATTGCTGGAGAGCAAGGGATGCGGTGTGGGCAGAGACTAGGGCAGCTCCTTGGGAGAGAGGCCGGCAGAGCACGGCCACGATGTTGCTAGAAAAACCACATGAAAACCAACAAAGGCTTCTTGTCCCCCTTGTGCCCAAGACCCACACTCTGAAAGGGCTTCTGTCTCAGCTTCAGGGCTAACTAGCACTTTGACATGATGAGATGATGTTCCCTTATGGAAACTCAGCTTGTCCAGCTGTGAAATGGAAACTTAGCCGTGTTCTCCCCCAAGACATGGCAGTGTCTTGTCCCTTCACTCATTTATCCCGCAAGCATTTTCTGCAGACACAGCTGAGGGAGGTGGGTTTGAACCCTACCAGCACCACTCCAGATAGAATAAACCAGGCAACCACATGGTGGCGCTGCCTGCCAAGGGGTGGTCCTGCCCCTGCAGCCTTCTGCCTTTCTTTCCTTCCTTGGTTTGGAGCACTGGGGTTATCTGGTGGCAGTCCTAGGATGTCTGTGCTCATCCTCAGGGGTTGCTCTAGGGACAAAGGAACACGGTGGCCACAAAAGTCCTGGAACCCCTCACACTTCCATTAGAGCTTCCTTGTGTTCAGACCACCAAACATTTAACTTCAGTAGGCACCCTGAATACTGTTTCCCCCTAGTTGTAATTCCCTACGTAGAGGGAAATGGTTGGTTGACTTGTGCACACTCTGTTTCAGATCACGATTTTAGGACACTGTCTGAACTGCAATACAACATCATCCAGGCTGTCCCAGTGGCACACACAGGACTGCTAGATAGGGCAGTAGACACTATGTACTACACAAGGGTGCTTCGCCAAGAGGGCATACAGAAGCCCCCAAGCAACTAAACTAGACTCCCAAGTGTGTCCTCTGCAGGGCCACATCAACCCAGAAGAAGGGGCATCTTCTGTGGTGAATTCTTCTAGAGGCAAAGGCGGTGCTCCATCCATTAGGGGTTGCCATGCTGGGATCACCCTGCCCGTAAACTCAGTTTAGTATGGAGAGCCCTGAGTGAGAAGATCTTGTAGGTCATAAGATCACTGTTCTGTGAACCTGTCTGTAGCATGGCCTCTGGTGTCTGCAACATGTGAATGAAAGAAAAATCTGATCGGACTAAGCATCCTTTAGTTACCGGTGGCTGTCTGACTTTCCTTCAGCATTAATGCTCTACCTGTAACCATCTCCTGGAACAGACACGCTCTCAGCATCAGACAAGCTCTCTCAGCACTTTGCAGTCTCAGGTCTGACTGCCTCATTTTTTTCAGACTGAAGCCAGATTGAAACAAACGGTGAGACCAGTCTCCCAAAGGATTGCGCTAAGGTCTAGGACATCCACTAGTGTGCAGTGGATGCCTTTCGTGGGGGCCTGGACCCCTTTTAACTCAAACTCATAAGATGGAGGCCCCCAGACCATGTAGCTCTGATGGCATCTGATGGTTACCAATACTGTTACCCAGAAGAGAAAACCACAACATGGGGACATAGAAGGGTCATGTGTGGACATCATCTAGTCTAACTGCAAGTTTTAAGACGAAGCCTTTGAAGCTTGGAGGCTGATGAACTATGGCACAAAGTCCCCATGTATGTGACTCCCAGCCAGCCCAGTGGTAGAGCTGGCCTGGTGGCTCTTGCAGGGCCCACATGAGTTAACTGTCCACCCCCAGACTGTGATACCCGAAATTCAGGAGCAGCTCCATGACACCAGGGATTACAATGGCAGCAGTCGCTTGGCTGCACTGTAGCTGAAGGCTCATGCTCTTCCCTGTCTCTTGTTAGTGTGGGAGCTCCTCTTTGGGAGATGAAGTTGGGGGGGGGGTCCAGGTAGAGCAGCCACCTTTGACCCGGGTCTCAGGAATGCACTCCCCTGCCTCCTCCTCCTCCTCCTCCCTCCTCCCTTCCTCTTCCTCTTCTCTCTACCTCTTCACTTCGTCACAAGAAGTAGGTACCTACCATGAAGTGAGGCTTCACTCAAAGGCCGTTGAATGATCCAATGATGCCTGGCTTTGAGCGAATGGGAACTGGCTTTTATATCCCAGGCAAAGCCCCCTGGTCATGTGAGCACACCCCCCCCCCGCTCACACCAAGGGCTTTTCATGTGCTCTGGCACGCGAGCTGCATCGGAGGGAGGAGTCATCATAACGCCATCTATATCTTGGCACAGGTTCCATGGTAAGCAGTCCCACCTTGAGCCCCATGTGGAGACCCGAGCTCTAATTAAAGAACAAAGCCTGCCCTGTTCCACATACCCCACCCCACTGCAATGTCTCAGAGACTCTCTGATTACACCTAAGGGTTACTAGGGAAGGATGAAAGATGTTGAAAGTCGCAGGCTCCCTTGCTAGGAAAAAGGCAGGCTTTGTTTTGCCTAGACATTGCTACAGAGGTATCTTGGGTGACCATTTAGAAGTCCCTGTTTTGACATGGGAATTTGATTTATTTTTCCTTTATGGTTTTCTGTTCACGCTGTGGGGTAAAGTCAAGTGAGTCTTTAAAATTACAAAACCGATGATCTAAACCACCAGCCCTATGCAACTCCATCTTGGTTTCTATGTCTGCCACATCCTGTGGGTTCAGGATTCAGAGTCTTCTCTTCATGGCACTTCGTAATGTGTTTTCCTTCCCAACAGGGTGTCATCAGTGGTTGTCAGGGCCTTGTCCTTGTCCCCACAGTCATCATACCGGGCTGCTCGTGTAATCTTAGGAGTAGAGAACCAAGAAGCAAGTGTCTTTAGAGGTATCTGTCCCTGCTCACGTGTGCCCTCCTTTAGGCACGCATCAAGTCAGCCTGGCCATGAACCCTCTGAGGATCCCATTCCAACTTTGCCTCTTGAAGGCAGATGATCACATCAGGGGTCAGTGGAGCCTTCCCAGGATCCACTGGGGGCTTCTCCACAGAAAGCTGTCCCCGTATGCTGGAGCTTCTGCCTGTCATTGTCACTAGGTCATCCTGGTGCACTGAGGGCCAGAGCTGCAGTGGCTTCCGTCTTTTCCACAGACACAGACGAGCCACCGTCCCTAAAGTTGCCAAGTCAATGGGGCCACGTGTCTCAATACAGTCAAGCCCATGCTCTCGGCATTTCAAGAGCGTAGCTACGGCATGATGCTAAGGCATTAGCAACCCGCCCAGGAGTTTGGTTCTAGACCTTTGTAGGGGATTTGAGGGTTTTCTACCATTGCCTGTAACAGGATGCTGTGGTTTAAACATGAACTGCATGTGTGGTGTTGAGCGTTTGGTCCCCAACTGGTGGCAATATTGTCAAAGATTTTGCAAACTTTGGGAGGTTGGACCTAGCTGGAGGAAGTAGATTAGTAGATGACTAGGAGACAGATGTTGTTCCCGACTCTTCTCTGTCTGTCTGCCTGCCTGTCTGTCTGTCTCTGTCTGTCTGTCTGTCTGCCTGCCTATCTATCTCTGTCTCTCTCTTTGTCTGTCTGTCTCTGTCTGTCTGTCTGTCTCCATCTTTCTCTGTGTCTGTCTGTCTCTGTCACTCTCCTTCCCTCCCTACCTCTCTTTCTCTTTCTTACTCTGTTTATAGCTGCAATTGGGCAGAAACCTCTTTTTCCATGTGTTCCCAATGTGCCAAGCAAAGTCTAAGTCCTCTGAAACCATGGGCAGAAACGAATTGTTCCTCCTTGACATTTTATATCAGGCAAGTTTTCCATAAGAGTGGGGTAAAAATATCTAACACAGAGGATGCATCTTAGAACGTGTTATTGATACTCTTGGACAAATCATTCTTTTCTGTGGACAATGAACTGGGCACTCATTGGATCACCACCACACCCTCTAAACAATGTAACTAGACATCGCCAAAGTGCGAGATACTCTCTAGAGCCATAGCTTTCTATTTTCTGCTGGTAGACACGGCTCTTTCTTCCTTGGGATCATTGGCTGCTTTGGTCCACGAGGATGTAGGGAACAGAAGCGGAGGCCATTGTGAGCATGGCAGAGACTTCCCTCTGGGAGACAGACCAGAGAATCAGCTCAATTTTATTCCAGAGTATAATGAATATTTGGCATTGGGGAGCCTGGGGACAAACCCCAGTGTGCACTAAGTGGTACTCTCCTATTACAAGGCTTCCTATGTGGCAGTAGAGTCCTATGGCAGAGCTCCTGGCACAAGACTTCTAGCAGGAATCTGTGCCAGAGTTCAAGCTAAGGTTGCTTAGAGACAGCTTTCAGATAAGGTCAGTTCTCCGGGCCCAGGGACGTTCCCAAATAACTGCAGGTAGAAGCCGGAAATTTCACTGGAGAGGGAGGGAGTTTCCAGGTTGTTGAGTTTTTGGGAAACATTGGCAGGCCATGAGAGGCTGAAACCTTGACTAGCCAGCAATGCCTTCCAGCAGGGAGAATAAAGTAAAATTGAAGTTTCCCCAGGCACACAGACACAAGAGGACAGAGTTGTTGTCAGCAAGAGTTTAATGACAGATTTCACTATGAGAGCCACTGAATTCGTTACTCAGCCAGGCCCAGGAGTACACTTTGCAGACAGGAACATGCATGCATGCACAAGCCACAGAGACAGACCCCGGGACTGCTATGCAACACATGCTTTGTCCTCTCCCTCCCTCCCTCTCTTTCTCTCTCCATACTCCTCTACTCTTTCCCTGCTCACTCATTTCCCTTTTCTTTCCTCCACCTGCTCTCTTGCCAACCTGGCTTGTGTTTGGGGCATGGAGCATATACACAACCTCTTCCGTTTCCTTCCAGGAGGAATACAGTTTAATAAGGTTGCTTAGGAAACCATGCAATTTACTTGGTCATCTTCAGCACACAAATGTCCCATCACCCTTACAGAATCAGTTAAGCACTGGTAGTCACATAGCCATGAGTTAGAATCCCAGCTCTGTGTCATCTCCCAAGGCTTGCAACTCTCCACAGCCACCACATAAGCCAAGATACACGTTAGTCTTCCTTAGGCCCTGGGAGACCAGGGACTCCAGCACTGGGCAGGCGGTTTGCATGTGGACTTTGTGTCCTTCCCAGCATTGCTGCTCCTACACAGGAAGTCTGCCTGTAGAGAACTGGTCTCATATGATGCTCTGAGCTTTGTCCTCGCACTATATAAGATCCCCGGACAGACCTCAGAGGTGCCCAACATTTGAGGCTTTCCAAGGTGTAGTCATGGTTGGTCATCATTCCCAGTGATTGGAGTAGTTAAGTCCACATGGTATTTCCTCAAGGAAAAAGCTTTGTAGCCAGGTGGTGGGGACATACACCTTTAATCCCAGCACTCAGGAGGCAGAGGCAGGCGGATCTCTGAGTTAAAGCCAGCCTGGTCTCCAGAGTGAGTTCCAGGACTGTCAGAGATACACAGAGAAACCCTGTCTCGAGAAAACAAAAACAAAACAACAAAAAAACAGACAAAAATCCCAAAAAGAAAAAAAGCAAACAGCTTTGTATGTAGGTATGCATGATTGCGCCACCAGCCTGTCCTAGGTGGTAAGTTGCTTTCTGGAGAAGGCCATCCTTTTGTTGAAAGGCAAGATCATGAGAGAACAAACAGACACTCTTAAAGAATGGAAAGTCTGTGTTGCTTGGCACCTGGCAGCAGCGTGAGGAGCTTGCCTGAGCCTCATTCTTTGCCTTTTCTGCATAAAAACCATAATTTTGTTAGCAAAAAGAGTTAGTGAGAATTGAAACTACAGATGTCAAAAAGCAAGGTTGATACACTTAGGGACTCTCTGGGTCATTGATGGATTAGATCTTTGTTCCTGTTTGGCAGGTGCTGGGGTCAGAACGGTGCCTCTAACATGGTGTCAGCTGTGCTAAGGCCTCTTACACTCTCCAGCCAAACTTGGTCTGTAAGAAAGGCCTCAGCCAGACTAGCTTATACATAATAAAAGGGACACCTCCTTGGTTCCTATTGAGGTGGACATCCTTTTTGCCCCTAGAAATCTGGCTACATTTACCCCATCTTTGCAAACCCAAAGGTCATTTCCTACCCCCTCCCCTAAGTCAAGATAACAGGAGCAAACAAACTTGACAACTGAGTGGTTTGAAAGGCCTCAGATGAAATGCCGTTCAGATGAAAAATGAACCTTTTTCTGTGTATCTGGGTGGGAGAGCACAGGCTGCTTCTCCGACCATGAATAAGCTCTTCATCCTTGAGCACCTTCATGTTCACACGCAGTATCAGGGCGCTCAACTCTCTTCTGGGCTGGGGGACTGTTTTCTGTTTGGATTACTAAAGTAAGCAATGCTTCCGACAGAGTCCTAAGGTGACAGACAGAGGGTAACAGGGACAGTCAGCACACCAGAAGGAAAGCTGTCCTTGGAAAATGAGGAGAGAAGGGTTCCACACAGGACCGTACCCGAAAGCCAACCTGTTTAACCATGCCTTGTACAGAGCTGTGTTTTCACAGGGGACATGTGAAGACCAGGGATAGTGAAAAGAGACCTGATACAACTAAGGGGCCCATCAGTATGTGGGTGTGCAGACAAATCTGGCTTAGGAAGTATCAGGCATTCAAAGGAAGTTCTGGCTCTCAGTTCCTCCCCCTAAAGCCTTGGAATAAGTCAAAAGGAGCATGTGCACCCAATAAACTCTGGGTCACACATGTAGTTTATGCGAACATGTGACTTATGGTGAGGGCCTTGAGCCATGCAGTGTCGACTTAATTTCTGGAGACCGAATACTCCAGAACAGCCCTTCAGTCACCCCCTTCTTAAATGACACAACACAGAGGCACACGAGCTTCCGTGGTGACAACACTCCACGTGTATCAGCCTGGGTCATCTTGGAGAGTGATGTGTAATGACTGTCTGTGCGAGCAAGTGTCAAGGAGAACAAGAAGGTCAAGCCAGAGCTCTCCTCAAGTTTTCCTACTTGTCTTTTTGCTAGTTATGCAGCATGACTACATCAGTTTTTCTAAGCTCCGCAGCCTGGCTCCTGAACAGCTGAGCCCAAGGCTTTTCTAGAGAGCCCATGAAAACAATGGGGCATGCAGAAAGGAAGTCCAGATCACCATACCTCCATGGTCCCAAGAAAAGTTTCCATCACCTCGTACACAGGGACTTGGGAGAGCATCTTGATGCTGTAGCGTGAGAAGTCTGCTTAGTTGTGTACAGCCAACTGCCCAGCACCATAGTGAGAGCCCTCTGAAACACAGTCAAGACTTTGCACTTTATCTTCTAGTTGTCATCCAAAAGTCCCAAGCTTGAGCCATTTGCAGTATGTGGTTCAGTTCTCTCTATGCTAGACTGCTGTGTGTATAATAATACAAATCCTCGCTCCAGGATGTAGGCATAATGGTAGGTTCTTGAACCTCAATCATAGGTTTCCATTGCTCTGAAGAAGGCAGGGAAGCCTGGTGTCACTCCACTGATCATGCAACGTTTGACTTCAGTATATTACACAGATTGACAGGAGAGAAAAACCCAATGCTTCCAAAGAGACTCTCTACAGATGACCTGGGTGGGGCATGCCTGGATTCTGAAAATACAGTCAAGCTGGAACGAAGCCAGGGAGGCGGCTTGGTGACACACGTCACTTCTAGGTGCTCACACAGACTTGCAGACATTCTCAAGGCATTTTTGCTTCAAGGCTGAAAGAGCAAGAAGGGAATCAGGGTACTGAGGTTGGAATGGAACAAGGGCATAAAAGTGAACAGTGCCAGCTACAGTCTAGGTTCTTCCTGATGGCAAGTGTAGGGCACTTCTACAGGACTCTTGAGAGAGCCCATGCCAGTCAGCAGCAGGGTGGAGGAGGAACAGACATTTATCTGCTGTTTATTTGTTCCACTTTCTGACCAGATGCTGCTTTCTTGGTACCCAACTGTCTCCAACCATCTCCCCAGGTTGCCTTATGGTCATTTAAACTCATTTATGTTGATCAGCAAACATAGCATGTTGTGTGTTTAGAAGATGCAGCAGGGCATGGAGGAGAGAAGAGATATTGGATGATGTGCTGATCAGCTGTCCTGTTGTGTGCTCACACACCAAGGCAAAGGATTTCTGCCCTTGACTCTGGAACCCTCACCCCAGTGTCTGGCTTCTACAATGTAGAAAGAAGGTGGTGGCAGAGATATGAAACAAGACAATGAGATGAAGGAAACAAGGGAACCCACGCCTGAGGTAGAAGAATTGGAGGAATAAGAAGGGAAATCAGTCAAGGGCACTCATGGGAGCAGGGGAGTAAGAGAACTTGATTTTCATGAGAGGCTCTGACTGAAGCGTTGTAAACACAGCTCAGGGAAAGAGGGAGAGATGGTGATGGGTTAAAAGAACAAGGGAAGTTTCTAAGAAATGTTGGCACTGATCCTGTGGATCGCTATTGGTCATATCAGAAGGGGTTTTCCGAAGAGGTAATATAGTGCCATGGTTTTCAGAAGGCCAGAGATTCTTGACCAGAGAATCCAGGTTAGTGACATGATATAATGGTTCAGTGTTGGTGTTGGGACTGGGAAGACCAGTCTAGCTAAGCTAAAGGTGATGTTGGGCATTTCTGTGCATAATTAAAATTGGAGCAAGAATCAGGATAAGGATGGAGGGACATGGGCCTGCCTCTAGGACTTCATGTCCTCTGTGAGTTAAATTATCTGCATATCCTTTGGTTGAGCATTTCAGGGTTTGTGTGCAGTTTGTCTTCTGTTTTGTTTTGTTTTGTCTTTTTAGCTTGCACAGGAACACGGAGGCTAAGGGACTTGCTTTGGTTCATGCAGATGCAGTAGTGCGTATCACTTGACCCCCACAGCTTTCTAGATTCCTTGTAACCGCTAAGGGGTTGACTGAACACTAGGTGGTCTTCACATGATGTTGACTCCATGACCTAGCGCAGTCTTCTGGACCTGGCTAAAGTGAACCAACCTAGCAGAGTCACAGAGCCTCCCATCAAATGCACTCACTGCAGAGCACTGCATCAGCAAGCTGGGTACTTACTTCGAGAGTGGGACACCCTCTTCACCCTCTGACAGATCAGTGTCGCATTCTTCAGAAACCAGGAATAGTATTCCAGACAATACCTAAAGGTTCAAGCAGAGTTGAGAGTAGTCACTCTCCTGTGATGGCCGTGGGACGGCAGCCAGGACCAAAAGCAGTAATTACCCAAATATGAACAGGACCCATTATTTACATCAAGGGACCCTCTATTTATCTTTATAGAGTATGAGACAAAGGGTAGAGAAGGACACTGGTTACAAAAGAATTCAGACTTTCCCTTTAATCTTAGATCTCTACAGTTTATTATGAGGTTATGTTGAGTACTTATTTCTCCAGGGCTTAGTTTCTTAAATGAAAGTAAAAGGCAATGATATAGGATTAAGGGAAATAATATGTGTGGCGTTTCTGAACTATACCAATGTGTAAATGTTCAATAAATGAGGATGTTCCTTTGTATTTGTGAGACACAGAGTGGAAGAGCTCTATTGCTAGCCATGGTGCAATGCACTGCAAGGGGATAACCAGCTACCTATGGGAGGCACTGAGTGTTACTTCAGAACTCTGCAATGGAGAGGCCATGGGTACGCTCTGAGGAGAGGTTTCAGCCCAGGCTTTCACTTCTTATTGGGACGTATCAGGCATCTGGTTGAGCCAGACATGTTGGAATTGAACTCCAGACTTCTGAAAGAATAAGTGCTCTTAACCACTGAGCCATCTCTGCAGTCCCAGTGGTGTGGATTTTAGCCTGTGCTATGAAACATTGTCATTCCAGTAGCAACACAGTCCAGTGCTGGAGTCAGGACCCCACACAGGAAAGTGGAAATAACTAGGTGCTTTAATAAAGTAAATTCATACTCAAAGTTGGTCCCAAAGAGATTAAAAGAGAAGAAAGAAACAAAGGCAAGAAGAAAAGAGCCATTCCTGTGTCTGCTGGACATTCCTATGTCTGTCTGGAGAAACAGGAGCCAGTATACGATGAACACAGAGGGAAGAGAAATGCTGAGTTGTACTGTGGAATTCTTATAGAGGCTGGAAACTCAGAAGAGACACCTGAATCTAGAAATGCAGAAATGTAGAGAAACTTCCTGGCTTCTCTATTCTACAGTGTCTCTCATTGCACAAACAAACAGGAAACTGCATGGCTAGGCATTGTGGGAAATGTAGTTTGTGCGAGCAGTATCATTCAATATAAAGTTGACCACAGACAGAGCTAAGAAGACGTCTCAAAGACGGACGGACACAAGAGAATCACTCTTCTTGTAAACCTAACCGACTCAGTCCTATGCATTTGATTGTCACAGCCTCAACATGTGCCATGTGCCAGAGAAGGGACAGATGCAGCAATGCACCAGTCAGAGCACAGCTATTAGGTCAACAGTGTTCCTGGTGCTGGTGAGAGTATCAGATACATTGAGTATCAGATACATTGTCTCGTCTCATTTTCACAACACTGTCATTGTAGCAAGTGCTTTGCAGGTTTTTTTCTATGAACCAAGCTGGTAGAATTATGTGACATGTGGTCTAGGATGTAGGCAGGACTAATCTAAGTTCATTACGGGATAAATCAAGGTTCAAAGAGACACGTGACTGGTCACCTAACCCCACATTGCTTGTAAGTTGTAGATCATAATTTTAAGATGAAGTCTGACTGACTCACAACCCAATCTCAAGTACAGCAAAGACAGCTAAATGCCAGTTTTGGGAACCTTGGCTACACCCTAGTCTCAGTCCTTCTCAGACAGTATGATAGTGTACACAGCAGATTTCCTAACAATTTTCACAAGTGTCATACTGTTTCCAACCCAGTAAGAATGTCAAACTACCCACAAAGAATGGTCTATTTAGAATATGATGATACCAAATGAGACACTGGGCCACCCGAGGTGCTCTGTGAGTCTTTAGACAGGGAGAGTGTTGTAATTTAAAAAATGACACAAGAGAGAAATACACCATGTGACTGAGATCAAGTGGAGAGGGAGGGGCTTTTTATTAGTGGAAATGGGAGAGGTGAGATTGGCCTATGAGGACAGGAGCAGCAGGAGAGGGAAAGAGAGGCAGAGAGAGAGAGACACAGAGAGAGAGACAGAGACAGAGAGAGACAGAGACAGAGAGACACAGAGACAGAGAGAGACACAGAGACAGAGAGACAGAGAGAGACACAGAGACAGAGAGACAGAGAGAGACACAGAGGAACAGAGAGAGAGGGAGAGAAAGAAAGGGAGAGGGATGAGAGGTGGGTGGGGCCCCTTTAAAAGGGAACATAGTGAATGTTCACAGGTGGTGCTCTTAGTATCTTGTCAGATCTCCATAGGCAGGCCAGTAAAATGCCTAAATACTAACAGCCAGAACCTCCATTCTCACGTAACCTATTCTCAAAAGGCTAAGGTTGCCATTTGGGGCCTTAATTCATCACAGGAGAAATCCATCAAGATGAAGTCTCAATTCTGAACATCTATGCTCCCAATACAAAGACATCCACATTCATAAAAGAAGCATTACTAAAACTCAAATCACACATAAAATGTCACACAGTTACAGTGGGAGATTTCAACGCCCCACTCTCACCACTAGACAGGACCACCAGACAGAAACTTAACAAACAAAGGAACTAACAAGAGTTATGACCCAATTTGGTTTAGCAGACATCTGTAGAAAATTCCAATCAAACAGAAAAGAATATACCTTCTTCTCAGTGCCACATGGAACCTTCTCTAAAATTGACCACATACTTGGCAATAAAACAAACCTCAACATCTTATCAGACCACCATGCTTTAAAGTTAGAATTCAACAACAACACTAACTGCAGAAACCCTGTAAACTCATGGAAATATTCCTATAAATTAATCCAGAAATTTTTAGAAAAACATCAGTTTTTTTGTGTATGTGTGCATGTGCATGCAGAGGCCAAAAGAGGGTTTTGGAGCTGGAGTAACAGATATTTCTGAGCTACCAAACATGGGTGCTGGGATCCGAATTCAGGTCCTTTAGAAGAGCACCAAGGCACTTACCTGCTAAGCCATGTCTTTTGTCCCTTATGGATATTTTCATTTCTGATATTTTCCAAGGGGTTGTGACTAATGCATTCTTGCTTGGATAGATGACTTAGTCCTGTCACTTCAATTTTATTGACAGCTATTACATTCCCCCAAGTATAATGCAGTTTCTGGATCTATTTGTGATTCATCTTTACAACACTTGACTTAGTATAATGCATGACTGACAAATAGTAGAGACTCAACACACTCAGTGAGGGAGACAAGAATCTACTGAAGCGGGCTGACTCTAGTATTATTTCGTAGATTTTCCTTTTCTTCATTGTGAAGAAACACCCTCTCGTTGCTTGTTCCCACCACTGGGTCGTCTGTGAATTTGCTTATTGCCATCCATAGATAAATAAAAAACACCCAAGCCTATTGAGGAGTTCTAGATCAAATCTATAAATAGATGATGGAGAAAGGGTGCAAACCTGGCCTTGACTTGTGGAGTGGATAATGGAGATTTTTAAAAAACGAAGGATGTTTTAGGTAGCTTTTAAGACAACATTAAAGACTTGAGAAATTGGTCCTCTGCTTGCTGGGGAACTCTGTACATTTCTAGTGTTATCTCTGGATTTAACAACCAAAGACAAATCCCAGAACTGTCTTCTACTGAAGGACAAGAGCACATCAATGTCCGTATCATCACAATGAAGTGTTGTGGGCCTTCTGACCATATTTTACCATCATCTCATCTGACGGGCAACAGCGGACAGGGCCTAATTTAGATAGGCAAATGTTTTGGTAACATTTTTCTAGAAAAGTTCATCAAGTGGAGGACACCGGTATTCAAAGTCCTCAGTAGAAATTCTACCAGATATAGTATGGCTCGACTCTGCTTAACCCAAACTCGACTCAACTCACCTTGCCCAAACTCAACGCAACCTACCTCATCATCTCATTTAAACTTATCCAACCTAGTCCAGCCAAGCATAACTCATGTCTGCTTTGCTCAACTGGCTTTATGCAAAACCACTCCTCTTCAACATAGCTCAGTTCCCGCATCTAGTTCATCCCAATCATTTATTCTCAACTCCTCTCGATTCATCTCAGATAAAATCAGCTCAGTGCAGCTCAGCTCAAATGTATTTACCACATCCCATGCTTGGGTTTGAGAATATAGAGGTGAATAAAGCCCCAAGGTAGACCTCAACAATGTAACAGTCTAGAAGAGGGCACACTGTACTGTACATTCCTCTTGGTCACCTATCTTCTGCCTGGGAATTATTTAATGCCTGGCTAGCTGATAATTTCCAGAGAGACCACATGTAATAAGTACATGTACAAAGGAGTGACTGTCTCAGGTTACCTCATGGCTTCTGAACTGAGATTTCGCTTTCGGCTGGCACAGAGGCATTGCTGGAAGAATCGACAGAGTTCCATCAGGCATGGGTTGAGTTTCTTCATGGCCAGGGGCAGAGGAGCGTCTGTAATGGTCCCCTCTTTGAGGAGCGGCTGGGGGCACCCTGGAACATGCAGTCTCAGACATGTGATATCAGTAAGAGCTCATCCAGCATCTTCTCTGGGGTAAGGGCTATGACAGGCAAGTACAGTCTATCCCTTATTTCAGGCAGTTTGGAAACAGACATAACAGAGCATGGTTTCATTATGGCTTAGGGAAACCACTGTGAGAACTTCAAGAGACAGGGAGTGGGAGAGTTGAGTTTCTCAAGGAGAGCAGACATGGCTTCTCTGAGGATCATGCTTTTGAGAGGCATCTGAAGTGTGCAACAGAGGTGCACCTGGAGGAGGGTGTCTCTGGTGCAGAGGATGGCTTACTATCATGTGAGGGGATAGGTGGCTGGGGGGATGGAGGATGCTTTAAATGCAGAGGGTATGCTGTGTGTGTGCGCATGTGTGTGTGTAGTGTGTGTGCATGTGTATGTGCATGTGTGTATGTGTGTGCAGTGGTGTGCAGCATGTGTGTGCATGTGTGTACATGTGTGTGCACACGTGTACATGTTTGCATGTGTGTGTAGAGTATATGTGTGCATGTGTGTGTACGTGTGAGCATGTGTGTACCTGTGTGTTTGTGTGCATGTGTGTGTATGTGTGTGTGTGCAGCTTGCGTGCAGCATGTATGTGTGCAGCGTGGGTGTACATGTGTCTGCATGTGTGTGTTCAGGCTGGCTAAGACTTGCTGTATAGCTGAGATAATTTAGAATTCCTGACCCTTCTGCCTTAACCCTCTGACTTGTAGGATTACATGCATAAATACAACACCATGCACAATTTATGTGGTACCAGATATTGAACCCAGGGCTTCATTCATGGTAGATAAACACCCCGCTAACTGAGCCACATCAACAGCCCAGGAAGGGAACTCTTTAACAGATATTCTATTGATCAATATTATTATGGCTCTAAAGTGGTACAAGTTAACCAATACTCATCTATGGCTGCTGTCTGAGAACACTGCAGATAACTCCTGTTCTTGGCGTGTTCATGACTGCTGTCTGAAAAGTGTACTGTTGATTTTTGCCCCATTTTAAAAAAGAAGAATTACTACTATAAGTTATCAGTTGTCAAGCTCATGTGAAATTACTTCCCCATATTGGCTTGTAAGTCTCTACTCGGTTTCCCCATTGGTAGAACTTGAAGGCCTTTTTGGTTTCCTCATCAATTACTGAGTTGAATAACATCTTTAGTGTACTGACATTGTCACATTATAAATTTTATGAGACTTTTGTGGTACTAAGAATGGAACCCAGGTCTCCAGGCATGCTAGGCAAGTGACCTATAACAGAGACTAACCCCAGTTGGAGCATTTTTAAATTAAAAATTATCAGCAATATTTAGCAAGTAAAGAGGGTTCATAAAGTTAAGGACTTTTAAAATATATAGAAACAAAATATTTTTCCATGACTCTACTGGAACATTAAATGCCCCCACAACATATATGACCACCAGACTTCCATCAATGTGTCCTGCAGTTTCTACCGTGAACCAGGAACTTTCCTCAGGCACACAACAGGGAGTGGGTGATTCTGCAGATATTTGATTCCATGCCTGTACTCCTACAAACCATATTCTTGCTATGTAACCAGCATCCTTAAGGATGGATTTCCACACACCACTTCCATGCCACACCTTGTCTGTACTTCTCTGCCTCAGCAAGTGACCTCAGGAGATCCACATGATCTACTTCAGTTCACGCCCCAGAGCTCCCTCTATTATCATCGCATCTCTTTGATTATGTTTCCTGAACATGACCCAGATCTCTCTGCCTATGTAATTACCTTTTAACTGTAGCCACTGTCATCCGCGAGTCTGCTCACTGCACCCTCCATTCCGGTCTCTGCCTTTTCCACTCTGAGTCAGGGATATTATTGCACAGCTCACCTCTGGTCATACAGCATCCCTACCTCAGAGTACGGCCCAGACTCCTTGGCACTGAGGCAAGGTGCTGATGATCTCACGGTCTCTGTCCTGTCTATCCTCAGTCACTATGACTCTCACCAGCAGCACAAGACCATGTTCAGCACCCCAGGAATCTCAGTGTTTCTGGCTCCTGTGCTTTTGCTGATGCCAAGGCTCTGCAGGAGCCCACACATGAGCAGCATGCTTTCAGAAGGTAGTTGCTCATTCAGGTTTTTGGGTGACTTCTCCAGCTGCAAATATTCTTGTTTATGGGACCTTCCAGAATCTGACAATGAAGATATCATTGTATATCTTCCATAATTATTGGACAGAGAAATTAAGATGGTCCTAATACTAGCCCTGCATGCGGTAGCATTACCTGTCTTCTACAATTATTGGACAGAAAAATTGAGATTGTCCTAACACTAGTCTTGTACACAGTAGGAGCTCAATATATGTTCACTAAAGGGATGAATGCCATCTTTTTGGATGAGCAAAATAATGGACTCAAAGATATTAGAGTCTCTGTATTTTATGCAGGGAATGCTCTGTGGGATACATTATAGACAGAAGGTTGGAGATGGCACACAAAAGATAGGTAGGCAGATAGAGGTCCATCAGACAGGTAATGAAGAATCAGGAGAAATGAGTACGGATATATGGACAGATGATACACGATAGACAGGTGGATAGGCGGAAGGAAGGATGGACAGAGACAGCTCTATAGATACAGATATAAATATAAATATGGATGTAGATAGAGTTGACTTATATTCGAGAACACAACCCGACTATTTTTGGCATCACCTTTGGATATCCTAGGAGACAGAGACACAGTTTCTTGGTAACACAATTGGGTCTTTGTGTTTGAAAGGCCCATTCACCATTCACTGGATGCTGTGAGGGCTGAAGGAGGTCGAGGATATATGAAACAGGAGACTGTGTAGGTTCTAGTGGTTTAACAATGCCCTGTTGACATACGACCAAGCAGCCTTGCAGCATTCAGGAAGCGTGTACAGAAAGATGCTCAGGAGCAGGTGGGGTCTGAGAACCTGACCAACTATTAAGGACTTGCTTTGTTTCAATTTCATTCACAGGGAACTGATAACACAGAAAAGAGGAGCATGCAACAGCCAAAAGTTGAGAAATTCAAGTCTTGGGAAACGCCAGCCTAGGAAGTCACTGCTTATCAAACCCAAGGGATGTTCAGGGGTGCGGCCAGTACAGCATCCTTTAAAACACACCCACCATGAGTCACATCCAGCCAATGGGGCTTGGAGTTGGGAGTCATCTTTCATGCCTTCTTCCCTCTCTGCTCAGCCAGCAACCAGACAACCAGCTCATCACAAGAGCAGCTTCTATTTGCAAAGCGATCCGCACATTTCCCTAGATGCTCACTCAATGAACGTTGAGTTAAATAACTCAGAGCTTTAAAATCTCAAGTCAGTTTAGTACATGTTGTCTTAACACAAAACCAAGGAGAAAGGAACAAAGACAACAGACGTTTCTAGCGCTCACAGTAATTGCAGTTGTTCTTGCTTTAAACGGAGGGAATTAATCCTGGACTCCACACCTCACAAAAGTAGGTGAGCTGAGATTTGATCCTAGCAGTCTACATGTATCCAAAAAACCTCTCTATTCGACCGTACAACCTCCTGCCATAAAACACAAGCTTAAGCAATGAGTGGGTGCTGCTACTTACTTGAAACATGGTGGGCTGGGGGGACCAGGGCTGGCTCCGACTCAAGGGTGAATGGCCCCTCTGCAGGACCAGCATCTGCAAGCAGCAAGAGGAACATTCTCCAAAACTAATATGAGGTGACCTTGAGCTAGTACCCACACAGCCAGAGACTCGTAACACCTCAAAAATAGGAGTTCTTAAAGTCCGTGAGCAAATGGCAAGCAAAGGGTTTAGCCGCGATCACACACATGCGCAGTGCACCCAACACAACGGCAGCGCTTCGCCTGGTTCTTTTCCTCTAGTAAAGCAAAGTGACATCAGACTTGCAGGTGCTCTTGTGTCACTGTGCCCCTGCTCCCAGGCTTTCCTTCGAGGTGTGGAGTTTCTTGGTTTGGCCACCCAGTCTCACCTGTCCGTGGGGCTCTCGGAGCTGGCGCCTTGGTTGGACTTGGAGTCTGTGTTCCAGCGGTCAGAGTTCCTGAGAGGGAAGGAGAGAGGCGAGCATGTATCCTTTCCAGGGGAGCCCAATCTGAAGACGACGCCCCATGTCTCACCGGGGCTGCTGACTAGGTCAGGTGTCAGTCAGGATGCTGAAGGTGCAGGAATGATTGAGAAATGCAGCCACAGTCAAGGTCCTCCCAGAGCGTGCAAGGGAATGAATGGATGAGTCCCACCAGCAACGGGTAAAGCATGATGGGGCCACTGGGGACTTGCCAATGCCAGTGAGATTTGGTGACACTGCATGGGACAGTGATGGAGGCATTGGACAGGGAAGTAATGGCATACATGTGTCTGCATGTGTAATTAACATTTATGTTACGTTGCATCAAATATACATGCTGCATATGTAATCAACATAGGGTCATTGATAGTATGCAACAAAGGCAGTTAGCCTGTCTGAAGGGTTGACTTCTCTCGGCCAATGGCCGTTTGCTTTAGAGGCAGTGATGCAAGACAAAGAAAAACCAGGAAGTGAGTTTACAGGAAACTCACAGGGGAAATGGTAAGGATGTAGAAAAAGAACAGGAAAGGGGGAGAGGAAATGAGACTAAAGAAGGGTGGTAGAAGAGTGAATACGTCCAAAACATGTTATATGCACATATGTCAGTGCCATAGCAAAACCCTTGCTCTGCACGATTAATGTGGAAAAGAAAAGGGGGCAGGTAGGGGAGTCCGGTGAAGAAGGAGCATTCATTTATTTATTCATAAAAGAGACAGAAGGGTTGGAATAAAGAAAAGAAGGAGAGTTTATTTTGTCATCATTTATTAAATCACTTGTTTAATTTTGCTACGTTGAGCATGTGTATTAGATTTCAAAACCTTAGAAAGACATTCAGAACATTTTCAGGTGTAATTGCCAATGACATGAATGGTGTCTCTCTCTCTCACCTGAGGCTACGCTGGGCTGTGCTAGTCTGCTGGGTGTGGTCTGTAGCCCAGCAGGATGCACCAGGCTTCCTGTGCTCCTGAGCTGCTGGGCATCTACCGGGGAGGTTGATGTGGAAGGGAGGCTTGCCCAGGGTGGTCCTTTAGATGTGCTGTCATCCACGGTCTGGGACATAGACATGGATGCTGTAGGAGCCCATGTCTGTCTGATTGCCACCCATGGTGTTCTGGCCACGCTCCCCGTATCTGCATGTTGAAAGTGACAATTATTGGCATTGCTGTTCTTGATCTCTTTGATCATGCATTAACTGCAGACATATAAAATGGTCTCACAGGGCAATTGGAATGTGCATACCTAGCACAGATAATTCAGCTGCTTGCATTTGGCTGTGGACTGGAATAAGTAGATGAAACTGAATTTTGTTTTCTTTGGCAATGAAGGAGAATCTCCCTCCCTTGATTGACCTTTCTGAATACTGTTTACACTAAGGTCATGGGAAGGGTTGGATGGAAGCATTTCATTTATTTATGTGAGATTAGAGGAACAGAAGGGAGACACAGCAGAGGAGAGGGGAAACTGAGAAAGCATCTTACCTGAGGTTGGCTGTATGTGAGCAGGTGTACTCTGTGTGGCTATGGTCACAACAGGAAGCTCTGCAGTCATCTCTTGGTTTTCTGTCACCTCTTTCCGGGATGGAGTACTTGTCTTTGTCCAGGGGAGGGTCTTCAGGGCAGACAACCACTGTGTGCTCCAAAGTGTGGGATCTGATCTTAGAAGTGATTGCTGGCTTTGGGTTGTGAACCCTGGAGTCCTGGCTGCTCGCCCGGTAGGTGCAACTCAAAAGAAACAGTCAATGGTAGTTTTAAATTGCTTGCTACTTTGGACAAGTAGAACTGTTGAGTCACCGAAAGACAACAGGGCATTGATTTCAAATTGAATATTGTTGGGGAAGTCCTGTGCATTTGTCAATAAAGCACTGTCTGGCCAATAGGGAATCTAGATAGGAGGGACTAGGAGTCCAGAAGGACTCTGGGTAAGAGAAACACAGAAAGTCAAGATGTAACCACCATGGGGTAGGAAGCCCGGAACTATTCTCCGGTAAGAGACATACTTAGATTAACAATTATGGCGTAATTACTTAAGTCAGAGCTAGCCAGTAAGAAACAAGCAAGGCCAACAGCTTCATAATTAATATAGCCTCCTGTGTGTTTATTTGGAACTGATGCGGCTCTAGAACCAGGCTGGCGGGAAGGCTCCTCTCAAGGAAAAAGCTTCCCTTTACAGAATATAGCAGGGGGATCATGGGAAAGTAGCAAATCCATGAAGACAGAAATGTGTTCTCTCTCACAGCTTCGGAGCCTGTACTGCTAAATACAACATGTTCTACTAGGCAAGGGACATAACCCAACTTGTATCTGAGGACAATTACTCTTGTGGCTATGGTTGCGTAGTTCAAAGGAATGCAAGGGTGTACAAAATACACTTGGTCATAGGCTGTTCTAGTAGATGATGAGGATTTGAAAAAGATACACACATCAGGTGACTCAGAGGCGTAGCCAGATTCCAGATACCGAGTATGGGGAAGAAAGAGTTAACAGTGGTTCCGAAAATGGCACCTGATGATACAGAAGACAGATAGATAGTTGTATGAATGGGAAGGGCCTGGGAATCACAGGGAGGCAATGGCTCTAGTACAGAATCAAAATTCTGATAGCTTTAATAGCCCAGTTGTTTACACGAGAAATAATCATAATGCAATAGGGTGCAGAGAGGATTGTGGGAGTAAAGAGACAGGTGTCTCTCATTGGGGAGAAAGGAGACAGAAGCTACTCAGCCCCAGCTGTTTGCTGTCACAGAGAGCAAGACCCAGGGTAGCCAATACTCTTCCCTCAAACACTTCCGAAATCCACCTTTTAAATCACAGAGAAAAATCCTCTGATTTTAGCACCATCTAACTGAACAAAATTCCTAAAGGTAGCATCTCTACTCTAGTGATCTGAGGCATGATGGGGGGGCATTATGGTGGGATATTACTTTAAGGGGTGTGACGTTTGTTCATGCTGCATTTAACTCTGTGAAGCTGTGATCGTGTGTATATCTAAACACCTGATGGTCCTAATAAGTAACTGAATAGCCAATAGCGAGGCAGGAGCAAGGAGAGGTGGGGCTGGCAGGTAGAGAGTTTAAATAGAAGGAGAAATAGAGGGAGCCAGGAGAGCAAGATAACAAGAGAGAGGGAGGAGGACATCAGGGGTCACCCGCCCAGCCGCCCAGCCGCCCAGCCGCCCAGCCGCCCAGCCGCCCAGCCGCCCAGCCGCCCAGACGCCCAGACGCCCAGACGCCCAGACGCCCAGACGCCCAGACGCCCAGACGCCCAGACGCCCAGACGCCCAGACAGCTGCAGAGTAAGGAGGAAAGTAAGATAGATAGAAGTAAGAAAGATAAAAGTCCAGAGGGAATGGGTAGGTGGGATAATTTAAGACGAGAAAAGCTGGCTAGAAAAAGTTATAATAATAAGACTCCATGTGTGATTTATCTGGAAGCTGGGTGGTGGGCCCCTCAAATAGCCAAAAGAGAAAAACAAAGCAACACACAACATTAGGGGGCGCTCTGGTCTCTGTAGTAGTTTATATTTACCCAAAGCATTGGAAACACCACTGGTAAACGTGTAGTTGATAACAGGGGATTTCTCCACCATCTCCCAGAAGTCAGAAAGAGTCCTTCCTGAAAAAAGAATGACACCATGGAGAAGGGAGCTCGGGTTTGTCTGCTGGAGTGTGGCGCTCCGTGCTCAGCCAGAGAGGCTCCAGGTCGTTGCTGCTCACCTGACTTCCCCGCCATCACACAGATGAAGACACAGTCGGATTCATTGGTCTGACTCACTGTAAGGCAAACCAACACAGGCTGGAGAGATGGCTTAGCCGTTAAAGGCTAGACTCACAACCAAACATATAAGACAAACCGACACACAGCCAAGACTTGGCAGTGACCAACCCAGTTACAGTTTCTAGGGGCAGCTCTAAGGCTACAATGCTGTTTCGGTCAGTCTGGTCCCCCCACTCAGCAAATCACGAATCCTTGTCTCATTAAACTGTCATCACTATCCTCTAAGGAAGCACATGTCCGCAGGGCTTTAACAGAGCATCCCCAGAGCCGAGTGTGCTAGGAATTCAGAAGTGTTAGATGTTTGAGTGTCTCATGGAATGTCTGTACTGTATGAGAGAAGAGCCCCCATCCCCAGCAGTAACCAGGAAGTCTGCAGCAATAACACCCATCCAAGCCATTATTCCACTCAGCAAAATGTTTGGCCCTTTGCACTTTATAGAAAATAGTCGCTTTCCCTGAATTCGTCTTTAAAGTGGGATGGGGAGTTACAGCCACTGCTGGAACCCGCTGATATCCTCCCTGTGCTGATAGTTTTGTTTGACCTTCAATTTTTGGGACTCTAGGAAGAGACCTGTGTGGATGATGGAGCCATCAAGGACCGGTGTTAGAAATGACACCACACCTAAAGCCTAAATACAGTTTACCTGAAGATTCCTGGCAGCCTGGCCTATGCTAGCGCTTGGAATGTGGAAACCCATCAGGCTTGGCTCTATTCCCTGAAGAATGCCAGAGCTCAAGCTTGCCAGGCACCTGCAAGATACACACCCGAGAGGATGGAGGTTGATTTAAAAATCTCAGTGAGGTAGCTCGTAGAATTTCCAACTATGTCCACTAGCAAAGCTGTGAAATCTGCAAGACAAATCAGAGAAGCTCCCTGAATTCTGATGCAGAGACGAAAGAGTAAAAGAGATTGCATTTGGACTTTTTTTTTTCAAGAATAGATTTTGCAAGTGTAATTTAAGTCAATCTGTTAAAGACTATTGATACTCACACACAGAAACATACTAATTCAAAAATAGTAACGGTAAATTCAAGCAAAGAACTTTAGGATCCACCTTTACAATCTAACTCTTTCTCTGTTAATACCCAAGAGCTACCTAAGATCCCCACTGCTTCATCTAATTTTGTTAGATGATCAACCCTACTCAAGAGGAATCAGACCCACAGACATGGAAGGTCAATTTACATAAAGTTGGAATTTGGAAATGCAGTCAAATTTAATGTTGAGTTGTTAACTACAGACATCAAAACAGACAAGGCCTTTACAAAACATCAGGAATGTCTCCCCTTTTCCACTTTATTTAGGGCATGGGAGGAAGTCTAGGAGTCTTTTATAATGCTTTAGCTTGAAGAACCATCATTAATCAGTTTCTCTCCAAGCAAGATTTGAAAGGGATCCACAGTCAGCACAGTGAGTACCATGAATTAGCAAAATTTCCTTTTTTAGATCTGGAGATGGGGCTGCCACATTCTCCTCTGTTAACTCGGGGCTCTGCAGGATCCAGGGGTTTTGTCGTTCTCTCAAGGGGCACGGTGCTGTATAAACTTCAGTGATTGCTAGACAGGAAGCTCCTGCAGCACACTGGATGATTTCCCATCATGCCTCATTCAGATGCTTCTTTTACTCAGCAGCAGGATTGTGGGTTGCTTTCGAGAATAACTGAACTTGAAAACATATACACTGTACATGTAGACTCATGATAACCAGTAGTTGGCAGAGCAGGCCCATGCTAGCAGGAGGTGAGCAATACAACCATGAGCCTGAGCTACAGTGTGACTTGACATGTCTGTGTGGTCACACGGTTACCCTGGATGGGGAACTGCTACCCTACGCATCTCTGCATGTGTTGACAACTCTCAGTGCAGAAGGCTGGTGACCACGGGCCCCTTCCTTTCCGTTCTGTGTTGTAGAGCCTGATGATGTGTACTCCTCATTACACATCCATCCGTTTTCCTTCCCCTTCTCAAAATCCTCCATCAGTTTACTTATCTAATACATACTCATAGTGTCTACAGGGTGCCAGACACCTGCTAGGTACTAGAGATTTTTGTACTACATATGGCGGAAGTGAAAAGGGGCTCCGTTGCATGGTTCAGCATGTAGAGGCATTTGTCACCAACCCTGCTGACTTGTGTTTGATGTCTCACATGGTGGAACATATTCCTGAAAGTTGTCTTCTGCTCCCCACATGCGCACTATGGCACACCGCTGTTGGATGTGCCCATTCCTCCTCCAATAATTACATTTAAATGTATATTTAAAAATACTTTAAAGTTAATGGAAAAGAAAGACTCACAAGCTGACCAGCAAAAAGGAAAGTTGGAGTCACTCTTTTCATTGGATAGAAGCTACGAGCAGGGCTCAGGATCCAGATGCCAAGGAAGGGTCCTGGTTCTGCCCAAGACTTACAAAACGATGCACCTGCCTTGAGTCATATAGAATAATACAGATCTTGGATTTGAGCTGAGATTTGACTTAAGCCAAAATTCCTTTCAACCCCAAGACTCCTCCCACCCACCACTCAGGCAACCTGTTACTCAGGGTCTTCTGTCCACTTCCTCCTTGAAACTATGTTTACAACTCTTTCATTGGGCTTGGAAGAAATTCAGTTATCATTCTCTTGAAGATATTCTTTGTTCCCACAGAAACTTAATTTACCAATTTACTATCAGTGCTCAGAGAGGAATCATGTCTAAGTTCCTTTATATGTAAATAAAAGACAGGACATTGTTTTTGTCTACCCCATTAGTGACTATTTAGGAATGTTTTTTAATATTCAGGGTGAACAAGACTGTGGAACAAACCCTCCTCTGAGCATTGCTGGCAAGAGGGTAAATACCGGCAGGATTTCTAGAAGTTTTAGCAAATTGAATCGCAACAAGGTTTGTTTCCCTGTCAGGAAACAATTCCATTTCAAGGGCCTTAGCCTAGAGAGATAATTGAGCTAGTGCTTCAAGTGATTCCGCACAGGTGTTCCTCACAGAACTGCATATAACACGAAAGTTTGTCAGGAATAGGAGACAGGTAAATAAGCCATCACCCTGTCTGTCAGTGAGCATTGCGCATCCGTTTGAAGGACTGAGCGTATTTCTATATACTTTGATAGAATCGGATTTTAAGACACACTGCAAAACAAAAATCCTCACCAACCACACATCTGATAGAGAATCAGAACACCATTGCACCCTGGAAGTAGATTGAAATTAACACAGAGAGGTGCAACTAGACAGTGCAGAGAGAGAGCAAGAGCCTTTGGAGCCCTCAGCCCTGAACAGGATGTCTTCATCAAACCCCTCCTCTCAAGACTTGAGAATCTGTTTTGAAGAGGAGGTGTGCAGATTGTGAGAGTCAGAGGTGGCAGGCCATGCCAAGGAGACAGTGTTTTCTGAACAAAGCAGGACTGACACATGTGAACTCTCAGAGGCTGTGACATGACCTTCACAGAGTCAAACTAGATGACGTTCACCCGCTGACAAGGGTAAGTGAACAGAGTCCCATCCCTAGCCAAGAAGCTGTTTGCGATTGATACTTTTGGGAAAGGGGAAAGCAGTTTTCTCCAATGAAGCGTCACTGGGGGTTTATCAACCATACTCCAGGGCAGACCCCATGCTGGGAAATAATTGGCCAACAAGAGCAACAAAACCAAAATTCTATGTCTGTTCATTTTTCCGTGCTTTTTATTTGTTTTGGTGGATTTCTTTTTCTTTTTAGTTTGTTGGTTTGATTTTCTTTTTCTTTTTTTCTTTTTTTGAGAGTGAGAAAGAGAAAGCATGATGTTGGATGGGTAGGGAAATGGGGAAGTTCTGGGAGGAGTTGACAGGGACTGGAGAATGTGATCAAAAATATACTGTATGAAAAAAATGTAACAAAAACTAAATAGAGTTAGAATGTAAGTTTAAAAAGATGCACACTCCAAAAAACTTTAGTTAATGTTAAATTTTAGCTAGGACAAGTTTGTTTTTTTGTTTTTTAAACTACATCAACTACATCCTCAAGCCTTCTTCATAGGGCTGTGGCCATGTTGTTAAATTCTGCACAATGAAATGTGAATGGTTTCCACCCTGGAAGTGTGCAGCAAGTGTGTATGCCTTACAATTCTTCTCTCTCATGTCTTATGGCTGGAGTGTGGTGGTAAACTAACACAAAGAACAAACACAAAGAAAGTTAAAAAACACTCCTGAAATGGCACATTCAAAATTGGAAAAGCTACAAGGGTATGACAGGTTCCACCTACCTGACAAGTCATTGGTCCTATTGCTCAAACAGTAGCAGTATCTGGTCGGAAATTTGGCTGGATCAACTTTCTTTGGGTTGGAAACTGTGAAGAGAAAATATTCCCTCCATATCACGACACTCTGCCTGGCCCTGGGCCCCTCACCCACCACATCAGCACAGGAGAACCAGTATCACTTACTGTTGTAGATGGCCACGGAAACCTTGTGAAAGGCAATCGAACTATGAGAAGTGATGCTGAGCACGGAGAAGAATTGCTTGCTGTCTGTTGAGGTGGGGAGAGAAAGAAGCAGAAATACTTGCTGACAAAGCCTTAAATAAATCATGACTAGCAATGCCTATGATAAGTTCTGGGAGGTTGAGGGAGGAGGATTCTGCATTTGTAGCCAGTCAGAGCTATATAGAAAGACTTTGTTAGGAAAACCAAACAAAAAGGCATGGCAAATATGAGCAAGGTACAGGGTGTATTTATATGAAAGTGTCATAAATAGACACCTAGACCAGTGGAACAAAATAGAAGACCCCAAGGAGAGTACATGCAACTATAATCACATGATATGTCTTGGCGTTTCTTTTGATGTTATCAAACACCATGACCAAAATCATGGAAAGAGATTATTTCATTTTACAGCATTGAACCATCATCCAGGGAAATCAAGGCAGCAGCCTGTGGACAGAAACTGAAGCAGAGGCCATGGAGGATGCTGCTTACTGGCTTTCTCACTCATGGCTTTCTCAACCTGCTTTTGTACAGCCCCCAGGGTCTCCAGGCCAAGGTTGGCACCACCCGCCGTGAGCTGAGCTCCCACGTCAACCATCAATCACGAATACAAACCACAGGTTTACCCATAGACCAATCTGGTGGAGGTAGTTGAGGTTTAGTTCTCCAAAATGACCCTCGCTTGTGTCAAGTTGAAATAATATTAGCCAGAACATGATTTAGGACACAATTAACGACTGGGACTTCATAAAACTAAAAGCTCTAGACAGCTAAGGAAATAATCTATTTAGTTAAGAAAAAAACCCCATACAGATTGGGGGAAGAATCTTTGTTAGCTATGTATCTTACAGAGGACTAATACTGATGATATATGAAGATTTAAAAAAATCAAAGACTTAATAAAACAAATTACCCAATTAGATAATGGGCTATAGATCCAAACAGAGTTCTCAATAGAAGAAATAAAAAATGTCCAATAAATAAGGCAAAAGTATTCATCATCCTTAGTAATTAAGGAAGTTCAAACTGAAACAACTTTGAGACTTCATCTCACCACAGTGAGAAATGGCTAAAATTAAAAAGAAAAAAAAAACAACACACAACAAATATAAGTCATTTTGTTTAGGGAGGGGAAAGAGAAAACTAAATAAACTTTCAAAGGAAGACTATCTGTTGGAATAGATCCTGGAACCAATAGAAATATCTGCAACAAAACTCCTGCCGCTAAGGCTCAGGGAACATTGCAGAAGAGCAGTGAGAAGGATGGTAAGAGCCGGAGGACCAGGAAGTCTGATGTGAGAGTTCCTAGATTTGACACAGAAGCTGGACCTATAATGACAGCTATATGGTGGCCTCAACAGGACCAGAACAATTACAAAATGAGTTGACCTGCCAAGAAGGAAAGGGCAATCTCATGGAATTCTACCCCTAGGCAAAGGACTATAGGAACTAATGAATCCTGAGAGAGGGAGGATTAACTTAAGGGATGAGGCTCCTAAGAGGATACCTAACATAAAGTCATCCCTGAAGTCATGTACACACAAGCAAGCCACAATACATTGGCTCAGCAGGTTGTATGTCATCCTTGTGTCTATGTATCTATCTATAACACAACAATCAAAGAAAAGAGATCATCAATTTGAGAGGGAGTGAGGGGAAGATACAGGATGAAGGGAGAAAAGGAAAAGGGGAAGTAACATAATTATATTTTAATTAAAATGTTTTAATAAAAATAAAATAAGAAACCCGTTATTTTTTATACTATCTAAAAACATTAATGAGGACAAGAAAAAAAACACCCACAAATATAAAAGAAAATGAGAAAAAAGAAAAGAAGAGGCTAGGGATGGTGGCACATGCTATTAGTTCTAGCACTTGGGAGGCAGAGATAGGCAGATCTATGTGAGTTCAAGGTCAGCCTAGTCTACAAAGCAAGTTTGAGGACAGCCAGGGCTGCTACACAGAAAAATTCTGTGTTGAAAAATCAGAGAAAAAGAAAACAGTGAAGAAGAAAAGAAAACCAATATTTTATAAGAAAAATAGAATAGAAATACAATGAAAGAATTATAAAAATAAGTATCAATAAAGAAAAATGAGTATGAAATAAAACAATGACCAGTATGACACAATATCATAAAAAGTACAAAAGCTGTATGCATGACTTGGTGGTAACTGGCAGCCCTCTAATTTGATGTAAGGCCTGCCCAATAAGAGGGAAATCCCACCCGGTATAAGAATCCTAGGTAATTAATTACACAGGGATAGGTAGTACAGCCATGGATTTTGGAGGAGAACCTACAACCACCACTTTACTGGGCTAGTTCAATAAACCACATTCTAAACATTTATCCTTATACCCACAGATAAGTATAGCTCTCACTCCTCATCAAAGAAATGTTGTAAGAGACAGAGACCATGACAGAAAACCAAACTAATCAAAATGCAGAGGACAAGTGACTACGTGGTTCTTAGCCCCAACTGATAAGTCTAGAACACAACTAGACACCCGAGGCTCAGGGATTGGAGGGGGAAGGGGTGGGAAGACTGTAAGAGGCAGGAAGTAGGACGTTTGCTGTGTGATGTCTGCTAGAACTGTCAAAGATGCTACGCCCATGAAGTCCCATCAACATGGCTTCCTAAATAAGATCTGAACAAGGACAACACCAACAAACATGATAATGCGAGCTGGGAACTCTCACAGGGCCTCAACCCTGGACAAAATCCTACAGCTAAATAAAGAATGCTGAGACAGGCCTCCCTGGGGAAGTGTTCACAGATTGAGTTTCCAATACCAAGTGGCAAACCCTGAAATCATACACATGTAAGTAACATTATATTGACTGACCAGGTTATATTTGCATATTTAGGAATACATATGTCTAACATTGATTAAAGAAATATAGGCTGCACATCTGAGAGAGAGTAGCAGGTGACATTGGAAAGGTTGGAGAGAGGAAAAGGATGGGAACAACAACGTGATGTAGCTATATTTTAATTTTGAAAAATAAATTAAAAATGAAAGTGATAAAATTAAACCATACAAACCCTACTACAAGAGTAATTGCCACTGGACTATCTGGTCTACCTTGAAACTCTAGCAGTTTCTAAATGAGCATCTTGGCTGTAGTAATTTCTCTGGTTGTTGCAATAAATTCTCACACACTTAGAAACATAAAAATGAGGGAAGTTGATAACCTCATTGTTGTAGTGGCCTGGGAATGTGGTATCCAGAATTCTGAGTTGTTTTAATAAGTGCCACAAGTTACTTTCACTTTTACATATTGTGCTGCCCTAGGGAATGCTATTCATAATAGCCTTCAACATTGAATTGACGTTTTCTAGCCCTTACTCTGAACAAGTACTCATTGCCTATGTATTCTTCTTATTACTTAAGAATTCTGTTTACTGCATTCTTTATCACCTCCCCCCACTAGAATATGGATTCTCAGAGCAAGGGCTTTTATCTGGTTTGTTCCTTATTTTCCCCCCAACATCTACACAGTGACTATCTGGAATATGACGGGTAGGTGGTCCATAAACATTTACCAAGTAAGAGTAAATCAGGATATAAATAATAAAGAAAATAAGAGACTCTTCATGCTCTGCTGCCTTTTGAAAGAATCTTTTAGACATCTGTCTTTTGGTTCTTGTTATAATAGATTCAAAGATTTACAATCATTAGTTACCTGTTGCCTATAAGTTATTTTACTAGAAGCTAAAAGAATAGAAAAAGAAGACTGATTAGAGTGACAGTGTAAGGCTCAGAACTCCTTTTGTGTTAAAGTAAATTTTATTGTGTTACATAACTTAATGAATAGTTTTTTCTTAGGGTGATACATTTGTGATTGCAAATGACAGCCATACACATTCACCATGCAGACTATACAGTTTGATTTTAGAATGCTCTCAGACCTCCTGCTTCATGTGGATGTAGTCATTGTCATCATGGGTTCATGCTATCCAGCAGGACAACTTGCTCTCCATTGTGAACATGGAGACACTGAGATACAGTTGCAAACTGTTACCTGCCGGGTCATAGGCAGACCAGAACATAAGCCAGTACGAGAGAAGTTCTGGTCCAGACGCTATTGAAATGAGTGGCTTACCTTTTAAAACTCTAAGGAGCATGGCATTCACGAGCTCTGTCAGGTTGAGTGCAGACAGGTCAACTGACCTTGCTGGGAGTTCTGAAAGATATTCAAGAACATCTCTGGTCGGAATTTCCTCTGTAACAGAAACAGTTTCTCATTTCCAAAATTAGATCAGTACTTCTTCAGGTACATGTGGAACACAGACCAAGTGCCAGATACAAGGGGCTCAGAGGTAAGCAGCAGTTTACGCCAAGTGCTTAGTAGGTGACAGTCAGTGACAAGCACTGTGACTAACATAGCACTTGTTTTTAGTGACTGTCTTGTCTCTGTGTTTGGAGAGAGCAGGAGTTGACAGACTACAGCTCATCCACAGTTGGAGGCCCCAGACCGTTCAGAGTTCTCAGTACCTCTGAATTTAGAAATTGGTGCACCAATTAATATGTGGACCCAAGCCTAGCAAGGTACTGGCATCTATTAAAATATTACTGTCTTTTAAAGTTCCACAATGTCAATGTATGGGTTTCATCCTCAGAAATGCAGATTTAATAGAAGTTGGATATGACCTGGATGTCAGTATTGAATAAAAAAGTCCCCCAGGTTATATGGAAGGAGGCTACCAGTTAAAATATTCCTTTCTCCTAGTTGTTACTTGAGGACATGGAAGTATTAGTTGACCAAGCTGACAGGATGATTGATGGCCCTCTCTACAGTATTAAAAGCATTTCACCTCCATGCTTAAAGAGTATTACCCTTGCTATGTGGATGGGAGAATTCTTTTAGCGTAGTGAAAAAAACTGTTTAGGAGTCTAGATTTCTATAGCATCGTGGGGTAAGTGGAAGTCTCACCTGTGGTCGCCAGAACCTCTACCCCCTTTATCATTTTCTCTTTTCTGAAGACAGACTCTAGGGAAAGAAAAGGTTTCATGACACAGTGTAAGTCTCTATTCCCAGCCCTAGGGATATGGAGAAGGCTTGGGTTGACTCTTAGGCTTGACAGTAAAATCACTGGGAAGGAAGAGCCTTGGTCTTCCTGGACTTGCTCTCCTAATTCAGTTTCAGTTCTAATCTGCTGACTGGCTATGGTTGAGAGAACCATACACTCATAAATAAAATACCTATAATGAGGAGTGTATAACCTACCTAACTCATTAGCTGGGCCAGGAAACTGGGCTTCAGAGAAGAGAGCAACTGGCCCGACTTTGCACGGAAAGACCCCGAATTTATAGAAATAAAATATAAGCTTAAACAGGGAGGGCACCCCACTAGAGACCTCGGGAAGTGAACAAAGGACCCCATCCCAGGAACTGGCCAAACCACAGAATGGAATGGTATGGTTTAGCAACCTTAATTGCAGAAGGGCTGTAAACCCACAAAAGGCCAATTCCGGGCTGCTGACCACCTGCGAAGAACTGACCAGGGCGTCAGAGATGCGCAAACAAGATTCGTGGGAAACAAGGAGATGATAACCACCATTTACTTAGGGAGAGATGATTAACTCATACCAAGGTCTGAGGAATTTACAACAGGAAGACACCTACTTCCCCTGGTCAGTAGTCACGTACCGCCCCCCCCCATCGCAAGATAGGGACCCCTTCCAAAGGCTTGTGGTTTTGTATTTAAAAGCTGATTGTAACTGAACCTCGGGGCCAATCGGTCTAAAAGCTGACCGAGAGGCCCATCTGCAGAAGCCTAATTAAAGCCTCTTGCATGTAGCATCAATTGGCGCGTGGACTCTTGATTCTTGGGGCGACGAATCCATCCTGGAGACCCCTCCTCAATTCGGGAGACCCTAACAGCACAACTGCGCTGTGGGGTGGAAGGCTAACTCTCTTCCTAGAACTGCAGTGCAGTGGAACTCCGTAATCAGCAGGCCATTTGCCTATGACTTTCTAGCTTCATGAATGTCTTGACTGCGACCGCGGAAGGAGGAGACCATAAGCAATGGCAGTAAGTGTGGCGAGCACCTCTAACAGAGTCATAACCCCGCCAGAGGGGAGGAAAAGGACTCTTTGAGGCAGGGCTGACCAGGAGGACTCGTCACTTTGAGTTAGAGGATGTAGAAGCCCACCACACCTGTTGCTGTCATGGTTGCAGAGATGACTCTTCATGTCATTGAGATGGAAAAAGCAGAAGAATAAAGCTATAGAGTCTGAGAAATGTTCTTGAGTAAGTCCGGGCTAGGGTTGGCCTCCGTACCTGCTGCAGAAAGGAAGGGTCCATACCTCTCCTTCTTGAGGCCTTTGTATCCAGACTCTGAAACACAAGTTTCTGTTAGTGACATAGTGCCCTAGGTCATACTCTCACACAGTATGTAACATCCTTAAAGGTCATCTTGTCCATCTCTGCTATTGAAGGATGGACAGACAAAGACCCTGAAATTTTAAGTTTTAGGCCCATGTCTCACACAGGAGGAATCCAACATAAAACAAAAACACATGCAGATGTGATCTTCAGCAGACCAACTTTGCAATGATTTTTCATGTTGGTTTATATTTCATTATAGTAAGAAGGTGTAGTATGAGATCAGTCCATGCACAGTATTTCACACACTTATTCTCTGACAGTTTCTTACATGTATATAACGCATCCTGGTCATACTCATACTTGCATTCTCCCTCATCCTCCTCCCATTCCTTCCCCTTATGCTGGCTGAGAGTCTTTCGTGTCCTTCCATTCTGTTTTATGTTCCCCTGTGTTTAACCAGAGCCACTCAGTGGAGCACAGCACATGGACAACTTCCACTGGCTACATCACTGGAGAGAATGGCTTCCTCTTCCAGCAGGACTCAACTCCCATTAGTTATGAAACGATCCCTGTGAGATAGTTATTGATAAACATGCCATTGATTAAAGCCAATTAAAGTTATTTAGTCCTCTTATTAATGCAGAGCAAGAGCAGGCTTGTGCTTCTGAAACGTCTCTTGGTACCCAAGCGCAGGCACAGGATATTAAAACACTAATATGTAATTAATTACATCAGTGTTCAAAGGGAGGACTGTGTTAGTGAGAGATTTGGGGCAGCCTGGTAACATCTGCTTTCTTTGTAGAGCTCAGTGGTATTTTCCAGACACTGCACATTATGTTTGGACTATGGTCAAGGTCACTGACAGTCCCAGAAGGGTTGCCAAAGGGCATGTGACTCTTAGGGTAGAAAGATGAGAAGTGACAAAGAAAGTCAGGGTGGGATGGTGTTCCCTTTGTCATTTCCGCTATCCTGGTCTGTCCCATGAGCCCCTCCCCCAACTCTGACTGAATGTTGATTGGCTTAGTCTGGTGTGGTCTCTGTGAAGGCAAATGCAACAGTTGTGAGTTCCTGAGCACACAGCCATGCCACGCCCATAAAACGGGACTTCGTGGTCATCCTCCTGATGCCCAGATCTCACATTCTTTCTGCCCTGTCTTCCACGATGCTCCCCAAGCCTCCTCTATACAGATTTTTGCTTAAGGAAATCTCCCTTCCCCACTCCCTGCTTCCTCTTTCTCTCCTTCCTTTTGACATTGTGCTGGTTGATTTTTTTAATATAACAGTATTATTAGTTTTCTGAGAATTCCATACATGCGTATAATGTATTTTCTTACACACAGCCTTCTGACTCCTTCCAGATCCATTTCCTGCTCTTCTGTTAGGTTACAGTCTCCTAGATTAAAGCATTCTGCCCTGCAGACAAGTTCCTTAAGACAGGAAGTAAACAATTCAAAAGAGCTTGAGGAAGCCACTGAGAAGATTCACTAGGTTCCTCCTTCTCCAAGAGCATACCAACAGTAGAGACTGTGGAGAATCATTTTAGACAAGCCCACGCCGCTGATTTCCTTTGGTGTTGGAATCATTCTCGGTTAAAATGGAGAGAGTTGGAGGCTCAAAGAGAGTGCTTGTGAAAAATTGTCATGCTCGTACACACTATATTCATATAGCTGGTGGCTTTGGAGAAAGGGAAGTGGTTTCTTGTGGAGGTATTTTAACTTATGTGCATGTCTTACCACTTGCCTTTTGAAGCATTGGATGTTCTCCTTAAAAGCAAAATTTAGAAAATAAAGACAAACTTCCATCCTCCATAAAAGCTCAAATTAGCATTGAAGAAGTTACCCTGCCTAAACTTTTAAGGTTGGAATGGATGTGTGTCTTTGGCTGCTCTGCCGAGTGTTATACAAAGCACGTTTCATAACTAAGCCAATTTGCTACCATGAAATCCAGGAAAGGTAAAGGTGAGTGAGCGAATTCAAAGGTGATGATGGCCAACAACCAGGCGTCCATTGTGGCATCTTGTCCTCTGGCGAAACACCAGAGTCAGTGAATTTAGTAGGATCCCCAGAAGGAAGGACCCAGAGAGCTCTGGAAATCTGCTAGAGGTGAGTGAGAAGGGGGGGGGGGGGGACACAACTATCCATTTACCTGTAGTGGGTAGGAGGGCCATTCCCTTATCTTTCTTGCCTTCTCCTTTGAGACCAGACACTAAAATTAAAAAGGAAAAAAAAAAAAAACAGGTTTCATCACAGAAGTAGCAACACAGACACAGCATCAGATAGGATTTAGTCTGGGTTACTTGTTTTTATGTTTAAGAGACTGGGTATCTAGAATAGCTGTATGATTCGTCTGGAGTCCCCCATGTGTTTTGTTCATGCAATCATTAGTCATCACGTATTTACCAATGATAAAAATATGATCGAGACTGATAGTCAGCATCGGGATTTGTTAGCTATTGTGTGTTCTGGGGAGGCAGATACGAAAGACGGGAATTCAACAGTGTAAAGAGGAATGATTACAAGCTTTGCTTAGATGGAGGCTGTGAATGTGGGTGACAAGGAACCTGACCCTGTCTCATCAACATGGAAGTCATCCCTGGGAGGTCTCATCAACATGGAAGTCATGGGGGGGGGGGCGTGCGAGCTGAGACCTGAGGATAAACAGTATCTGGATGGGACCTAAGTGGCTGGGAGTTGTTCTATATACAGGGAGTAGCACGAACCCCGGTCCTGCGTTACCTCTGAGCATCTCTCTAAAGAGCTGGCTGGAGGCCAAAGTGATGGAACATAAAGAAAGAAAGAAGGAGGTGGGCATTTCCGGGAGCTGGTGTAAGAGCAAGCGGGCAGGTCACGTGGAGCACAGAAAAGACACTGAGTGCTACCTGAACAGAAACAAGTCTTCACTGGAATCTTTGTGGGGAACAGGGATGGGAATCGTGGAGGAAAAGCAATCGAGTGATGTCATCATCTACATACAGACCTCCCATGGGCTGAGGAACGGAGAATGGAGCAATAGGAGAATGAGGGAGCGAGCGAATTCAGAAGGCTTCCTTGGTGGGAGAGCAAACAAAGTGCAGCGATGAGAACAAGCCTTCGGTGACACTCGAGCACAAGAAGCCAGGGCAGGAATACACGACATGATCGACATGATTGACACTGCGTTGAGATATCGCTGCTGGGACTCTTAAAGCGCAATAGCACCCAGAACAGACGCTAGGAAGTGAACGGCCCACCTGCATTCCAGAGAGAGAGGATACAGGCCAGGCCCATGCACAGCCTCCCCGGAAGACCCTGTAGCAGGAAGCTCGGCATGCTGGGAAGCTTTGTCCACCTGGTAGCAAAACATCAAAACGTAGAGGAAGTCAGGCTTGCCTGTGAGAGCACTCTGATACAGGATCTGCTCTGCGAGCGGTGTTGAGCAAGTCACTAGTACACAATCCCGTGAGGAAAGGTTTTAGGTTGTGCTGAGATAACCAGTGCGCGCTGTGGTTTCTTTGTCTTAATTTAGAAACAAAGCTCTTTTTCCTTTTTTTCAGTTTCCACATTTGTTAGAGAGGGAGCTCTGGTCAACAACGTTACTGAAGAACCTGGATTAGTCAACTTTCTACCATCTTGTAGCTTTCTCCCTGGTAACCTGTTAGCTGTGGACTCCTTAGCTGTGGGAGTAATGGGAGGGGGTAGTTGATGGGCTAGGCACCACCTTTTATGTGATTAGGCAGAAAGGGATACATTTCTCTTTAGTTAGAGTCTGTGTCTGAATCATGTGCCTACTGTGTGATTGCAGGGCATCTGGGAATGTGGGGAGGTTTGCATGCACATTCTAGAGGCATTCGTTTAGTTTCTGAGATGAGAAACAGCCTCTAAAAACAAGACATTGCTATTAATGTTACTGTTAATATATTGCATGCTATAATGAGGAACCTAGGTGACTATTCCAATGTGTGTGACTCTGTGGTACCTGTGTTAGCCATGTATGAGAGTTTATTCTGTAGCATGACAGCTAATGTAGAGAATAACAGACTAATAATGAAGACAAAAAAAGTATTGAGCACTTTGTGTGTGGCATACGTATGCCACAGAGAATATTGATGCATATTTTCTTCCAGCGAAGCCAGACCTGATCAGCATTCTTTCCAGCTTAGGATCATGAGGACGATGGGTAGGGGATGAGAATATGATGAACTGAGGATTCTTTCCTCCCGGACCAAGGTCACAATGGCAGAACCTTACTGTGCCCTTTTGTATATAAAATGGACGGTTAAGAGTTTATTCTGATGATTACATGGGATCAAGAAGTCCAGCACCTAGAGCAATTGTTGGTCTAGAATGGGTGCCGAAGGGTCTTAACTGTTTCTCATCCCATTGCCTTCCGCCCTCTCCCCTTCCTCCTCTGTGCTGGTGCAACTGCAGAGCCACCAGGACGATTAGAAATACAAGCTCACATCAGGACAAGCCACCGTCTGTAGCTCTGTCATAGTTGAACATATTTTGTTGATCACCAATCATCATGTCAACATCTTTTTCCACTAAAATGAATGTGTTAAACAAACTCTGTTACGTTGAGTCCACAATTTCTGCTGATTTTGTTCGTGGAGGAAAATTTTAATTTGCCTCCACTGCTGAATCAACGGTATGTTAGGAGGAAGGCGAGCAGAGTTAGCAAAGAAAATAGAGGAGGCACAGTTACATCGAGTTTAAGAAAAAATGAGTGTTATTTTGGTGTTTCTCATTCAGTACTCGAGACAAGCCTGGTTTGGAGAGGCACAGGGTTCTTGAAGGATTTTCACAGTTTACGCCGTGGATGGGTTGGACTTGAACTCATGGTAGCATGCACACCTTCTGCCCTCTCTAACCTTCCTTTTGCACACCTGGGCTACTGTGGGACACTTTAGGGTACTGGGTAGGGAACACATGTCTAGGTCAGATGCACTCTATTTGACTCCCAAGTTTTGAGCTTTGTAACCAGGGCCTAACTGGACCTCCCCTCAACTCAAGGAAACTGATGAGATTTATGGTACAGTTGTTTGAAAGTGTGGAGTCTAGGGTTAGACTTTTTGGACTAATTCCCTGGATCTGCCACTTTTTAGCTGTCTAGGTTATTGAAACTATTTGTACCTCAGTTTCTCCCCTCAGGGCTATGATGAACATCAAAGTGTGTCCTCTGTGTATAATGCCGAAGACGACATCCAGTAGATGATTCTAGAGCCACCTGATTGTTCAACCAAACAAAGGTATGACACTTAAGAACATTGGTACTACTATACGCAAATAAATATTGGTCTCCATGTGACAGAGTCACAGTCCTCAAGGCTTTATCTTATGACATCTGTTTCAGCTGTCAAACATTTTTCTCTAAAATTATCATTATTCACCCCATTCCCCATGGCTATTATTATCATAGTTACAAACCACTTCTTTTTCAGTGAAACTTGCAAAGAAGCAAATCAGTAATGTTAATGACAACAGTACAGTCCCAAGGGATTAAGCCACCTGAAGACGTGACACTTGGGCACGTACGTGCATTATTTTGAGCCGAAGGCTATTGAGGACTGACAGATGCGGGAAGCAACCTTTTCAAGAGATCCCTTTATCTGACAGAATGCTCCCCTTTCCAACAAATGAATTCTGCCATAAATCCCATGTCTTGGGAGACTTTCATAGCGATGAAAATCGACAATGAGTTGAGCCTGCACACGCAGCCGTCCTTAGAGTCAGCCTTTGTTTCCACAGACACTTGCCTTCCCACTGTGCCCTCTTCTAGAAGCTCAAATGACCTTTCCCTTGAGTGTATTAATTACCTCTCCACCGCTTTACTGACCTCTCACTGAAACAGCATGGGAGTCTCTGGATCTAGTTGCCTTTTGGGAATTTTTATTTTGTTTCTGTGAGCACTGACATAAACATACAGAGTACTCCATTTCATTTAGTCTAATTTTTATTAGCTCAGTTTTCAGGGCCCCTGAACAATTGCTCTAGGTGCTAGATTTCAGGCATTGATACTAAGAGGTACATGCAACATGACTTTTTTATTGGTTGGTAGGTTGTGCTCCATATACTAAGCCTCCATGTTTGGACACAATATCTGTGTATCACTGTATGTGCCTATCATATTAGACAGTTAATACATTTTGTATAATATAAAGACCAAAACATCAGATGTGGAACCCTTAGCTCATGGCCCCATGGCTTCTAAAAAGAGAGTCCAGTGTGATGGATGGCTCATGTCTGCAAACACAGCCTTCTTCCGGTGATTGATGTAGGAGGGTCATTATAAGTTCAGAACCAACCAAGGCTACCAAGCAAATTTCAGACTAGTCTGGAATACAGTGTGAGACCCCATTTCAAACAAATAAAAAATAGAAAACAAAATCAAGCCCCAAACGAATCACATCCAACCTAACCAAACACAAGGCTGAACAAGAGAGCTGGAAATTCACTCATACCTGCAAAACATCTCCCTTGAAAGTCATGGAGAGCATTAGAGGCTGAAAGCAAAGTTGATAACTTCCAAGCATTTTAATGGATAGAACAGTTAGAAACCCAGAATTTCCCCAAGAGACATATCAAAAAGGTTATTAAGGCAGATAAAAAGGTCATTAAGACAGCTAAAAAATGTTATTGCATCAAGATCTGCCGGAGACTCTCATAATCTTAACTCACAATACATCCATATTTTATCAACAACAGCCCTGGTCTCGGTGGCATGAGCAATAAGAACTTCAAGCGTCTTAGCAATTCTTGTATTACTTCCAGTTAACAAGGATCACAAATCACCTATGTTTAGTTTGAGCTGCCAAACAAGTCTGCCCTTCCCGCTGCACGGTGAAGGGGTGAAGATGCCCCTTTACTGCAGAAGTCACGGTGAACTGTAGGGAAGAAAAACTCACACAGATGTACAGCAGGCACAATGGCTGTGAGCTATTTAACTCTCCATCCATTTTCATGGTCATTAACTCGTCTGATTTAATAGCTCAGCACCAGAGCCCTCTTCTTGGAGAGGAAATAGAGGCTGAGTAAATAATTTCTCTAGGCCATTAAGATGGTAATAACAGGCCTGATTTAATCGATAGCCACCTCTACAGCCCTTAGGGTAACTCAAACAGGTTTTCAAAATATCTAATGAAGAGCAAGAGGTGAACAGTCTCCTGTCACGACTGTCATATGTGGTAATCTACGGGTTCTCCAAGCCACTTATCCTTATCCTGGAGTTTGAGAAAATGGAAGCTTAGACAGTAGTGGTTTTAAGGCATGCAGACCAGAAAGACAGGAGTTGTGTGTTTGCTGTCCAAGTCCATGATGGATTTGAGTTTGACTTGAATCAGAAAGTCAAACTCAAGCAGCAGAAAGTCAAACTCAACCTTGCTGTTGAACACATATTGGGGCATTCTCCCCTCATCCTTTCAATTTCTTGGATCGAAGGCCACATTTTCTTTATCTCAGGAGTGAGGACAGTCTAACCCCTCACTGGCTCAGGAATGCTTTAAGATCCTAATCGATACCAGAAAGGAAATGGAAAGCAACAGATTGTGATCAAAGAACAGGGCCTTCGCTCAACGTGGTGGCTATATGTCAGAAAGGGCTCTCCTGTCACTCAACCTCCAGGAGCCAGAACACAGGGATTACAGCATTCCTTAGCTGGTCTCAAGCTTCCCAGGTGAGGAGACCAAAGGCAGCTTAAAGTATCTATAGTATCCGACTCACCGGTCTCCTGAGCGGGATGAATGACTTCAAAGAACTTAGACAGCCAAGAAGATTAACAGTTAGGTCAGAGTGGTGAGATTTATATGAGTTCTTAGTGAAAGATCCAGCAGGTGGGGATAGAGGAAAGGCTTCATAACCCTGCTTTAAATCCTCTGCAGGGAAAAAAGGAATAATAATCCTCCCCAAAACTCTGGGCAGCGAAAGAGGATCATCTCCATCAGAGAAAAATGCCTGTGTGATAAGCGGAATGGAATCCGTGAGCTGGACGACAAAGCCACCATTCAGCCACGGATGGGAAAAGTTTCCTGACAGCAATTACTGTGGGGTGCGGGGGTGTGGCGGGTGAACTGTCAGAGAAGGAAGCCAGTGATGAGTCCCTCTTCCTGTCCTGGAAGTCTTTGGGCCCAACATCACCTGGCACACAGCCAGCCGGAGTCTTATGAAGACGTGGCCAGGCTGAGGTCAAGGTTGGCAGGCACCTAGAGTGGAGAGTCAAGCCAGCCCATGTGTGCAAGACTTGAACTCAGGAAATACGTCGTTTTAAAGAGCTGGGGGGAAATATGATGAGAGTATTTTGTTGACATATAAACTACATAGACAAATTTCAGGAACGATGGCTGTTGTGTGGG